CGCATCAATACAAGGAAAGCTCAACGACACCCACCCAAAGAGAGCAGTCGCTCTGGCGACGGCCCATATAGACAACGGAGATCTAGAGTCGCCGGCAGCAGCTCAGGACAACAGCAGCTTCACGGCCGCTGACGAAAGGCGAGGGAAACTTCGAGCAACGATGAAGAGCAGCGCAGAGCTGAAGTTTCGGCTCTTCGAGCTCGATCCCAGAGAGGAGCGGAGAGATGCAACGAAGAAAGATGATAACGGGAAAGAAGAAGAAACGGAGAAGAAATGTAGAAGATTTCTAGGAGCGATCCCGATGAGTCCAATCCGGAAGAGCAATACGGAGAACAATGAGCGACGTACTCGCTATTGTTGTCGCCGTCGTGGTGATGCTCATTGTGGTGTTCTCTGCTACATATGTACGATGAGTCATCGCGAAGCCCGATCGCTGGTTCGACTGCCGCTCGCTTGCTCGCTTACTCGGTCGCGCGTCGAGAACACTCCAATGGTGTCATATGCTGTAAGGAAAGGTTCGAGACGCGCGACTGACGCAGTGTCTCTCAAACACGACTTCAGCTGCCATTATCTTCGACGACTCCGCCCATCTTGTTTTCTGTCGCCGAGGCGGCAAGTTATCCTGACTCACTTATTCGTACATTCTGGGCTGGATATTCGGATTATCTCCGAACTTGGTCATTATCCATGCGCTCTGTTTGAATATTGTCCCGACGAGATGACGCTTTCGAGGGATAAGCGTCCTGAACTTCATGACATCTTCATGACATCAAAGACGACCACCGAGGCTAAAACTGCATCATCGCTATGGAAATGACTTCCGCTTCAAGAATTCGCTTCCATTGGGGTGTATGCATCTCTCGTGTCATTCGAGAGTCTCTCCACCGGCTCGCCCCTAGTCTGCTATCGTCTACTGGAATGAAGGGGCTCTCTACGTTGTGGGGTCACGAACTGAAATTCAAGTCGTCACACTTGCAGGCCGCGCCGACCTACGGCCTACAGAAAAGCTTCCCATGCCTTCTATTGACGGAAAGCTTGATCTATAGCGGAAGATCCACTTCGAGACTTGGGGAAGTCGGGTTTGATCTGGATCACCTCGATAGGAGATCAAAGTTCCTACTTGGTGCTACAGGCGTACAACGATCAGGGCAATGAGTTTCTGCCGTGAACATGCTCATTAAAGAGCAGTCTCGAACGTACGAGCACTTTTGAGAGAGAAGCAGGTTCTGGGGATAATTCAAAGGGCAGTCTCAAACATACTAGCAGTCTCTAGCAAACGGGCACCTTCTCGAGCCGAAAATCAGGCATCCATATCCGAAGAGAGAACGAAGAAAAAAAGAAAACATCTGAGAAGACCCGCGGGAAGCTTATGGATAGAGTAATCCGTATGGCTTAAGCACGACAGATCCCGCGGTGATCGCACTCAGGAAAACCTCACTCCGCCCCCAGCTTGAGGGACGGGAAAAATAGAAGGGCAGCCTCTAATATACGAGCAGTCCCCAACATACGGGGAAGTTTCAAACGCTCGAAAAAACAGACGTGCATGCTCTCCTTCAGACTGTTTCCGGTATTCATATCCAAGTTCGTCAAGGTCAGTCTGATTGGCTGATCAAGGTGATGTGTTGAATCAGCGGAAGAAAATTGCGTTAGCATGGAGGGAGCGACTCGAAATACCTCTTGCTCACCAGCTCGGATAAGTCTACTGTATTCTTGGAAGATGATGATGGAAGTTGTCGCGTTTTGTGGATTCTACGCTCCTCCGCGCAGGTCTCGTCACGGGAGTTCGGCCCCCCTGTTACCCACCGAGCTCCGGAAAGTCGTGAAGTTCCTGATTGAGTGGCCATGTGTTTCGTTGCCATTCCCCTTCCCGCTTCAGTAGTACGGCGCCGGAGAGCCGGAGTGTGTTCTCCCTAGAATCCCTTCAGCCCTTGACGCGGTCCTCTAGAAGGCGAATACGCAATATCAGAAGCACTGAGGAATTTCCTGGGCTTTCGGACGGTGAAATTCAAATGATTTGTGTCACTTGAATATTTACTGAATCAGAATGGCAAACAATCAGGCACGAGTCTGATTCCAATGAGTATGGTAACCTTGCGCACAAGTCGAGAGTCGTCGGATTCTGCTCGCGCGGAGACTTCGGGAGTCGAGCTATGACCCGTGATTATATTCTCATTGTCTGCCTCTTTGCCTTGATAGCTACTCGGGCAAGTAATGCTCAACCAGAACTGAAGGAGATGAACTTCTGCCGTAAGGAATTTTGCCGATGCTGAAAAATTTCGAGAGATCCGATCGACTTTGATCGAGTTGTCGATGGGAGCAGATTTCTCGAGCCAGCTGCGAATATCGCTTTTACAGTCACAACAGAGGAGAATTTCGGCGTTTTTTGGGGCTGTGTTCAAGGATCCACCGCATCGAGTGACGTAAGTTGGTTCACGAATGAGGTATATACATATACCAGTCGACGGTCTCGGTCCAGCAATGGTGGCGCGGCGTACCGAGCGGATATGCAGGAAGAGCAGAAGAATTAGAAGGATTGTTCCGTTTCAAGATGAAAGCTTCGATATCGGAAGTCACGGATAAGTTTCCGGGAATGTCAATTTACGAAGTTACCAGACTGGTCTGCGACGCGAGCGGAGACAATGGAGAAGGAATCTTTGGAGAATTCCTGAATGCTCTCCCTGAAGACGTTATCAAAGAAGCATACGAGCTATCCAATAAATGCATGCCTCTTCTCTTCAACTGATTATAACTGAAGCATCTATCGATGTTTTATCGTCGATTCGGCGCCGATTTCTGATTTTTTTCGGTTTCTACATCATGCATTTCGTAGCGTCATATTTTCGAGAACTTGTGCAACTAATTAACTTGTACTGGTAATTAATCGGAGGTATTCCCTCCCGTCGCTCCCTTATCGTCCTTCTTAGAGACGCCTTCCTTCCTAGTTTTCCCATCATTGATCTCAGGCGGTCCTTCGGAAGCGCTCTCCGCTCTGCTTCCCTTCCTCTTTCCCTTCGGCTCCTTGACGAATCTTTGGCCTCCCTTCTCATCCTTGCTGTCCCTGCCCGGCTTCTCATTTTTCTTCGATTTCTTCTTCTGTCGCTTCTGCAGCGATCTCTTGCCGAGTCCTGCACTTCCTGTGCGATTCGAAGCGGGGAACGTGGAAAAAGTACAAGAAGGACAAATGAGTCGAGTTGAACGAAGAGCGATGGCCCTTGGAACACATTTCACAGAAATTTCCGATCGTAGCGGACCCCATCGAGGGACAGATGTGTGTAAAAGCAGTTATGGCGATGCACATCGGAAAATGGGATAATTACCTTGAGCACTGGCGCTAGTCTCCGCGCCTACATTGACGGGAACTGATGAGATTCGACCAGGCCTACTCGGAATCGGAGACCTCGGGCAGTCTGAAGCCCCAACGTCTTCTCCGAGAACCGGCCCTGGAATGTCGACGCTTATCGAAAGACCCTTCCTCTAGGCTAGTGTTTCATCCTCCGATGCCTTCCATTAATCTCGAAGCCGGAATTACGAGAGGAAATTGGCGAACCTGAGCCTTCGCGTATCTCCCACTCACCTGGACCGCCACGGGGGCTGCCCGAAGATCTAACGCCGCCAGCAGCGGAAGCTCCAACGTCACCTCCAGAGGAAGCCACGGCGCCATCCGCAGCAGAAGCTCCAGCGCTACCCGCAACTGTTGCTCGGGGGCTACTCGCAGCGGAAGCTCCACCGCCACCCGCAGCGGAAGTTGCAGTGCCACCTGCAGCGGAAGCTCCAGCGCCGCCTGCAGCGGAAGCCCCAGAGCCGCCTGCAGCGGAAACCCCGGCGCCGCCCGCAGCGGAAGCTCCTGCATCACCCGCAGCCGAGGCCGCGCTCCCACCGGCAGCGGACCCGGCATTCAGGGATTTTGATCCACTCAAACTTCCCAATGGGCCACTTATCGAGAGCGCTCCGGATGCCTTCAGTGAGCGGAACTTCGGTCTCGACTTACCAGTCACTCTCGAAGATCCCTTCGCTCCGGCGATGGATCCGACAGCTCCTGACGATGATCCCGACGAGAGGCTAGCTGCGCTTCCTCTGATTACCCCACCAGGTCCCGCATTAGTGCTAGCTGCAGCAATCCCCCCGCCACCTGACCCTCCTCCGGAAACGACGCCCGTCGAGATGCCCCTCGTACCCCCCGAGACAGTGCCTTCCGCAATCGATCCCGAAGCGACGCTCTTCACGGAAGATCTTGAGCCTCCGCTACCACCGGACGATGCAGCATCCGATGATGCTCCGGCGCTCACTGAGCCCCCAGAAATCCCGTCTTCCGATGCGCTCGATGCTTTCGCGACACTGGATGATCCGACTCCCGTCCGCCGGGCCCGTTGGGTTTCAGAGGGAAGACCATCTGCATTGAGGAAATACGAGTCTGAAGATAGTTGAAGAAGGGATCGTCGCCGGCCCCCTTCCCCGAGAGTGAAGGGTCTTGCGAAAGGTTTCGCTCCAAAACTCCTTCTTCCTCAGGCAAGCTTCGTCATTCGGAACGCATGCGAGCCCGTTCAGCGGTCGAAGGCACTCACGTGCGTAATCAAGAGTATTGGTGACCAAGAGGGAAATCGCCAAAATCCTGGCGAGGCTCTTCATGTTCGAATGTGGATGAGCACACGTCCGTCGCTGTTTTGAGATCGTGGACAAAGTGGAACGGCCCGATCTTTCCGATATGTCAACGCGATCGCGGCGTCACTCGGCAAGCTAAACTCAGTGGAAATATATGCTGTCAAAAAATTCCATGGTGGTACCACGGGCTCTTCATGACTTTCTCGAATGCCGACTGGAGAGAATAAATCCATGGTGGCGGACCTCCCCGCCGCTCTGGAGGAACTGATTGGAACATCGCTAGCGGATTGTTATTGTTGCATTCCTCATCCAAGCTGATCTCGGTGATACGTTCCGATTCTCCACACGAGAGCTCGGATTCGGGGGAACGGCTCGAGAATGGGCTTAGAGTGAGTTTCGACGTCAAATCAACAGACAACTTTATTTCAGGATCAGTCGTGGTTCTCATTGGACGGCTTTCTCTCTTTTTGCCTTTTCATAAGCTTCTCTGCTTAGCTTCAGTTGGACTTGCGACAGTGTTCTTCCTGCGAGGCAATACACATAAAATAGTAGATATCTTCTTATGACGACAGTCAGGCTCGATTCGCTCGATGTCAGATGATACTAAGGGAACTCCACAGAGGTGGCCGCTCGTCGGTCTATCTGGTCCCTCCTTCCACCCCATGAGCACAGGATCGGACGAGGGGAAGTGTCGTATGAGCCCGTCCGTGCTGATGACGAATAGACGACGAAGAAGGGGACAGATGAGAATTGCCTCGACCGGGCTCCACGAATGACGACTGATGCGATCGAGAGCGGTCATCGTCGCCGAACATACGCGCGTAACTCGGAATCGATGTCTGGCGCTCATCGCGGCGAGCTAGACCAAAATCACGAGGCTCCAAGAAGAAAATGATTGAAGCTTACCTCCGATTGTTGAATCATCGGTGCCATTGTTGGTGCCGTTTCTTTCCACTTGTTCGATTGGTATTCGGGTATCGTTGAAGCTGAAGACAGATCTATTCAGAGATCTGAATCCCTGATCATAGTCGGGTCTTGTGGTCGGGTAGTCCTCCAAGACTGGAAGTAATGAAGCCTCTCAGCATACTCTCCGTGGTTACGAGGCTCTCTTGATTGCTCGCATCAAACGGTGGGACTTGCTTACTTCAGGCGTTCAGGAGAACACCTGCTCGAAATTCATCCTCTCCATGGTATTCTTTAGGATCTCCTCAAGAGAAGAACGATACGATCAAACCTCAGATACAAGTTTCCCGGAATGAATCTCCATGGAGCAGATCATTACGACCGGAATGACTCCTCAGAATCGGTGTTGTGTCTTGGGAAGACCCGAAGATTCGAAAAGCCCAACGTCACACGGGGCATATCAAAACCCTCCCCAAAAGCCTATGCGAGCCAACCTAGGTGTCCGGCGGACATTGAGTCGAGCCGTGATGATCATGTCAGAAGTTTCCGTGATGCAGACTCCAACTCCCTCTAGACAAACATATTGTAGGAGGACTCCTCCGGGGGGAAGAGCAGTGACTGCGTCTCGTTGTCGAAATCTGGGGCATCGAACAGTTTTTCACGAAAACCGGCCCAGCTCACCTTTCGCTTTGAGGCAGCCGAGCACTAAACAACAGATGATAATTCGAGGAACCGCCATCATTTTCGGTAAATGCAGTGATTTGTTGCAAAACAGACGAAGGGAAGTGAATGACACGAGAGCGTGATCTGCGAGAAAGGGGAGAAATCGCAATAAGATGCTAGGCTCCCTCTTCTCCTTCTTGAGTGCTCTTGGCTAGTTCCAAAGTCCAACCGGAGATACTTTGTTCACGTTTCTGGACGCAGTTTCCAGGTCTCGCGGAGAAGACACGTCTCCTGGAGCATCGTTCGCCAAGCTGGTAAGGACGGGTGCGACTTAAATCATATGACATCTATGGAGCTCGGTCCATCTCTATGGCTGGCTCTCCAACTCTTCATGAGCATAACCTGCCGTTAAGCCCCCTTTATTCCATGCATGGCCGACAACGAAGCTCCATTGAGGACTGCTGATCGCTGATTCACTGAGAAGCAATGGAAGATTGCAACAATCTTGGGAAAATCATCGAACTCATTGATAAAGCTGTTTTCGAAGCCAGCCAACAGCAGGACTTGCTGCAGAACACCGCGGCTGATGTTTGTAATTTGATGTCTCGACTCTTCCCCAAATGGAATTGGACGGTCTTGTGCGGGGACCAGTTCGACGTATGCTCCGGAAGTCGTCGGAACAGTGATGTGATGCTGTCGAAGAGGTATCCGAATAATCTCCGGGTCATAATTCTGCGAGGGTCCTCCCTCGAGCCGTACACCGGGGGTCCAGCGGTCATGTCAGTCCGGAAAAATGACCTGCTTAATAGCGACGTAGATCTAGCTGCAATCAAATCCGCGATCGAGTCTTCCCCAAAAGATATGGCCTCGATGGTTGAAAATATCAGGAAGTATCTAAAGGATCAGTATGCATCGATAAACTGGGTGGTCATCGCTGGAGACGATTTCGCTCTGAACCCTGATTTCGAACAGATGGCGAGCGTAATTTTCTGCGGCACCGTCGGCCATATTAGCATTGTGATCGTGAAAGCCGATCAGCAGAAACCCTGAGTCATCGATCTAAGAATTCCCCTCACAGAAGGATGATCATAAGTGGAGGGCGCAAACGGACTTCTTTAAAAGATCATTAACGGTTCTCAGGACCTGATTGAGGAAACATCCGAGATGTTCCTCAATTCTAACTTTCATTCTATAAAGAGACGATCCTGGACGCGAACTCATTTTTTATTGATATGTCCACGGCAGTGAGATAGGGCCCGCGAGAGGACGAAGAAAGGAGGTGGTGCCTGCGAAAGTGGGAGGTGTAGACTTCTGTTTCTGAACTTATGTCTACCAGAAGAGACTGAAAGCTCTCATCCGGGACAAGGGTCTATTCGAAGCTGATTCTTCTAGCGGGACTGATTTTTTCCGGCAGCGATCCGGAAAAAACATCAATTTGATTTCAAACGCTTCCTGCGAATTCGACGCGACCGGTTCAACAAAGGCTCGCCCGCGTGCCCTGAGAGCGAATAATACCCAGGCTGAGCTCCGTGCTTAAGAGAGTGAGAAATATCGTCGAGACGAGATAATACGACGCTCGTCACGGGCCGTGGATGGAGGAGTTCTCGGAAGCGGAGTTCTCCATACGAAAATCGGATTATAGATCCATGGTTCCCGACGGAATCTGGGAAATCCGTGGAGACTCCAATATGGGAGCGCCACCATAACGACTGTGGATCCGATCCGCCAAGTCTCATCCGTGACTCGGAATGAGACTTGTTCGACTTTTTCGACCATCTGGATGTGGATCACGATTTCGAAAGAAGAAGACTGACCTTATCTCTGATTCTTGAAATATTGCCCTCCGAGTCCTCCACTGCTGGTTTTATGAAGCTTATTCACATATTCACATCTCTACGGCCGGATCGATTCGGTGGCTTCGCATTTCGCTCTGTATCACGAACATCCCGCTCGACGCCGCTGAGGGGAGAGCTCTTCGTCTAGCCGGGTTGTTCCCACGTGCGCCTCACGTGACATTCCTCTACGGAGAGCCTCGAGCATCTCATATGCGCTAAGAAATGTTCAATCACGAAAGTAAGACTTGGTGATCGAACCAAGCGCTCATCTTATGGACCAAGTCAGAAGTGTCACCGGTCTGAATGACCTCAGGAGACCTGGACTCTCGCGGATCATGTAGCAAAACGCAAGCTTCGCTCACCTCAGCGAAGAACGTCCGAGAGAGCCTGACCGACCAACGACCCCCAGAGGCGCTCGTAATACCATTTCCCGAGGGGAGATAAAAGTTCCCTCCTCCAGAGCAAATTCATCGATTTCGATGGATTGCGGAGTACACTTGGATACATTCAACAGCGGAGCTCAAGGAGCTTTGAAGTTGCCCTCCTGAGCTTTGCTTTCATCTTCTAATCATCGGCAGCAGCTCGTCAGATCGAATGATATGAATTACCCGGTCTGGACTCTCTGAACAGCTCACGAATGAATCGGTGTACATAATTGATCGCCAACGGCACGGCACCGGTGTCGGGAGGCCGTATAAAATTCCAATGGTGCACTGTGGCCCTAGTTCTTCGGTCTGCCGAAATTCTCGCTTCCGAGCTGGATGAAATTCACTCGACCGAATGCTCTGCCGCAGGAATTCCCGAACTGATCTCGAAAATGAATCATGGTTGTCACTTAAGACAGGGATGCCGAAATTTCGCAATTTAGATGATGTCAAATAAAAGTGTTGGGGATTTCGGAGATCTCCGTTAACACGATCCGAACATTTGTCGTGAGTTTCGGGCCCGTTATCGGAACCTTGATATTTTTTTCGGATGTTCTCAGCGCCGCTCGAGTTTATGAAGCAGCGACGGATCATGATGCAGATTTTTCTCTCCGACTCGAGACTGTCTAGTGACATATCTTTCGGGCGGATCGCCACAAAAAAATCCTCCTCGTCTAAGTTGTAGGCTGTCCGCGTCATCTGTCTCAATTCGGTCGGAGACGCTCGCCATTACGGACCACGAGAGGATGGCAAGCATCAAGTTCCTGATAGTGCTCGTAACCCTCGGCTACCTCAGCACCTTGGGTGAGTTGAGTTATCGACGTCACTGACCATATTTTTAAGGATGAGGCTTGACTCGATCGAATTGTCTTCCAGCCGATGTTTCGGTGAACGCACAGAAATCACCGAACCCCATATCTGGTCTCAAGAAGAGGTCTGATGATTCGGCTACAGACGCGGGTGAGGCGGCAGCAACTCCGGAAGCAGATGCGGGTAGTGAAAAGGAGCCAGCCGAGGATGGAGAGGAAGCCTCGACTGCTTCACCGGATGACGCCGCGGACGACGAAACTACGACCGTCTCTCCGGATGACGGCGCAGACGACTCAACGACGACAGACTCCGATGCCGAAGACGGCTCATCTACGACCTCGCCAGATGAGGAGACTTCTGACGGCAGCGAGGCTCCAGGTGAGTTTCCGATAGCGGGCGGTGAACTCCTTCGGGCTTACCTCATCTGCATCGTCGACCGTTGCCACGTTGGCGTCACACGACGGTGGCTTGTTCGGCGAGCATATGTTTCCCGGAAGCGGAGCTCGGCATAGCTCCCGCGACTCTGACGAGAGCATCCAGACTTCGATGTTCATGTCTGATACGTACTTTTTCACTTGTGGAAGAACTTTACATGGATTATATGGGAAACAAGGTCTTTGGATTCTCCCTCCATGATGCTCCTCGGAAGCAGCCCATTCATAGATCGCAATAATGGCAAAGGGTCCTCCAATGATTGGAGATGAAGGATTTATGAATGCCAGGATATTTTCGTTTCAGAAGATGATTCTTCCACATCCGCATCGGTCCGCCGCAGATCTTCCCTGAAAAGTGAGGCTTGCTTCTCGCTCCCATGATAACGTCTGACGGCTTCTAGATATTCCGACTGAGTTGGTTGATTCAACTTTAACATCGAATAATTTACAGAGCGAAGCGACGAGGTGACCACGACCACGGAAGGCGGAGACGCTTCCTCGACCACTCGTGAGTGTGAATCGTGTTAACGGAAATCAGTGGAACACACTGACCGGGACTCGCATCGGTATTGTTAGCTCCCAACTGAAAAGTTCCAAACCCAATAAATCCCAGGTCCCATCGACCGGTCAAAGAGTTTGAGACTTTTCTGAGCTACACGTTGAGCGAATTAGTATCTTTCCCATGGAAGTTCTGAGTGCTAGGGAAATCATGTGGAGGATCCAGCTCCGTTTTTTCTTTAGCGGCTGAGGGAGGAGACGACGCGAGCACCACGCCAGAGTCGACGACGGAAGGTTCGACGGCAGAGTCGACACCTGAGTCGGCGCCAGAAACCACGCCAGCGCCGCCTCCGGTCGCGGCAGCTGTTGCGGGGGTAGCTGCAGTCCCTTCTCCTGCACCAGCTGATTCGCCAGCACCGCCACCGGTTGCGCCTGTGCCCATTGCAACGAAAAACATCACGATCACTAGTGAGTTGAATTATCAACAATTTCCATCAGGATTCTTGTAGAAGCGTCAGCTCTCCCGATGGACGAAAGATGGTTGGATCGACCTATATCAGAAATTCGACGAACCGAGGCTCTGACGAGTGGAAGACTCGATCAGGCATCCCTAATCTTACTATCAACTTCGTTCCTGATCCACAGAGCGGAGCTCAAACGCGAGTTCTCCCATAGCGGGTAAGGGGCCTAGCATGAAGTCGGCGTCAGATGCAGGTGAGCTGGTCGTCGACTGACGTCCACGCGAGGATTCGGGGAGCTCCTTTGAAGTTCCAGGAGGACTACCTAGTCCAGGAACAGGGGCTCGAATTCAATTCCTGGGAACTCTTGACGATCGGGCCGAATAATAGGTCTCAATCTAAGCCTTGTTCCAGCAATGTCGAAGAGGTCAGAGAAAATGAGGGTAAAGATCGGAGATAAAGCATCTGAGAAAGATCTCGGGAGCAAGCTCAGTGATTCAGGTGGGAGTATTTCATTCTGAGCACTGATATCATCAGGTAGCTGCGAATCGCGGATCACCTCCCCCCTCTCCTTTCCCACCCATGCTCATTGTCGGTAGAACACGATCCCATCTAAGCATGCCCATAGAGTAATCCCTGACGAAAAAAGATGATACAGTCAAAATCCATTGACTCGAGCCCGTAGTTTGGATTTTGATCTCATGCGAGAGAACTCGATCCCGGGATGGAGCAAAAAAAATTCGCGGCGAGACAATAGGCTGCGATTCCTTCATTATAGTGACTGATATAAGGAATGATAAGGTGTGAAGGAAATATAGGGCGGGCGGCATTCGAACATGTTAGGGCAAAACTCATAATTTTTCTTACATGTTTAGGCTAATGGAAGGAAAGAATCCCGCATGCTCTTGAGCTTTTTGAATCGTAAGGCCCGGTTATGACTACATTATCTTGGATGCTCAATTCCCGCCCAGATATCCAGCTGGGAATACCGAGGAATCTGTCTAATTGCGTACTGTTCAGAGCTCAATCTCACCCTTTCCTACCCGACAGAGCAATCTCCGGAGAAAAACGTCAAACAATGTTCACCGATCCCGAGTCCAAGGCGAAGACGGATTCGAAAGGAGCAAGAAAAGACTGATTGCAAAAGCGAAGAACTTGTACTGCGAGCCTAATAAATACGTACGTCTAAAGATCCCTTTATCAAATGAAGATTCCCTTCATTCGCCCCGCCGATCTCGATCACGAGGGAATCTCCATCCGGAGCATACTCTGTCGCGGAAGATCCGAAGATATATCGCTCCTCGGGAGTCATGATAATAAAACTATTCTGTACTCGAGATTCTCATAAATCGAACGAACAGGATACAATGAGCGTTTTTGACTCGACATCATCGTGAGTTTTCCTCCACGAGTATCGATCCTCGAGCACCCGGAGGCTCTCCGCGCTCATCAACAAGCGGATCGCTTAGTAAGGAACGAAATCGATATCAGTGAATACTGGGCCAGCTTTGTGGCAGCCACGCATCAACGGTGACCAGAATGAGCTCCACAAAAATCGCAGTTTTGATCATTTTGATTCTCTTCTCGCTGCGCGGGGACCTCCTGACGAATGGTGAGCTTCACGAAAACATCCAGCAGACTCAAGCTCAAGGAGAATATCGAGAATATTATACAGCGCGTCCTAGAGATGATTGGATCTGCGGGGATTGCAGTCAATGGCCTCACCGTGCACGATCGTATTCTCATTAACGCCAACATGTTCAGCCGACCCGCGCGCAGACTCTGGGCTCATAAGGTCTATCCCAGACGTTTCTTGTGAGTTCAGTTCCCGATAGCACTTGTCAAGCCTTACGGCGTGACTCTGTATTTCTGGATACGATCGAAATTTCTTTCATGACTCGCGACGTGAATGAGAACGTCGCATGACATGATGGGAGGATTCAGTGTGACGGAGGAATCACTACTATTGATCCAAAATTCAAGCACGAACTCGTGGTGGGGCAAATGTCATTTCAAGGATACGCTGTCCTTCTCCGAAATTCTGACACAGCTAGGCAACCTGCCGAAGTTCGACGCCCTGGACGTCTCAGGTGAGTCCTGTGTGGAACATGGAATGACATCGGAGGGACGGGGTTCAGGGTACTGAGGGGCTCATGAACCAATGGATGAGATCAACGTCGGGGGAGGATCAGTGTGGGAAGAATCAATCAATCTCGTGGAATTTCATGTCATACAGACTCTGTTGAATGAAATTCGGTCCTTTTATCAGTTGGATTTCGTTTGACCCTTCGAACTTCTTAGACGATCCAGTGACAGCGACCTCAGTTCATGCGAGTTACCATTCCAGTTTGCGGAAGATTGTCTTCGGTACCTCGCATCATCAATGGAACCGAAGCTGAACGTCAGATCTTCAAATACAATGTATGTAGATGTCATGCCGAAATCAACCGGAGTTCATCCACACCGATAACACTCAATAAGAAGGAGCCGCTTGCGCGTATAATATCGTGATCAATGCCGAAGGAGAATAACGAACAGAATCTCGAACATTGTCGTTCAAACTTTGCTACAGGCCGCCTTGGTGGACATGTCTAGGAGCGGAAACAAGGTCTTTTGCGGGTCGAGTATTTTATCATCGAGATTCGTGCTCACCGCAGCCCACTGTATCGAACCGTTCGTATGCTTCCGCGGTGCTGCGCGACGCAAGGCACAATATCTCAATTTAAACCAAACGGGAAAAAAAATCAGTCTGTCTCTTCGCCCGAGCTATTCGGAAAATAGACCCGGAACTGAACGATTGACGTATGGGCCCATGTCTCCACTTTCTGTTGCAGCTACGCGAAAAGTATCCACAAGCTCCGGGTCTCGATCGGTGAGTACGATCTGGCGGTGCGAAGCGACAAGTGGAGGAAAATCATGAAGATCGCGGACTGCCAGATGCACAAGGAATACACGGGCAAAAGCCCATTCCGCAACGATATCGCGCTCATCAAAACCTCGGACGAAGTGAATAATTGGCACTGCACAGAGACCCTGATCCTGAACAGATATCGTCAGATGTCAGAAAGGTTCCCTCCCTTCCCTCCTCGAGACCCGCTCTCGTCAATTCTTGACCACACGATTTTCAGATTGTTTTCAATGAATTCATCGGCCCGATATGTTTGCCTCCCGTCGCGCAGCGGCCCGATTTTTTCGAAGAACAAGCGATCGTCTCCGGCTGGGGACTCACCAACGGGAGTTTGTGAGTATGATTGCTCTGGCCCACAATTGCGATTCGCCTCTCGAGAGTAACATATCAAGCATTCGATAGTAGGGGATGAGGAACGGGAAGAACTTCTCCCCAGGACTTCCGTGAGCTCGAAACTGCTTCGAACTTGGGTCCCTGTGGTGACTCCTGAAGCTTGCTGGAAAGAGCTCAAGCGGAACGAGAGTTTCTTCGGAGGCCATCTATGTGCAGGCGGAGACGACTCGAGTGATTCATGTCAGGTATGTATGACTTCCCTCTCCAAAAGTTCCTCCTGCGAACATTTACGGTGCTTTTCCGTGCCTACCATTTCTCGCTTGCTATCCCCGGAATATCGCACTGTTCGATGCGTTGCAGGGTGACTCGGGCGGACCGCTAGTCATAATCGATCGCCGACAGCTCCGAGTCGTTCAGGTAACGTCACTTCCGAACGCAAGATTGATTAGAGGATCCATCTCAGTCAGATGACTTCGATGGTATCAAGGAGAGCAAATTCAGTAATTCAACAACAAAACCCGCAGATCGGGATTGTGTCCTTCTCGTTCGTTCCCGAATGCGGGTTCGGGAAACCAGCTATCTACGTGAATCTCGAGCAGTACACGCCGTGGATTTTGGAGAACGTCGGAATTCTCGGTGGTCTTGCTGGATGAGATACGATTCTCGGCCATGGAGGTTGGGGCTGCGACCAGGAGGGAATCCTATGCCATGTGACGCTTCACGACCGACGGCGATGGCCGAGAATAATGTCTCGGCTGTCGGGCGATTCGCGGTATCAACGATCCGAGCTCTCCCCATGAAAATCTTAATCAGAGCATCCAAGGGAATAAGAACGGGGCGAAATTAGAGGTTGAACGTTTTCCCCTTGAAGCCCGGGGGCTCGAATTCCCGAAAGAATAAAAAACATTTCATCATGGTAACAACAAGTGGAGTCAGTTTCGCAATTTATTAGACAATCAAGTTCAGGGGGCTTTCCTCGAGTCAATCCTCACTCATTGTCAAATTGGCCCTTTCTCCTCGTGGTGCAGCAACTCGTGATTTGCGTTCTCAGGAGCAGTCCTACCGACCATCTGTAGGGAGCACGGAAAAAATACGATGTGAGGTTGCTGTAGATCGGACAAGGTTCCGCGATTCCCTCCACGAAGAACAATCATTCCAGGGAGATAAGGCGCTCCGTCATTACAGAGAAGAAATCCTCGCTCTCTTTCTGCCTTGGTATGCTGTCGCTGATAGAATCCCGCATTGGTTCAACGAGAAATATCAGGAAAACCTACCTGCTTATACCTCAACAATTCATCATTAGTGTCAAAAATCTTGATGAGGAATGGCGATTTCGGGACGTGAACACCAGACCATTTCACCTGAGGGAAAATCGTGGAAACTGACGGGATGTCTCGAATCCATATATTTTGTCTCGATAGCCATATGCGTGTCTTTCCGTATATAATTACATGCAGCAAAGGTAGCCGAAACCTACCTCAATGCGATAATCTCCAGTTTCTGTGGGGCTATACTTACAGAATATGGCTCTATCTTTCGAGTTTTCCCTCGCCATCTCTACTCGGAAGGCTCCTACATATGAATGGATAGAGAATTTATTAAGTCAAGCTGAGCGGAGATACCTGAAATCCTTCGTCTCGGACGCATGTCTCCGGATATATCCCCAATACTTGGTCTCGTTCCCGATTTACGGAGACATCGGGCAGGAGAATCCTTACCCTTCGGACCCCGCACGCGAACGGTGAGTTGGCCAGGACCAGCACCGGCGGTATTGCAGATGAACCGGCTCTGGAAACATGCCAAGATCCCGTTCTCGACACCCGGGCCGTAGACTCGCACTTTGCTTGCGTCTGGGGGGCTGACTATTTTGATTGTGAACGGCGAACCTGGAGAAGGAAGTCGCTCGATGAAATCGACATCCGGAAGACTGGGTGAGATTGATGGAAGAGGAATGATGAGAGAGAGGAATTCCCATTCCGATGGAAAGTGTTCCACTTACCCATTACGTGTTCTTGGCCGTATTTAACAGTGAGTAAGTGCTTTCCGTTCTCCTCGGCGTGGACCAGCAACGTGCTCGTTGAATTCCCGTGATCAATGAGCTCACACTGAGCCATTTTCGAGGGACCCAAACACACTGCCGACAAACTCAACCCAGACTTGGCTTTCCTTGTGTCGAGGAAAACCTTCAGTGGCTGACCTGCAACAAGGACGATGCATGAGTTCCTCAGTTTCTACATCGAGTCCCGCAGCTACGGATTCGGAGAAGTAAGTGAGGGAATACATGTGCCCCTGATTCACCGAAGACAAGATCAGGCTCGCGGTCGCAATGTGAACAGCCCGGAATAAAAACATTCCTTCACTGACCTACGACGCCGCTCTTCAGGTTCTCCCCCGAACAGATGACGCCCACAGCGTGTGAAGCCTCCGCTCGGAACTCCATCGGACTACCCGTGACGTGTTGGTTCTCGCACTTGACGTGTAATTCATTCAGACCCGGACTCTGTGGTCGAAATTTCCCGTGGAACGTGTCTCCTTCTTGGATTATCTGCAATTCCACGATTAGTAACTGTGCATGGTTTCATTCCGAAATCCATGGTCTGGAACTCGTGCTCCTCTCGAGGCTCCACACAAACCTCCAAGGGTGTATCACCATCAGCCGAGCGGCAGAATGCTAAGATTTTCTTCTGCCCTCCGTCTGTCGTATGGACCGTGAAGTCGATGACGTCATGAACTTTCACTTCAGCGGGAGATTTACACTTCAGGACGATGTTCTTCGTTTTCTCTTCGCTCACTCGCGAAGACGGTCGATGAACATTCAGACTTATGGGGGAATGCCGCAATGGGAGGTTGTTGAAGCTCAGATGGATGTTGTGCTCTCCGGAAACCTTGATCGGGAGGTGAAATACTCAGAACCAAGGTTCAGGGAAATTGCTTCGTTCCATTACTTAAAGTCTAGTCTGAAAGTCAGCTGATCGCAGGCAAACCGACCTTGGGAGTGTATCTAATGAGCCATCCGCTCCGAGAACGCTCCAGGAGGAAATTCGACGTTCGCCCGTCGGGCAACTGGACTCTCCCCGAGAGTTCACCAACGGCAGAGTTGACGTTGCTCGGCATCTCGAATGCGAGCTTTATTTCCCGATTTATCTCGGCTGAGAGGTCCAGAACGCTCTCCCAGCCGTCAACGGGGAGAGGCTGTGAGAAGGTAAAAATTGAATTTAGCAGAATCCTCAGCTCGCGGGGAAGGGTTCTCTGTAATCGAGCTTGAATCCGAGCGCAGTAAGCCCGAGCAACCCGACATCGATCAGACCCCCACCTGATTTCCGTCGATAACGCTGACTTTCAAGGGCTCGTTAACTTGCTTCCCGTCGACCGTCATGAGAATGGTGTAGTCGCCCACATCGATCGGTAAGTACGAAACGTTGTAGGTTTTTTGTTCTCCTTATCTACAGTGTAGTCGGCTTCCTGGTTGTTGGGGCCCATGACTCTTATCTCGGGGCGGACCTCCTCGCTCGTTGTCTCCACGCGAAATGAAGCCATTTGATTCTTGAAAGCTTCAACCGCCCCACTGCCACTGATTTTGAGCTGACAGCCGTTCGTGGGACTTTGATCCTGCGCAGTGAACGTGGCGGGAGAATTCGGTACTGGATAACCTCCGTAAAGGACAGCTATCCGATATTTCCCTAGAATGAGAAAATCATGCTTTGGATTACAGATGACCAATCAGGTTTTCATGCCTGAATTCGGATTCGAGAAGATCTGAGCCTCGAGCCTCACCGGCCACGGCTGGTATGAGTTCGATGACCTCTCCGTTCTTCGATGATTTAACTTCAATTGGTAAGTTCTTGCCGAGGGGGCTGATGGCAGTGACGTCTAGCTCCGCAGTACCTGCGTCCCGCCGATCCACTGCGGAAATTCGGAAATAATATTAAACACGGACCGGAACGAACCCAAACCGCTTATTCGGCTCCTGCTACGGAAGAAGTCACGCCAGATAAGAATGGAAAGCTCCGCGAGCCGTCAACGGGGGGCTTTGTGCAAGGAAAGGGTAAAGCTCTCACAGCTGAAGCGAATCTTCTCGTTGACTTTGCAGACGGCTCTCTTGAGATTCTCGTTCTGGAATTTAACACGAGTCGCATCGAAGACTTCGCAAACGAACGGTGACCCCTCCACGTGAGTGCCTTTGTGGTAGATCTCGATGTTGTGCTTCCCGATGGTCTTCGGGCTCCTGGATAAATCGATGTGTATTTCTGTTAGCCGATGTGTCCCAAGACTTCTTGGCATGAAGAGGATCGCGGCCACGGCAATGGCGAACGGCGGGAGAAATAGACTCCCGAGTTATTCTCCTCGCTCAATGAATGCACATTACCATTCTACGAGCAGAGATTTGTTCTTCTGGAGGAAACATTTCACTGGCAGGGGCGACTGTTCATTCGCGACGATAATGTCGAAATCCTTGGCCTGACTGGAACCAGCGGTCTCGATCGTGAAACGCGCGGCTCGACCAACTTGAGCGGATCTCAGAACGGTTCCATGAACAATTAAACTTTGGCACGGATCACGGACCCGTAGGGTCTGTGAGCCTCCTGGCACGATGTGTCCGCCGAAGCGGATTTCGACTCTATGAGCAGCGGCGGATTTTGGGGTGAAGGAAACTTTGTACAGGCCCACGGCGACTTCTTCGGTTTGCACCGGCACCTTCTTCTTATTGTGGCTCTCAATGATCTGAACATCCAGGCTGCTTTGACCGGCTTTCGTGACATCAACTGTAATGGAGCACGTTCCCATGAGCATTGTTCCCATCGCTGCCTCAAGACTCGGAACGTATAATCTGGAGCCAGAGCCGGAGGGTCTCTCACCGCGGAACGCTGTGAGGCGGTCCAAGATTGCGTCTTCCAAATCCATGACCTTGACTTTTGTGACGTCGATGATCTGTACATTTTGCGTGATCAGAACTTGAGCTCCAGCCAGGATCTCAAGCAGGTAACCTCCGACCTCCTTTGGCAAATACTCAGCTCTGCAACGCAAGAACATCTCATTTGAGACTGCCGTCGATCCGCCTTCATCCGTAAATTGGGAAACTGCGCGAGACTACTATTTTAGACTTTCGAATTCCGTGGTCTCCTCGCTCCTGGACTTACTTGTAGTGTCTCTCCGAAATTTTCGTCACGACGCATTGAGCCTCAGCGAAGCCTTTACTCAGTCGGATACTGACAGGCTTGTCGAAATCGATGAGTTCGAATGAGTTCCTCTGGTTCGCAATCCCAGTTTGAGCAGCGCTCCCCATGATTCGACCAGTCCGTTTCGATGAGAGATGCTTCTCGTCGACAACTTCGATACGGAAGGGGTTCCCAGGAATCTCCAGATCATTGAACGTGACGTTGACGTAGTGTTCCGTCGCATCGATTGGCACAAATGATACGTCGTAAACACCTCGAGTTTGCGTGGCAACCTCAGCGCGGACGGAGCTTTTCTTCGTGGTCACGACCTGGGAGATATTGAAGAATGTACTCAGGGGTGGATGTGATCGAGTAAATGAGAAAAGATCGATTCGAATTGAGGCGAACCGGCGGGACTTCCCAGAATCATCGGTCTCCGGGAGAGCGTATGAATATGCAAAAACTTTGAGAAGCGGAAGAATCAAAACTTCGCACCAATTCAAGGGTTCCTTCGCCGCAATTAGAGGCATCGACGCAGAAAGTCACCATTCTTCCCACGTAACCCCGATGCAAGCCCGTGATTTTCACCCGTTGGACATCGAACACGTTCGAGATGAAGGGACTTCCAGGAATCTGGGAACATTGCAGACACGATAAATTCCAGAGACCTTCCAAGTTCAGCTGAGAAATTCCTCCTGACCGGAAGGAGCCGCGTCATATCGATGGACCACGATCACCATACCTGACTACCGTCGAGGTAAACGAAAATTTTTGTCCGACCAATATCGGTCGGGGCGTAGCTGGCGACGAAGCCCTTCTCCGACTTCTCGACTTTCGCGGCATATTCAGTCCCGTCGACAGCTAGAACACGTAATATTCCTCAGACCTTCGCTAGAAATGCGTCATTCTCTCATCGAGCCTGTCGCTTGAGTCTTTCACCGACGAAGTGGATCCTCGATCGCCTTCTCACCTTGTATTCGTACGTTGCAGTCCTTCGGTGTCGAGCCTCCGGTGTCGATCGAGAATGTCAACGGGGTGTTGATCGCGACAGATTTGAACACAGCTGGATTCACGATCGCGTATGCCTCAGAAATGGCGGACGAGCCTGGCGGTTTCTTGACAGCCACGCTGAAAGGGCTTCCTTTGACGGGTACCGAGTTGAACCTGATGCTAATCTGATGGACGTCGGCCTCACTGTGAAACGCATCATGGATCAGGACGACATTCCTCTCTTCGATTCTCATCTCATTCTCAGACCGGAGTCCCTTGATTCGTATCCTGAGATTCAGAGTCAGCAAACTCTTGACGGAACTAACTTCGGCTTGAAGTTGACTTTGAAGCTGGCATTGCTCTTGCTCTCGACGTAGTTGGGAACATTCCTCCCAGAACTGTCGCACACGATGATCTCCAAGTCCCCGTGGCCGGCAGAGTTGGCGTCGATGTTGAAGGAGACTTGATCATCCGTTGTTCCCGAGGTTATGTCACTGACCTGGATTAATGTCAAAAAAAGTTCCTAGAGCTGTAGCTGAAAAATCGATCAAGCCGAGCCTGATTGGAAACCTCTGAAAGCCTCGTACCTTGACCTTCGACGCATCGAAGACTTTCACAATCAGCGGAGCCTTCAGGAGTGAAGTATCCTCGATGCAGAAATCCACCGCGTAGTCGCCGACCGATTCGGGTCGGAACTCGAGGTTGTACAAGTCGCCATTCCGCGTCATCTGATAATTGTTCTCGAGGTTGCCATTCGGCTCGACAATGTTGGCCTTCAGATCGATGAGTTGCTGCCCACCAGCGGACAGCGCGAAGTTGCATTTCCCCCCGATCTGCACGCGATCCACGACTTCCCCGGAGAGTTTCACTGCCCCCAAGTCCAAAACAGGACAGTTGAAGCAGCTCCCAGGAACGTGGATTCCATTGAAACGTACGTCGATGACATGATCGACGAGCTGTTCCGGTGTGAAGTGTATGGAGTACAGAGTCGCGCTTTCTGCTCGTGAGCTCGTAGATATCTGGCCGTTGTTTATCGATATTTCCAGACTACCCGGCCCACCGCCTGCGGTTTGTACGAGGAACGATGCAGGTACACCGAGTATCGCGGGTTTCGGGATATTCGAGACCTTGATGCGGTTGATGTCGAAGATTTTGCAAACAAACGGACTGCCTTCGACGACCTGATCGCGGTATTTGACCTCGACGTGATATTGACCGACGGTACTGGGTTTGAACTCAACCGCCAACGTGTCCGGCTCTAGGGCTTTCAAGGTGAAGGGCACCAGGCCGCCGTCCGGGTCGAGGACGCGAGCGAAAAAGTCCTGAACGTTGATATCACCCTGGAAGATTCCGATCCGTAAGCTCTCGCGCACTAGAGATCCGATGACAAGGACGTTAAAATTCCTAGTCAGCTGCGTTCGGAAGAATCGTGCCCACCGACCTGGAGTGGAAGTGACGCCAGGCTATCGACGCCTGAGAAAATCGGTCCCGGTTTCAAGGGTAGTATCTTCGACATCGTCTTCTTGACTTGAATGAGGAAGGGACTCTGGGGAATGCTCTTGTGATTGAAGGCGATCTTTATCGTGTGAGGCTTCTCTACTTGCGGCACGAAGCTCACGGCGAATCGAGCGGCCTTGATAGCTTGTACCTTGAATACAGCGGAAAACGCGCGGTCGGAATACGTCAATTTCTTCAGGAATATTTCGATGGCGACCTCAAGCTTTCTCCCTTGATCCGAGAATTCCGGCTTGTAAGTGGAACTCCCGGCAACTACCTTGGTTGGGACATTCTGCTCCTCGCTGCTCACGGCGATCTCCAGGTTTCCCTCTCCGCAAGAGTTTGCATCAACTGGAAGAAGAGTTGTGAGCGAAGTGAGCAGGGATTCCTCCACGGCTGCTTGTTCCTGACATGATTCAGCTTTCGATATCCCGGGCGATTCCGGGGCCTCACCGATGAAGTTCACAGGTTCACCGAGTTGGACAGCGCCGTTCCCGAGGTTTTCCACGATCAGGGCTTCCGGATCGAAACATTTTACGGTAGATGGCGAGCCTCTCATCGGTTTCCCGGCGTAGTCCACGGATATCACGTAGCTCCCAGCCTGTGAGAGACAGCAGCTTCAGGAAGGATGCGAATCACAGGTGTGACAAAACATGCCTAGATATTTATCACTCCTTGAAAAAGGACTAACCCGAATCGGGGTGAATTGCACATTGATATTATCCGACGTCAGCGGCTTCACACTGACAGGCACCTGATCGTTGTTGAGGTCTTGAAGATCGGGGAAAAAAACGAGAATCATGAACTGAGACCGATACGGAAGGAATGAATAGACAATCTTCGCCCAGGATCCCTTTGCTAGGTTCTTCCCAACCAAATTACCGATGACGCCGACGTTGAGCAGATCCCGTCGCCCTCCGGGCAGATGAAGATCGAACTGGAACGGTTCGTTCGCACATATGGCCGGAGCGTCTTGCAAGTCGAACTCGTAAGGCTCGTGTGCGTTAACCACGAAAGGACAACCGGGGATCATCTCGCCGTTGAACCTAGGGAATTGGGAAACAATTAGGTGAGGAAAAAGGAGTCGATCTTCCACGGAGGCTCCGACGATGCGAAATCCCCGCTCTCACATCAGCGCACTCTCCAATCCAGGAGGAGCAATTTATTAAGGTCTCACTTGATTTCGACAAGATATTCCCCTTCCGTTTCGGGCGAAAACTCTATGATGCATTTTCCTCGGTCCAGAACGGTCACGTCATTCGCGATTTCACCTTTGTTTATCGATATCTGCAGAGATCCTTCGCCGGCCAACGAAGCGTCGACTGAAAATGCAGAAACACATGTTATCGAGAATATTGAGGAGCGAGATGAGCGAATGAGCGTGGGAGCCTGACGCCTCGTTCATTCGGGGGCGTTCGCATCAGGGGAGAGTTCTGCCCGGGAGCTGCGAACATGCTGCGAATGAAACGAACCTTCGAACTGGACGCGTGAGCCAACTTCCACGTGCTGGGAGACCCCACACATTGTGATCTTCTGCGCGTCGTAACTTTTGAAGATCACGGGACAGCCCTGAACCTTGGAATTCCTGAATTTCGCGTCGAAAATCCAAGATCCGACATCATTGACGGAAAACTGCACGAGACAGACCGAGAGCGATTTCCGAATCACCTCGTACGATTGCGAAGCTGCTGCGTTCGGCACTGAGAAAATTCAAAACTATTTAGAAGTCATAAGGAATTTTGGCGAAGAAACGTCTCACTAATAATCTCCATTTTTAATGGGTCTACTCTCGGGATGAAGTGGTATTCGGTGCAGACATGACCTTGATGCCGTCTCTAGGCTCACCATTTTTCAGGAGATATATCTGCAGGTCTTTTTCTTTAGCATCTGGACTGACTTCGATCTGCAAAATCTGCATTTGTCGACATGGCACCGATTGTAGAGACTGGCCGTCAGTTAGCACAGCCAAAAACTTCTGTATGGCTAGACGTCCGCTCCTATCGACGTGCTGCAAAACGGGACCGTGCGTCAGTTGCCGGATCACATCGGGAAATGGTCACTGATTCGGAAATCCTAGGACTTCAGACTTTAAGAATATGGCCGTATATGCTCGTCCTGGCTCACGTTCGTCGTTTGTCCTTCGAACACGGAACATTCCCAGGGCGATCCGCGGAGCGCGATGCCATTGAACTTTATGTCGATCTGCAGATTAACACATCAAAAGTTTGAATCACTGTTTGTGCGAATCGAATGGATAGTTCAACGGAATCTCTAACTCGACCGATTTTATGCGAATCTAGAATCACCTTGTGAACGACCGGACGCTCGGGAACGAACTGCGCCTCATACAGTTGGTCGTGGAGTTTTTGCAGCGTGGAAATCACGGTCCCGTTGTTGATCTTGAGCTCTAAATGACCGCTACCGGCTTGGTTGCCATCAACTGCAAACGCAAATAATTGTGGCTACGACTTCCTCGTGCAACACGGCATTGGCTCGAATCGAGTTGAATGAGAACGGTCGACTTTCAATATCCGCTTTTTCAATCTTTTTTTATTAAATCCCCCGTGCGCAGGGATCAACTCACTCTGAAATCTGATCGGACGTCCCACGAAGCCGTCGGAAATCTTTCCCACTCTGATAGCGTCCGGGTTGAAACCGTTCGCGAGGACTTCCAAGAATTTCTGTTGGTCATAGATGAAACTGAAGATGTGCTCGCCCACTTCGAAAACTTCTATGAGGACCTGGACGAGTTTCGGAATGATTGGGTCGACTCTACCGGGGATGAGACGGCCGGAGGGGTCGCGAACTAGAACCTGAGAGAGGGAGGGTCAATTGGATGGAGAGATTCGATTTTCCCCCCTCGCTTTCTGGCAAAGATAGGAAGTTTCTGTTGAGCGACGGGAACAGTTCTTCATCGTACCTGGAGTTTGTCGACGCTGAACGGAATCGTTTCTGTCATGATTTCGAACATCAGCGGTTGATTGATCGGGAACAGCTCTATTCTCTCGAGCTGCACAATCTTCAGTTCAGAGATAATTTGTTCTTTCGCTGTCCTGGCCGGAGAGTTACGCAACGATGTTGGCGCGTGACTCGGCATTCTGGGTGCCCTGGGAAGAAATTCGTGAGCATGAGGATGTTCGGCTGATGACATCATATGAATAACTGGAGCCGAAAGAGAAAGTTCTACCTTGGCACCTCCGGTGAGAGGGCTTTGGGTGGCGGCAGCGGAGCCGTCTGATTGACGTCGGACCTCTGACGATGATGCGAGGTTTTTCTTAACGAATCCAAATCCGAGGACTGGTCGCTCCTAACGCGCTGGCCTGACTCATCGAGAATGGATGATTCTTTACGAGTCACGTTGGAAGTCACGTAATTTTGAGTAGGCGACAGGGTACGTGAAACGTTATGCGTCACCGGGGAGCTTCGGAATATCTCCGTTCGATGATTCGAGCTCGACTGAAGCAGTGGGGGCGTATTTTCCGAGGAATCAACTCGGGTCTTGGCGACGCCCGAAGGATTCTGGGCGTTTCGGATGAACTGGAGACGCATGTTCTGCGCTTTATCGCCTGGCGCGTCAATGACAGTCGTTTCGTTTGTACGTGGAGCCGTACCTATCCGAGAGCTGACGTGCTGCTTGACGGCGTCTGCGGAAGTGTCGAAGAACGAATCCATTTTTTCGAAGATCGACGAAGTCTGCGGCGGAGTCGGACTCGAATATTCTCTCTTGCCACCAAAGTCTCGCATTTTGTCCAATGGACTCCGCGTCCTGATTTCATCCAAGCGGGTCGGAGAGAGTCGATCGTTGTGCTCGAAGACTCCACCGGTGTACGTGGCTTTGAAAATTCCGTTTGGAGTTGCGGCGATCTCCGGTGCTGGCCTAGGGGGGCTTGAAGTCGAGAAGGTGCTCACCGAGGATTCGTGACGATGGTCGTGGCTCGAGATGAGGTCCGGAGTGTTCATTCGCGTCGAGTGGACGCTTCGCGATACGTTGCTGAACGACTGGTTCGAGGCTGTTCTTGTTCTCTCGCTGGAACGAAAACAATTGTTCGGTGTCGGACGCATTCCCCTTAATCATAACCCGGAATCATAATCCGGAAGTGGATTTCCTCTGAGGCTCTCGACTCACCTGAGGTCAGGTCCGCGGAAACCCGTCACAGAGTGCCTCCCATCGAAGCTCAATGACGAAGAACTTCTACCGTCGACGAAATCGTCGGACATCGCCCCCAGAGAGTGACTAGAGTTCATGTTCGAAGAATGCATCTGCGCCTCCTGCAATCCAATGGGTCAGGAATGAAACGTCATGTGGAGCGTGAGCGAAGCTCAATCAGCGCATCTATCGCTCATGCTTTCGATCAGCTCCCGAATTTCATGGAGACTTCCGGGCAATCTCATATCCGAATAATACCTTCAGTTTGGACGGGTCATATACGAGGCATGTGAAGGGAGAGCTGGCGATATGGTCACCGTTGTATGTTATGTTGATCATCCATTCTCCGATTTGCTTTGGAATGAAGGAACCGTGGAAGGAGTTTCCTTGGTGAGTGACTTCACACGGAATCACAACTCCGAAAGGAGACACCGCCTCAATGCGAACTCCACGACTATTGGCGCCGTTGGAATTGATCTGCGTGCATGGAGTGCAATTTTAATGAGTGATCCACAGGAGCATTTGAACGATCAGCTCTCCCGGTTCAGCGGTACGCACCATGATGTCGACGAGTGAATTCAGAGAGCAGGGGCCTATCCCCGCTTGGGACAGCCCGGCGAAATCGGGAGAAACTTCGACGATCAGCGGGCAGTTCTCAACTAATTGGCCTTTTATTTGAACCTTTATTTCGTGAGGTAAGGACTGGGTCGGGATGAAGGTGCCGGTCAATTGTCTCCCGTTCCGGTCCAGACTGATAGAAGAGAAATTGCCGTCAAGATCAACCCTGATGGATACAATAATAGGAGACACTTCCATCTAATCTGGCATACACACCGGACGGGAACCCGTGTAGAGTTCTTCAACAGCATCACCTCCACGGACAGATCATTCTCGATGCTCACGGTGGAGTTGACGCCGACGATTTCGAACGTCACCTGGCAAAACAGACCCAAGTTACTGGGAAGCGCTCTCGACGGAATTTCTCGTTCAACACGAAGGATTTCAGGTGCACCTCGGCAGGGAAACATCTGTCCGAAAGTACCCACCGGCTTGTTTGCCTGCACGTTGCTGATGTCTAGGATTCGAATGTGGGGTTTTTCATTCTGTTCGGTTAGTTTTTGGAGTTTGGCAAGATATTTCATGATCGTCAGCGCTTGAACTTCGGGATCGGACATTTCTTTCGCTGAAATCATCCTGGAAACATCGGGAGTTATTTCGAATCCGTATTTCCGGACCACTATTCACTTTCTCACACTAAGACGAAACCTCCTCTACGGCAGGCCTGCATCTATAGATAATTTTCTACTAACTTCGGAATTTTCAATTGTGAGTGGGCTGCGGTTATCCCTCTCAGGCAGTTCGTCTCGAACTCGTGAGGCATCCTCGACAGATCCCTCATGTCGACGGTTCCTCCGAGTTTGTTGATCAGCTCATATAGTGCGCTCCCGTCATTCCAATCGGTCTGCGGCATGGACGAAATCCATCTTATAATACGTAACTCAACAGTGTTAACGAACATTGTCGACAAATCGATTTCGAACTTACAGTGAGGTTGCTCACGTAGGGTAGATACTTCTTCACCCAATCGAGGATTCTCCTATGCCCCGGGGAATCTTCATTCATGTAGTACGACAGATACGTCATGCCTAGAAATAATGAATTGGAGTCTGATGCTCGAGAGCCTCTTCACGGCCGACCGGCCTCTGGAATCCTCATTCCGAACCAACTCGTGATTCCATAGCTCTTCCCAGGACAACAGAAAATAAATGCGCAGTTCAAGCTCATAAAACAGAGAAGTCATTGGCTTATCTCGATTTTCAAATTTTTGCCGTGGGGCGGATCGTCGTCACTCGAGATCCTTAGATAACTCGAAGAGCTTCACTGATCCGAAGTGAGAATCCAAGCGGATGGCTAGGCTCCTCAAAGGCTTGAGGGAAAAAACTTTTCCAAGACAAAGCCGCGATACAATTTAGTGCGACCAAGGGATTTCTCATTGTGGCTACTGGAGTCGATGCTCCACCGAAGCAGGCGGAACAACTCACCTGAAAGCTCATCTAGTTTCTCCGAACACAAATCTTCGGGCCGCAGAACGATCGGGATCCCCAGTCGATCGCGGGCGGTTTCCATAGCGAGTCGGCAGTTCTCGAACCTGAGGAGGGAAAAGATTATATGAATATTATTCGGGATCGACGACGATTCCCAAAACTTAAAAATCAAGTAACTCGAGGAAAAGACGGGTCGCGACAGGGCTCTTACCCATTATTAGGGTTTAAGTTCCTCCAGTCAGGTATGAGCTCGGGGTCGCAATAGTTGACTAGTGCGCTCAATACAACACCGGAATTCCAGTCGGTCGAGAAGTTAGAGACTTCCAGATCTGTTAGATGAAGAATCATTACCTCCTCATTACGGATGCCGGATTCGAATTGTGGGATGAATTTCGAATTCTCGAGAACCCATTTGTGATAGGTTGCAACGTCTCCTTCGATGGACAAACAGAGATGTCGGGCTAATGAGGCCCGAAGTCCCGCGCGAAACACTGACCTGGCGGCAGAACATTACGGAGCCACCCAATCATCGACTTCCTCGCTGGAGCGTTCGATCTTCCGATTTGATACCGAACGATGAGAGACCAGACGAGACCCAGGATCAGCTTCAGGTTCCCTTCGACGACATCGGTGTTCCCTGGAAATCAGGAGGAACAATTATCATTCTAGACCTGTTGAGGATATAATTTCCCTATGAGCATTCGACCGGTTTTTGCACGTGCCGTATCCGTTAGAGGGCTTCGTCAGAAAAAAACGGCACGAACGGGAGAGTTCTGCCCTTCTGTGATGGAGCTCGGTAGGCTAAGCGATGTTGAAGAGGGGAAATAGATGTTATATTAGTCATGTTTTCGTCATGTTGCACGGAGATCGATCATTAGGTCTATAGCGGAGGGATTCTGCTCGTATGGTAAATAAAGTTTCGCGTGATTCAAGTATTCCAGGCTTCCCGCGGGAGGCACCCGCAGGGAACTCCACGGTTCTCGCGACGTCCAGTCCGGATCGAATTCGATGATTCGGGGAAAGTTTCTCGAGTCAAAATATCATCGAAGAACATCATGACACGTTGCGGCTCTCTCGTTTAAGAGAAACTGGCATTCAATGTCAAATCGGAGCGTCGATTAAGTGGAAATCATCGATCCACGATTTTATATCTCCGGAGCGTAAGCGTCTAGACACACGAGGGGCTGACGATAATTAGGGATGGAAACACTTCATATAAATTTGACGGGAGCAAGTGGTACAATGAGGTCACGCTCCCGCACGACGGTGTATGCACCCACGAACGTTATACCAAGTCGTTCAAATCGCCTAACGGGAATGTTATCTCCCCGCTCCGCCGCCAGATGCCGAAATTACAGAAGCAGAATCACGATCGGCGGTCGTGGTCGCCGACTTTGTCGTAGTAATAGTGAAATAATTACAAAACAGAACTTCTCAATGACGTCTCCCAGCACATGGGTTCTCGATAGAATGATCCTATTGAAGGCCGTTCTCGAAAAACCGCACCTTTGTTGGCGAGCTGTCCGCAATCCAAGCCATCCGGTCTATCCGATGAGGGGAGGATAGAATGATTCCCCTAAGAGCGATTTGAGTTGATCCGGTTCCAACATGGATATTTTTCTTTTCCATTAGGATCAATCATCGATACCTCGAGGCCACGCAGTCCCGACTTCCCGGAATCAGCTTGGGAGAACGAAAAACAATGTTCCTGATGAATGCCACTTTTTGGGCGTGGCCTCGTCAATTATCGGAGATCGGAGGGAGAGAGGAGTCAGAGGGATCCTAATCGCATCTCTCCGGATTGTCCGTGCTCAGATCGCAGGAAAGATTGTTGAACATAACTTTCTCTTCTTCAGCTAGATCTTCGCGACACCGATCTTCTCCATCAGCGGCGATAGTCGTCACGATTCGTGTCCCATTCCCACGAGCCGCGTTCTAGACAGCGAAAATGAGGAGTACCGCCTCCCACAACGAAGCTAAGCCATTACAGTACGGAAGGAATACCGGGCTAACCCTGCTTCCGTCACATTCAATAGTTAACGAACACCAACCACTCACGGTACTTCTTCGGAATTATTCTGTCGAAACTCGCAAGGAACTCTTCCGCCTCCTAGTTCGGGACATCCCGCCTGATCACAAATGGATTTCTCAGGGAAGCGGATCGCTAATGAATACACAGCTCTACAGTCGAGTCATATCTGAGGCATCGGAAGAATGAAGAAGATAAGAAGAGGAGCCACACGTAACTGCAGACTGCGACACTCATCGGAGCTCGGCGTAGACTTCAGGCTTTCGGTCGAACTGTCACCGTCAAATCGACATCCGCGTTTGACAGAGATACAGGTACACATATTCTAATCTTTGTTTCCCTTCTGACGGTGTCACCGCGTCCCGCTGATCGACACGTACCCTACAGGCGCCCGACGAAGTTCCTTGAACCTCGAGGCGAGAAGAATTTATTTATTCTCGGGTCGGAACAAAATTTTATCGATCGGAGCCAATCGTTGCCGGAGCTTAATCGAGTGAGGATTGATATCCCGTTCCGGAAAAGTCGCCGAAGGAAGTGCATGGCGAAGTTTGAAAAATGTAGCTCTTCGATCCGATAATGATTGTTTTATAATAATGAAGCTTATCTGAGCGATTCTGAATCATCGAATCCACAATGCTAAGCGTGATTGGATTATAGGTTGAACGCGATGGGCAACTCGGGTTCGATCAAGATTGCGTCTCGTTCTAATCCGCGCACGTTGTGAACGCGGACTCCATTCCCAGGATTGGGGCTCTTGAGAAAGTATTCAGGATGCTCGGCCATCGTCTAATTCGCCTCCAAGTACAGATTTCCGCCGACGAGTAAGCGAGCGTGATTCTGTCCAGAGAATCGCCCCTGAACCACCGGCTACGTCCTCAGACTAATATAACATTCCACCTTCACTGATCACTCTGAACGATTGAGAGAAGTTCATGTGATATAATCATCCTCCGGAACTGTGCAGTACTCGACGGATAAGTATCGATCGATCCGTGCAAGAGAGAGGCCATTGCCGGTATCAAGGAGCCACGCATTCCACCGCAAACAAAGGCGTTGCTCGCCTTGTCGCTGAATGAGACTGTGTATCAGAGACAGAATGGTTCTAGCCGTAGTAAAGCCGCGGCTTGTTTACCACAGTTTCGCTTATCGCAGTTGATAAACTCGTGCTTTCGCTATTGTGTATAAAATACCACGGGAAAATCTCCGTAGCCTGACGCGGAAGGCGACAGCGATCGACAGAATAATCGGCACGTCGGATTCCGCCTGTCCATCAATGAACGTCCAAATACGAGCTTTTTTGACACAACGATACGTTCGATCCGTATATAGCGAAAAAAATTAAGGGAGGTGCCCTCAACGGTTTTCAGAGACCTGTAAATGTCTTGCTTACCACTGCTCTGCCCCGTTCGTCCTTTGTCCAATTATGTATGAGAGACGGAAGCCCGAAGCCGGCCCACAAACGAGGCGTTAGCTTTGACCATGACGACGCCTGGGAGCGTTCACCACGTTTGTCTTTGAAATCTTCGGACAGCTTGATCTGTAAGCCGCGCACACCTATCCGAAAGTTATAACTTCCCGGTGTCTGAAATAGTTTCTATCGAGTATAATAGTAACCTTAACACAAGACGCCCTCTGCGGGGCTCTGCAGTTATTACAGAAGTTTTTCTGTCGCGCATCCCACTGACTGAGATGGATCAGGCTGACTGTGCGCGCGGCACAAGGGCCCATCGGAAATGTGGGGGATCTCATAGCAAGAAACGGCTCCTCGGTTAGCAAGTACGGTCGAAACAATGGGCGCATGCTCTAAATGCACACGAGTTTGGGACAGATGGACACCGCGCCAGTTCCTGTTCCATACCTAGATTGATGCTCAATAAAAATGAGATGAATTTATCACAGCCAGTTACGATGCATCGATGAGGCAAGTGGCTAACGTGGAGCGACAACGCTCGCATCACTGCTTACACTCTCCCCGCAGAATTTGAATGACATCGCATCTGTTCAACAACGAGTCATTGATCGTGATCGGTGGGCAGAGGATTCACCGTTGTATGACCAACATACCAGTGCGAGAACCATTCGACATTGGAGCCGCTCCGTGGGACTTCGCTCATGGATTTATCGGTTTACAATGTAAATGGAATTTCGCGACACGCACCATCCCCCGATCATTGTCGGTAAATCTCTTTTATCATCAAGAAGAATAAAATTAATGTCCGTAAACGAGTTATTACCCCAGTGAACGACTTCTCCCAATATTGACTAGAATATAAAAAGACGGAATACGCGAGTTTGCCTTTGGATTTTACATTTGCAAGATGTTTTCAAAATAGGTGGCATACTTCATTGACTTGGAAAAGGACGGCCTCGGGCTCACACTCAGCGTCACCCTGCCTAGCTAGCACTGTCGAATTACCGTGCATCGGGTCTGCGCCGAACTTGCGTGAAATTCGATAACAGATGATGGGATCCATCATTTTCTTGTCGCTTCGTCACTGCCGCCGATGAAGTCGATGCGATCGAGAAAATTCAGAGTGACCGGAGGTGGCGTTAATAATCGGTGGCAAACACGTAAGTAGGCGTCCGTCATTCGATTTTCTTGGTGAAACGACCGCGGCGCGTGTATTTTTTTTCCAGAAGACGGAATTTGCCGGAGAACGTTTCTATCCAACTTCCCCGGCTCTTCTCTCAATTGGTTCATCTGTCGGTCTGTCTCTCCATCCGACTGCCGGTATCTATCGCTGCGCGATATTCGCCACGCTGCTGTCTCATTCGTGGGTGCCCGCCCGTTCGTTGACCTGGCTTTGCCGTTCAAGAACAAGCGAAAAAACTGAACAAGAAAACGTAGCAGCAGAAGATGGAGCGAACGAGTGAGTGACTGAGCCTCCATCACCGCGCCACTGGCAAACGGAGTGGCGGGCGGGCAGGCTCGGGCGGTCGGTCGGGCGACCACTCCACGCTATCATCCAGCAACCCCAAAATCCGGGACCAGAACTGGATAGATCCGAGCACGTTTTCTTCAATTTGATCTCCAGCTAACTCATCCGCCGTCTCCGTGATTTCCAACCGCTAAACTTGTACCGAAGGGGCGGAGACGTACGGCAAGGAATGCCACTGTATCGATCCTCTCTGATCTCATTTAATTCCGCTCCTATGAAATATTCCTCTCCGCTATCACCAGGATGCAGAAACTCCCTCGTCGTCCACAGGTCTTAAGAATTAGGCACACGTCAAGCCTCCGACTGGCCCGATTTCGTTAACAAATTGACCAACGATCGCAGCTGTGTTTGCGGATTGACGGACAAACGGAGATCCGGATTGTCAGATCCAGAACAAGGAAGAACGTCGCAGTTTCTCCAACTCTGTAGGGAACCAGCACTTTCGCGTAACGAATTTTTTTCATGGCGCCTCCCATTCGAGTGCCGAGATGTCATTAAAATTGCAAACGACCAAGACTCGATATTCCGTACATTGTGATAGGGTTCCCCATTTGGACCAACTCTGCAAGCGAATTCCTCCTCTCGGAGTAATTGACTCCACATTCCAGGCAATATCTGGAATTGTTCTGCTTCTTTCGCCACACCTCATGCGGACTGAGTCTTTTTTTTTGTACTAGAGGCTAAGTTGGGAGCAGTTACCCGCGAGCGATTAGCATTAGTCAGTGTTCTTCCGCGCCAGCCTCGGAACGAAGTACGTTTCCCTCTCTCAATGCCAGCCCCGTCGTTTCTCAAATTGTTCACGTTCCATTTTTTTTCTATTCACTCAAGAAGCAAGAATCTTGAGAATGCGCTGTCACAAATTGAAAAACAAATCATGGCAATTCCTGAAATGCCGAACTGCGCTGCCAATCTTCAACGGTGACATTTTTTCTGCGTCGTCGGAGTAGAGCCTTCTTACTCCGCCTGTCGTTAGTCCAGAATCGTGGAAACGTCGATGACGACGGGGACGGAGGAACCAGAACTGCCGTGCCTTCTTCGACTTTGAATCTAGGTGACAGATTTCGCACTAACTCCGGCGCTAGCGGTGCAGACACAACTCTGTAGGAGTACGACGTGTCGAACGGTCTCACCAAGACACGACGATCACTCGGCGTTTTCGGCAACTTCACGTGAGCCATGGGATTCTTCATCATCAAGCCGGAGGGCTGGTCGAATCATTCCAGTCGATAAGCGTCACAGAGCTGAATTCTGTAAACTTGGAGCGTAGCGAGCCGGGCTTTTGTTCTTTGGTTATGCTATGCTCAAGATATTCCTTTGTGTCGTTTTTTTCGCTATTCTTAGCTTCCGCGTCCAGCGACGTGTTCCTCTCTTCCTGCCTGTCCACCTCTGACGGTCGCTTCAGGCATCGGAAACCCTCACCGAGGGTCGTCGATAATGGCGACGAGTGTTGATGCGGATCCATCGCTTTAATATATCAAGTCTCCATGAAATGTCTCTCAGAGCTTGTGCCGGAAGTTACCCTCAAAGGTACGTTCGATGTAGTTCTTGGCGCCCACTCCCTTTGTTTTCGGAGGGATCGTTCCCGCGGGAGTCCCCCCATCCACTTCGACTATTTATTCTTCATCTCGACGGCTCGAGAGTAGAGGTAGAGCTACCTCACCGCTGAGGATTAGCTTGAGACTGACAAATGCGGGGAAGTTCCTCTCGGCCAGTGAGAGGTCCCGCAGGAGACCTGGTGCAGCTCCAAGAAATGGAAATGCATAATTCATCAGCTTAGTGGTTATGCAAATCGATTGGCGGAGCGGTGCAACGGAGAACAAACTTTCCTCGCGGAGTCATTGTGTGCCCGGAACGATCCAGTGTCTGCGAACCTATGAATGGAATCGTCACCCAGAAAGCGACCACACGGGAAAAAAACACTTTGTCTCAATGCCCGTCGTCAATGCTCTTTCGACGGACGATTGCATTCGATTACGTCCAACAGCAGACCTCACAATCGAGATCACGTTGTGTTTCAGTTTCTTATAGTGTACTGTGGAACCCCGCCTATATCAACTCGTGCCTGCCACAACGGGTGATATAATCTAGGTTCAATGGGAAAACTCAGGAGCCTCAATCATTTCAAAAAATTTTCCACAAAGGTCGATATAATCGAAAAGAATATTCGGGAAGCTCGTAGAATCGGGGTTCCATCGTATGATAGAAGAAATGCGGATCGTGTCCCGGAAAGCGTGAGAACGAAGCTCCGAGAGACAGAGGGAAGAAGCAAGCGCCGGCTCTTCCACATCATTTGAATAATCCTTCTCTGACATTGACAGCTGAGAGTTTCGAAATGGCCGTCATTCGCATTCTCAATGCAGTGGGCTCGAGCCGCGGGTCTCTGCTTGAGAGCGAGCCATCGCTCATATTGCCTCGTAGAGACGAAGTCTCCGACGAGCTGCGGAATTCGAGGAATTCGCGAATAATTTTCGGTGACAAAGCGCAGTGTGTTCGATGCGAAGCTCCATGCTACATCCTCCGCTTGTAACAGTCGACTCTGGCAGAATCTCTATGTTTTTACGGTGAGAGCTCATAGTATTTCACTCAGAGGGTTCCAATTCCGCACACTTCCTGAGATCCATGCGGACCCATTCGCCATAGAATACAATGTATACACGTCTTGATGGACGTCAATTGACAATGCGACGGGGAACATTTAGTTCTCAAGCCAGAAGTGTTTACTTGTCTTTCTGGTTGTTCATCCGTTTCTGATGTTTATCGTTAGCCTAAGTACTTCCTCCATCGGTGCCATTCAGCCGACACCTCCATCCAGGGCCGAACAGCCGATGGAGCGGGGGACATCCAGTCGGGAGAACAACAGCAACACACTAAGAGAGGCAATTGGCATTTGATGATCACTTGGTGATTGACGGTTCTCGGTTGGGCGTCTCCTCATCGGATACCAATCATTTGATCGTTTTGTCTATGAGCGGAGCTCTAAACGAATTAGCACAGAATAACGGGACGCGTTCCAGCGAAGTCGCTCACAATGAGTGCCCTTTCTCTGCGATCTCATATTTCTTTCGCATTGACTTCATTCAATCGCTCACCCGGTGCTGAAACCAAAGTCGTTTTTACTCACCGATATTGACGAGTTTCACTTGGTCGGCCGCAATCGCGTTCAAGGCCACCTGCACGTTCTCTAAGAATTGATGCTGGTTCACTGGGTTGCGAATGCGCTTGATCTTCTTCGGGGATTTCTGCAAGATCTCGACGAGGGAGATGAGCTTGAGTCCGTTGCAGAAATCATGTCGAAGATCCACAACCTGGAAATCGGAAGAAGAATTCGATCGAAAATCTTTGCATTGTATCACGGCGAATCCAGACAGAAATCAGATCACGGAAAGTCAAGTTTACTGCGTGGCGTAGAAAGCAACGATCGATTGGAATCGTCATTCCAAGAATCTCCGGTGACAGACGGGAATCCGCCTGGTTCGAGTGATGTGGATTCCGCCAAAGTAAATCGAGGTACCGCGTATTCCCGGGAGGTGAAAGAAACCTCTTCCATATCTTCTCCGTGCGGGACGGAAGCACTAAAATGTCATTTCGGAAATCTACGTCTCGAGCTTGCTCTAAGGACTTCCGTAAAGTGGGTGCGCCTCGAGACGAATCACTGAAACCGTCCCGCCATTTAGGGGAAATTTGCCGCTCCGCGTTTTCCTACACCGCACGTCGAGGTGTGAAAATCTTCCACCTGATTGGGTTTTCTTGTCAAAAAGTTCCACATCAGTGACTGCTCTCCCGGTGCGGTCACGGAGCAGAGTTTCTCGTAAGTGCGCAGAGCACTCGTTGACAGTGAATTCTCTGCGGATGACCACGCGAAGAATTTCAAAAACTCCGAATGTCAGGCGAGCCATTGTTGGAAGCACGGTGCGCCGACTCTTGGTTTCCGCCGCAATGATATGAGGACATCTTCGGCAGTGGTCTTTCACTCCCTTCCAAAATGACCGCGGTGATATTGCTCACGAAAATCGCTGACGGAGTCGTCTATTGAAGAGCTTCGGAATTTATTTCGGGTCGGAACTCGACTCACGAAATCTTCGACGGAATCGAAAGGTGAGATATTTCTTGATCCAATAGTTCTCTACCCACCCATCGCTTGGTAGTAATTCAAACTCGAATTCTACTCATGATAGCACGATTTGAAACTGTAGCTCTCGGATATCGAGCGATGAACTTTGAAAAATCCTCAGCAGTAAATGAGCCCTCAGAAATTCATGGAACCTCTTGATGGCACCATTGAAACACTGAAGCACTCCGTTAGGATAGTGAGGTGCCGCGTCCCCGGTATTCTCCTTTGTGGGGACGACTAGAGAAGAAACTCGTGATCGATGATCGCAACTGGAGTGGTCACCAGACACCGGGGAAATGGGGAAAGCGGAGCGCTCCCAGACATAAACTCATCCATGTCTAGATATACAGCACGGCGCCGGAGAAAAAGTCTTAATCACCTGGTGACACTTCTTTGGACACTTCGCTCAGGAGGGTCCGAGCTTCTCGGTAGTTCATAAGCCATTGTGGCGCATATTTCTCATACTGAACCGGGCGAGAGCTGAGCGTCGAGTATTTGTTCGTCATTGTTTTCGCTCTGGAATTTCTGGGCTATCGTCCGGCCTGGAGAAGATCTTCGTCGCGGAACCACCACCGCATCTTTGACTTTGTAACAGCTTTGACGACGAGCGCGACAGTAACCCGTGTTGCCGATGAACAGATCTAAGCGGAGATAACTTGCAGACTTACGTATTCTTCAGTGGGTTTCAGTTGTTCGTTCACCCAGTTTGTGAAGGTCTTCTGCTGGATGTCCACCCACTTGGCGGAGGGGGGCCGCGGATCTCCATCCGATGAATCCATGGTCAGTCAAGCGGTCGCTTCCTCACCGATTCGTATCACTCATCGCATCTTGCGGGATGTCCAACCTCGGCTCGACTGGGGACAATTCAGTGTGAGATTCGAGTCGAGCTCCTCGACTAGTTCGAACAGCTACCACGCTATCACATGTACCGAGATCGAAGGAGTAGTCTCCTCATGAATCTCAACAATTCAGGCTCAATCGTGATCAGCTTCTAAATGTGCAATGATTGAAAATGGAATCGGTTTGAGAATCGAGACCAGTCGTCGTGCCGTATGCACGAGGAAACTTCGTGTATTCGGGGGATCACCGTCTTCCCCAACATTGTTGCGATTTCTATAAGAGGGAGCGATTTACATGAGACGGCCGACCGGTCGCCAGACATTAAGCATCGGCGATTCTCGAGGGGACTAGGCGATCATTGATCGAGATTCTCACGTCCATCGAGTGATGGCGACTCCAGAGGAGGGATCACTCTCACATCCGCTATCTTCCAACTCTCTTTCGAGCATCGCTGTCCAGAGGCTGTCCGCACTCGAAGACTTCTGTCCGGATGCCATCGTCGTGAATACTCTAGCATTGGCATCGACGGAAGACACCGAGCTGAAGGGAGAAAGAAACCACGGGATCCGGATGGGACGAGGAATTCACGCAGAAAATTCCGGAGATTCACCCCAATGGAATCAAATATTCAAAACTGAGCATTCTATCCTGTGAGAAGAACGTTCGAACTGTATTTGCTACGCCATTTCAAACACGACACCAGACCGCCTAAAATGGAGGAGTCAAAATTTCGTTCAAGCAGCATCTCAAAATCGGGCAGGGCCGGTCGAGCGAGCGAGGGATGCTAATACTATCTCGGCGTTTTTGTCCATGAATCAATATTCATCGAGTTAACCTTAGTCATCGAAATGATGTCAAGGCATCCGGGCCTGTCCTCGGTTTACGACTACGTAAGAGCGTGGAAACTGTTGTCAAACACAGCAACGCTGGCCGACGTCCACGTTCTTGCGTACGATTTCCCATGATGGAAGAGGGCGCTCGTGGTCCGATTCACGCAGTAGCTTCTCCGTTCCCCAACTACGACCTCTCAGAGTAAAATTATTCTCTAACGCTCAGCGTCATCGAGAAGATCCTGTATGTCAAAGAGAATTCCCATCCGAGGCCTGAACATCGAGAACTGGTATCTCAATCAGCGCGACGAAGAGGTCGAAGTGCTCACTTAATCCTTGGGCAGTGAAGAGCGTACACTCGACAGAAGACGGGGGCGACACCGGCAGTGGGAAACTCAGAGTTTTATCCGATGGCACACCACAAGACGAAATCGAACACAACACACCACAGTGCTTCTGAGACGGAGCGTTTCTGCTAGCTAGCGAGCGAACGAGCTTCGGAGCTTCAGCGGCAGCAACCTTCGTCTGACAGCAGCAGAACATTCAGCACCAGCAGTTCGGCGCGGGCAGCGGGCGGGCGGGCAGACAGGCGGTTGGTCGGCCGACCAGCCGGGGAGGCAAGCCAGACGCACAGACTGACAACTGCACGAATGTCAGTCGCTCGGAGCGACAAACCGGCGGACGTATGGTCTTGGTTGCGAGTCAGAACAGCCAACCAGCCAGCCAGTCTGGTTGCTTCAAAGGCCCCATGGAACCGGGAGCGCCACCCGACGGACGTCACTGAAAACCGGCGCGTCACCGTACAATGTTGATCGTCGCGCCCCCTCGCGGCAGACGTCATCGGTTTCGGTCGGCCACGGGAATATGGAGCCACAGGCAGACGAAGATCATAGACGCGGGTGAACAATCGAACTAATGCGGAGCGCGTCTTCCATGGAAGGGTTTCGAATATTCATGGTCGGACATGGCTCTCGGAGAGATCGACAATATTCGAACACCGTCTTTCGATCGTCTCGAGCGATCGCCCGATCGCGGGAAATCGATCCCCAGGCTCCTCCCCCGTCCTTGTAAGCATGCTGGCTTGTTCCAGGGAACTCGACGATCGTTGCTGTGATCCTCTCGAGCCGGCTCGACGACTTCCATGGAGGGATAGCAACGGGACGGGTTCTGGCGGAGTAATCTCAAGATCAGAGTATTCGTCTCCCTTGGTTCGGCCTCCTAGGACCTCCCGTGATTTTCTCTCCTGTGGAACCACAACGCGAGCTTCGCTGTTCAATGGTTGCGTCTTCGCTAGGTATGAAGCGCACAAAATCGACGAGAAGTAGTACCGCGCAAGCATCGCCAATCAAGAGTTTTGAGTCGCGGTGGAGCCTCGTCACGGAAGAAAAAATCGTGTTTTTGTGCAAAGTAGGAACAGCTTGCTCGAAAGATCGCAATAGCCCCGAACCGGCGCTGATCTGCCCGAAGAATCCCAATATGTCCTAGAATAGTTGACCGACACAAACCACTGTCGCTTTGAATTCGTGAGCGGAATCACTTGTCAAGCTTTTTGTTTGGTCACTTCAACGTCCGAGGAGCTTTCTTCGGATGAGGGAAGTTTTTAGACTAATGGCGGAGCTAAACGACCAAACTGTGGAAGCGGCGGACGAGCACGCATTCCTACCGCGCTAGACTCTGACGAGCAGAGAATGTAACTTCGATGACTATTCAAAGAGGCAATCAGACCTCTTGCCGAGCTAAGAAAGCTCGATCCGGTGGACTTCGTCGACGGCGGCGTTGACCCTCCAGCTTGGACAGCGTGCGAAGCACCGGTCAAGCTATTACCATCGAGCGAGAAATGTTCATACGTCCTGCTCCAGAGACTTGAATCATGCTTGACTTCCGGAGAGATAATTGAGGGGGGGCAGGCCCGATTAGTAGACAAGCCGATTTCCCGTTGATGAGGGACTCGCTCCATCCTCGGTCGATCCTTTCGATCATGCGAATTCCGTTGCTTATAGCCGATTTATCTTCTGAGGACCTCCCTGGCTAGACTCAGCGATTCGCTACCTTTGTGTCCTTAGATAATTCCCTCTCTATCGTTGGGGTGTGGGGTGTAGGTCATTAGGATAATCCCCTGAAAACGCCATTCCCAATAAGAGCTCGCTGACGTTCGGATCCGCGCATATAAATTGCAGCGGGTGCGTCCTACCCAGTGCTGTGCGCCATCTGATTTTTCGCGGCGGCGGCGACAGGCGAAAAAAGAGATGGCGGCGGCGGACGCCGCGGCGTTTTTCGGCGGAATTGAGACTCACGGCGCGCCGCGGTTCCCTCCTTCCCAGAGCGAGCTCCACAGGGAAAGTAGATTCCAAGGAGTGAGCTAAGGCACCAAAGAGGGAGTAAGCTTCGGAATGGCGAAAGTAGGAATCGAAGAGCGAGCACAAGTTAGGTTCATTTATTCTCAAGTCACTTATTCCGCAAGAACTCTCGATTATCGTGTATGAAAGGACGAGACGGCAGGCTCGTCATTCTCATTTTGTCTCTTGATGAGCGGCGAGGAGTCGACAGAAAAACATATGAATTGTCTCGATTCTCGGATGAGATAAGGTGTCGTCTACCATTCTCATCATCGAGCGAGCGCATCGAGCTCGGCCCAGGTTCTCTTTCTTTGACTTTGATGAACATTTTCTTCTGTATTCCCTCGATTCGCTCCGAAAGTCTTCCGAAATCTTTTAAAAGGGCTCTTGACTATTAACCATGGGGACCATGACGGCGCGCCGTTCCGCCGCAGGACGCCGTGCTCAGAGCTCGGCGGCGGCGGCGGAGCTCAGAGCTCGGCGGCGGCGATCGCCGGCGATCTCGGGGCGCGGCGCACAGCTCTGGTCCTACCGCACCTGTCTGCGCCCTTACTGCGGTAACTGATTTCAGATATAGAATTCGTTCCCCTATAGCGATCTCCCATCATTCGATCTCGTGAGAATGAACTCCCATAGGCGGGAAGGATTCGCCCAACGTTGTTCACAATATCCGCCCAATAAGGACATGCACCGAAGATTTTTCGCAGCCACACGTACATCTCTTATTCCATCTTACATCGGCTCATTGATTGAGATGGACAACAACAAAGATCTCCAAATAATAGGACGAAGTCTCTCCAGAGGTTTGCCGCGAGGAGGTTCTGCCTCTCTCGAGGACGAGTGAACACCCTCAAGCCGACGGCAATCACCAGAGGCGGCTGCGGATTTTAGTTGTTGAAAATCACGCTGAAAGATATGGGTACTCTGCCGCTGATCGCGAGCTCCCATCCCGCCGAAGAGTCAGCGACCTCTGAGGCTGGAATCATTTACTTCGGGGAGGGGCAAATAAAAACGAGCTTTATCCATTCCGGCGTACATCACTCTGACATTCCTGGAGTATCTCCCGATCAATGTCGATGTCGTAGTCGGTCTCGAGTTTTTCTACATCGACAGCCGTGCTTCGACCCTTGGGGAATTCGACCCATTTAGCGATTGGGATGTCCTCTTTAGAGCACGTGACATATATCAACGCATTTCCCGACTTGATGGATAGAACCGACCAATTCTCTTCCCCCTGAGGGATGCTCTTGCTCTTCCATCGATCGCCGCTTTCCTCGATCGACCATACGCCTTGCCCTGGGCTGCTGAAGACTCCCTCGGATCCCTGGAAAGTGACCTGCCCAAGACGGCATAATGATCGAGCAAAGCAGAAGCATGCCGTACGATTCCCTGGAGCCGAGGCCGCTGAGTTATTCGCTCTGAGCTTGAGCGTCTCGCACGTTTCGGACTTCGAATCCGCTGAGGCGGAACTCATGAGCGTCAGGAGACACAGGATTGACGACCACATCGTTGTCTTCACGCAGAGAATGCAAATCTCGTCCCATGAGCGAGAAGATTTTCTGTTTCGGTGAAATGAAATGCGGTGCGCTCAATTACTGGGAATGCCATCAATCAATCGATCAGGATTCGCCGCGATTCGGATTAGCTCTCTATTCAGGTTCCCAAGCTGCCGCCATCGAAGCAGCATAGTTTAGGGGAATTACTCGAGTGGCGATTCTCGGTCTCTTCGCCGACATTCCACAATTCCACCGTTTAGTTTCCGGGTGGCTTCGGAAGTATCCTGAATCATCCTGCGAGTCGCGAACGTACTCTCGTATATTTGGTGTGATTGACCATGAGTATTTCAATGAGAGTGAAGATCAAGAACAAACAAAAAAGATATTGCGCAACTGATCGTAAATTCATCGACTCATTCTATGCCGGAAAATCGGAATGGCGGGAACACTCGAGAGTGGAGTCAGTGATCCTCGTACATCCTGTCGGTGGGCGCCACGGAGCGAGGTCTCAAATTATTGCGGGTTTGTTGGGTGCAAGTTCCCCGGTTGCAGAAACCAATGAGTTGTTCCTGTTGATAGGAATTCCTTAGTGTACATATTGGCATCGATCCTGTTGATGTGCTCTTCAAGCATGCGGATCCGCCGACCCTCAGAAGTCGCGAGCGCGGGCTCTCAGAAACCCTCTGACAGTTTTGAAACTTCTGACATCGAAATCGAGCGCTGCTACCGCACAGTCTGCGCGCCGAGTACTCACCTGAGAGCCAACGACTTCTATCGCATTGAAGAGAGAAGTCGGGGTTGGCTGACGGCATTGGTTTCCCTGACTCAGCCCCAACTGCCTCGGCGGCGATTTTAAGTGGAGAACACCTATGGCACCCGTGACGACGCAGAGGGTTCTGAAATGAGTCGATATACTTTCACTGCAAAACGTGAATACTACATGACCAGCATAGTCTAACATCTATGACATCATCATTAGCATAATAATCGCGGGCCAATTTTTCGCTTACTTGCACTGCAGATCGTAGACCTCTTGGCTTCCGACAGGCATCGCATAACCCGGAGTCTCGTAAGCTTCGCATCGCGTTCGGTCTCTACGCTCGGGACTAGGTATACTGAGGTCGAACCCGTCAACCTGCGACGTCTTTCGACATGCAAAGGCGTCTATGATTAACTTGGTGAAATGATTGGTCATAGTCATAGTTCTACACCCTGCAATGTGCCCCAAGTTCCGCTGCTCGAAGCGTCCCGATATCGGTCTTTTTCACGCTGAAGACGTGTACCGTGACTTCTGCACTGATCCTTCAGGAGATTGAATTTTTCGCGCAGATGTTTCATAGAAATTATTTGATGTTCCGCGAAGCAATTTCAGAGGGTATCTCCAGATTGATTTTATCGATCTTCAATCACCTGGACTTGTTTTCGATATGGCTGGAACTTGACGCTCCTCAGGGCTTGGCATTGCACGGCCATCTCGTTCATTGCTGTCGGTGACACGGCCTGTGCCGCGCATCGACAATCGTCCAAGCACCTCCCTGGAAATTATTGACCACAGTGGGAAGAGCACTGCTTTCATTGATGTGCAGTCTCACACTTCCAAGGCGCGACTAGCGGCAAGCTTTCGAGTGTTATGACTCGATTTACCCGCGGCACTTTCTAGGGGGCTTTTTTGCGACCAGATTCGCGAAACGGAAAATATTGAATCACTGCCTCGGCAAGTCACTGGCCGCGACTCCGCTCGGACCTACCTGGTACCGTGGCATTCGTGTTTGAAGGAAGTCCATTTAGGAAAACTCGGCGGCGACAAAACCCACACGGCATGTTACTCGGCAAGCAGGTCTGAAGTCGCCGACGGAAACGATCGCGAAATACCAAGCTTCCGAGTTTGCCTGGAATCGCGACCTAATCTTGAGCTTTCAACCGGGCACTCCGTGTCAGACTCCCCAGAGATCCGTGCCCTCCGTTCGGGGGTGTCGATTCGGGAAATTCTCACGGAGAAGACGACTCGCATCCCGGAATTCCGTGTGAGAGATGTGGGTGGGGATAATCATGAGCTGCGATTCGCGCTCCGTGGTCTCTGCGAAGAGCTGAACTCACTGTTCACCATGCAGTAAATGTTGCAGTCGTCCTCGTCGATGTACATTTCCTCATATGGCTCACAAAAAGATGGATCTCTCAGCTCGCTGTCTCGGAAGCGTATCTGGAGCTCGTTTCCACTGTTATAGGGCGGACCGTAGACATCCCTGTGATTCGCCTGACCCAACACGGACGGAGACAGGAGAGCAATTATCATCGAATGGAATCTCAACATCTTGAGCTTTTAGGACATCTGTAGTCGATTTCACTGTTGTGACGATCGAGCACTCCCGTTCCGAAAAGGCGGACGGCTGCGATGACACGCTGCTCCGTCCGAACGCAAACTCTGAGCACGCCATCCACGGAAGCTTGAGCCGGAATCATTTCCTAAAATATCATGACGCAAAGGTTTTGGGCTTTCCCACAGCATTGGATAAATGGAGAGTCGTGTCCGATACCGTCTGTCCCGAGCTTTCCCGCCCAAAATGTGTTTCTTCCGCGGCTCATCCGGCGGGATTTCCGCTTCGAAGCTCTCGAGTATAGCCGGACCGTGCGCATGGACACGGGAAATTCCCCGGCTTCTTTAGATGCTCTTTCTTGTGACACGACCGCTGTTCAGGCGTGTTTGTGCCCGTGACTTATGAGGGTAACAGCCGTAAACAATCCCGTTTCCCTTCAGGCTCATGACACGCTCGGCATTAGATCTTACGCGCCCACCGTCTCAGCGATTAGTCGTGAGCAGGCGCCATGAGTTTCGTTGATATTTCCTCCAATGTAACACTATGTATTGATGGTCAGAAGTTTAGACCATCAATACATGGTGTTACATTTAGACTCTAAACCCATGCTGCAGGAGATTCCAGCTCCTCAGAATCTACCAGATAGGGGTTGGGCTATGCAGGAGCCTTCGGCAAAGTGACGGTTGATGTTCAATTCCCGCGAGCATATCGTCCCAATATCGATGCAACCATATTGAAATGGCCAAGAGACGTTGGAATGATGAGAATCAGAGAATATGTATAGAGAACTTTTGTGTGTTTTCTTCTCCGTGTAGACCAAACAGGTTCGCGCGTCTATGAGTTCTCATGCATATGCGTTCCCGGACTGGAGCTTGTTTCTCAGAAAGTCGAAAATACGCAGGTGGGTGGCGTGGGTCCGATACCTGCTGCCGATCAGGTTTCCTCACGGGATTTCCTCTCCAAACAGCAGGAAGCATTCGCCGGGATCCGTCTTCGGGAGCGATATCTGGTCGACTAATCGGTGATAGACGGGACGTGAAGGGTTGGCTTTGTGGTCCAGCCTGGATATTTATATTCCTTAGGTGAACATCTCGAAACTCATATCGAGACGGTACTTAATAAAGATTGCGACCGAGGCTGGGCTGAAAAAGCAGTTCTAGAAGCTCTGACTCCATTTGGAGCGTTGACCTTAAAAAGAAGGGATGGGAAGGAGCGATGTCGGACAATAGGGAACATGGTCAGAGTACTCATATCTGTGATTCGAGATATCTACCACCATATGCCGCATCCTTGAGAAGAAGGAAAAGATTCGACCCTCCCGACAAGTCATTTATTATCCCGAGACTCGCCTGATTCAAAAAATAATAAATGTCATCCCACGAATTCGGCGGGAGGGCTGGGAATTTGAGAAGCTCCCCCACGGGCTGTCTGGGAGAAGTCTATCGATCATCACTCGCTCGATCAGAATCCCTGGATTTCTCGCGTGCCTCGGAGTCGGCAGTTTCCCTAGTCAAACCTCTGGTCCTGGATTTTCCGGGGATTCTCTCCTGTTTCTTATTGCTCCTCTTGGCCCATCTCCGATTCTGTTTTGGGGGAGGAGACGTTGACGGCACACCTGCAGAGACAAGCGTGAAACAGAGAAAACACGTGCTTCCCGTTAGACGTGAGGTCGAGCAGAAGATGGAGCCTCATCGGCGCTCCGTTCCTCTGCCGAGAATCACTCACTCGGGGCATGGAATGGGTTGGGGACTTCAACTCCTCCGGCTGTCGATTCTGTTTCGTTTCGAGAGTCGTTGAACCCTACACTCGAGCTTTTCCCTGCAAGACTTGCCTATTACACAGGCTGTTCGGAATTTTCTGAAATCAGGAGGGGAAAACCCCACTCACTTGAGCGCTGCGAATCTTTTCTCCTCATCCTATCTGCGATTTCGTCGTCGCTGTTGATGCCGTTATTCTCAGGGACCTCGAATCGGGCAGATTCTAGCCCATTGCCCGCGGAAATCGTCTCCGCTGTCGACGCAACATCGCATCCGAAAGCTTCAAAGAAGGGAATCGATACAGAGTGACCGATGATTTTCCGAGAAGCCTCGGACTTATCACTTCCGAGCTCCGCTCAACACATACCAGGAGGACCGCACTGGCTCAGGAGAGCGCACAGGATGAGAATATTGAATTCGCTCATGTCGATCGCTCTTATCTTCACAGAGCAATCGGTGACTCGAGAGGCCGTCCTTCAGACGACTGTAATCTCCGACGAGCGCTGAGGCTCTTCGGTCGCAGTTCCGCTAGATCAGCTCAGGCCGTCTCCGAGCGTGAGCATACTGAGAGAGCGGTTCTCACCAGGCCCGGACCCGGAACATACTCAATTTGATTGGCTCTCCAACAGCTTGGGAAGCGGAATATAGCCAGCGCCGTAAACACCGATAGACTGCCGTAGCTCCTCCATGAATAAAGAAACTCACGGTCGCCCAGTGAACTAAGAATGCTACGCGACACAGGCTGGGGTTTGAGACAGGCTTCACTCTGATTCTTTTTTGAATTGCGTGCGACGATGGTCGAAATCCCCCATGTAGGGGCTCCCTTGCCCACCACAATAAATCGAGGCTTTCTTTTTCAGGAAATAATGATGCCTTCATTCCACCTCAATCGGGTGGTGTTCTCATTCCCACACGATGATACCTACATAGTCAAACTTCATTTTAGAGGACAGTCAACTACGAGTGAGCACTTCCAAATCGATGTCTTCGTTTGCGATGAAATTCCGCCCCAAAATCGGAGCAGATTTCCTCAAATTTCCCTTGAGGATCTCTCGGATTCGTTCCGGCGCATATTCTTCGAATATTATCCCACTTTTCTCGACAAACATGTCCTGTATGAACTTCACGATTGTGCTGTTTGGACAGCCCTCGACGAGTGAGTGCGTGTAGATATCACTCCCAATCGAGCTCACCTGGAACAGTTCTTGAGAATGATTCCCAGAACCGATTTCTTCGTACATTCCGATTACACAGGCTCAGAGCATCGTTTCCGATCACCGATACGATGCTACCAGAGCGAAGAAATTCACCGACCGTGAGTGAGTCCAGCATGGACGTTTGGTAAGCCTGCCCGGTAAGGGTCCAAGCTATGAGAACTCTGACGTTCTCGAAGATGCGGAGCATCGTGCCGTGGTATTTCAATCCTCTGGAATTGAATCCTTCGAATTTCCCAGAAATCGCGAAGTTCTTCACGGCGAAGGTCGCTCTGACTGAAATCGAACCTGGAGGAGAATTCGAGAGTCCGTGACCGGAGATGTCTCCCGGAAGCGGTCGGGAATCAATTCGCTGGCCTCATAGGTTCGATTTTCCCCACCTTTAACTGGATGGACTTCTTGACGGGTGCTGCCGATCAGGCGCATATTCGCCAAATTGTGGGGTCGGAGCGAAGACAACGAGTAAAAAAGACCATCCTTATCAATCCAAGTCTCGTCTCCGATTTGAGGGAACAGGGCATCGCTGTATTCGATGCGTTTGCTCTTCACCACTATCTCAGCGAAGTAATCGAGTTTCCGCAAATCCAGAGCACCTGGAAATCGACGATCGGTGTTTTTTCGTTCGCATCGAAAAATATCGAGCACCCAGTTTTACCGAGACTATCGATCGGAGTGCATCGCAGGTTCGTAAGCTCAGTATGTCAAGCTTGAGCCCTAGTCGTACGTTTTACCGGTTCACGTCAGTCGTTCGGCCAACTCAACCATCAATGATCGTAGTGATCGTATGCGCAACAACTTGTGAAGATATTAATCTCGGGATGCGGTTAAATAGATTTATTGATTCAATTCTCATCCAATTGGGATCGGAAGAATGCGAGAAGTCGTTGGTACAAGAAGCGAATCGCTGCACGTGAGATGGATCTTTCGTCCGGAACACCTTTCTTGTTCTTCATCAGTCTTTTGTCCAGGCTGCGACTCCCGGCGACGATTCCGCATAGAAACTTACTGTGTCTTTCAGCGAAGCAGCCGATATGACCAACGTGGTCTGGTTCATGCTTCAATAGGAAGGCAGAGCACATTCCCTCGTCCGTCATGACTCTGTGATGCCCCAGATCGCCATCAGCGACGAGAAACGTCCCGGGCTCTGACGTTTCTCGGAGACGCCCTCGAATGATTTTCTTCATCCTCAGGGTCACAAAGGTCTTGGCACAGGCTCTCGCATTCGCGCCTACGATGTGAAGAATCAAACGACAACCGGATTGTCCCGCTGGATAAGTTATAGGAGTGGAGCATAAGGCTCGGCCCCCGAAGCAAGAGCCGCAAGTTTTCGCGATCCCGAACGTCTTCATGCTTGCCTGAATACTGACCGCTTCAAAGTCCCGTCTACCGCACTCCCGAACCGCACTGCACAGGTCTGAATTGCGGGAGAAGGCTGCGTTGATGAGCTCAGATGAATTCCCGGTCCGGCAGTGATTCCTTCAGAGTTTTTCCCGAAAGCCTCCTGGTCGCTGCTTCTGAGATCTTGTGCGGCTGCAAGACGCATGTGCCCTGCCCTGGCTGCACTTCCGAATGGCAAACATGACCGCTGGGTTCATTGGCGGACTAAGCTCCGGCTCTCACATACTGCACATAGAGGAAGTGAATGTAGCTCATATGAGCTTTGGCTTCCTCGTTTTCTGAGATGTGCGTTTGTTGAAGACTCGAGGAGGCTTGGGAAACATCGCGAAGTTTGTCTCGATAAACCCTTCCCAGAGCGGCCTCAGAGTTCCTGATCGAGGACACCATCCGGCGCACACGCCTACCGGGGCATGTTGGCTGCAGAGAAGCCTTGTATTACACCTTTCGATCAGAGATACTCCATCGGATATACACGAGCCTGGGTTTAAGTATCGGAGTCGCAGCTCATCCCAAGATGTTCGGCCTCAGTCCGCTCACTTGTTTGAGACTAACGATAGATACATGTCTAGCTTAAGAGTACATCATTGCCGTCTTCTGTGTGAGTCGCCGGCAATTTTTTCATATAATTCCGAAAGCTGTCCGGAAAAATCTTCGATAGGCGAGCGATTGCCGCCTCTGCGTGTCTCCGTGTTGAATCTTTGGTCGGTCAATCCGCAAGATTTCGGGGCACATGAGATCATCTGGACCGTCTGTCGTACCCGAATCATGAAGCTTTGGAGAAGGGCGGAGCCTCTCATGGGGGTTGAGGGCATGGATTCTATGGCTATATATGCTTAATATATAGATATCAGGAGTCTCGTCTTGAGGTCTGGCGCTAGAAGCCTCTCTGAAGAATTTCATCCCATCGATCCCCGAACGGATGGATGGGACGACCTATTTAGGTGGATTCCTTCGAGAAAACATCTCATTCAATACCCGCGAAGGACTCTGTTCCTCCGAGACCATAGAGTCTACTCCAAGAGCATGCCAGTCGTAAGGGACACATTGGCACCGAGTCAAATCATTTGGAACGTCGGTCATCCTCACAGCTGTTATTCGAGTTCTGGCAATGCGGAGGCTTGGTCTACGTAGACCCTTAGACGAAGCATGAATGTCTCAATACATATTCGGATCGGGATAAACGTTGATAGACCAACGAGGCCGATTAGGACGTCAGCATGGTCGGCCCCCCGCGCCGGGGTCCGAAGTTCAGAATCTGCAGACCTATTCAGAGTCCTGGACGCCGGTCTCGGCGCTGGCGAGAAGCCTATTCCATGGTCGATTCCCCGTTTCCTCATTCAATGCGCCGTTCACCTATGAGCTCACCAGAGAACTTTCACCATCGGACACTTGATCGTAGGATAATCAGACGAGGCTTGCCTTGATCGGATAGATCGAGGCACAGGTCGACAGAATGGGTGGCAGGAAGGGAAATCGCGAATTTAAGGAATCTTCCATCGACTCACGAGGTTTGCAGGTGAAACTGAAGAAGATGATCGCCGAGACCGCCACTAACAAGGCGACTCCGCTGAGTTTGATTAGAGAGTCAATGCTGAGCACATCGAACTTCCGCGCAGGCTTCCGAAATCGTGTGAAAGATTTCTGGGTTGTGGACGATCGACTTAGGATGTTATTTGACGTTTCCACCATAGTGCATCGTCGTCGTCATGGGAGAGGAACTGAAACTACTACAAGGCAGTCGCAGAAATAATGGGGGTAGCCTTCCCCCTCCCGGAAAATCTGGTCGGAGTGCAGAAGTATAGCCTCTGAGGAGTCACGCTATAATTCCGAGCCCCTGTCACCGACCCCTGGAAAACTTTGCGCCTGATCCTAGAGGGAAGGAGTCCTCATTAGTTGTTCCCGAGTAGAAGTGGCTCCTACTCGAGTCCTAGCTGTGGATTGCATCTCTTTTGAACACTTGAACCGACTACAAGAGTCTCCTCAGATGTGGAGCAATGCAAGGTGGCGGATCGAACAAGGTAGCAGTCTTCAAAGAGTTTTCTCTGCTTCTTGACAGAGGGGGGCTGCCCCAGGTCGGGCGTGAGGATGAGATGTAAGGACCGTTCCCATGACAAACTTGCTCAGTACCACAGAGGAGCTCAACGGAGTCGTTATCATGTAGCACCAGGGGAAAACTTCCGATCCCCACCTGAGGAACTCGCTCTGAGGGCAATTAAGGCTTCTTGCTTCAAGTCTCTCATCTTCATTCTCGAAGATCGTCTTGATTGGGAGCATCCATGGTCAAGGATATTTTGCTCTGATCACCCGATTCGTCTCCCTCAATAAGCATCATCCTGTGCAGCTCGCTTCGGTGTCGGCCGTATATGGTGCCGTCGACTTGCAGAACCCTGTCATATTCTCCCGATCACCGTGGGCTGGATTTGATCAGAGGTTAGAGGTCAGAGTCTTGTGCGAAGAAACTCCTCAAACGAAGAACTCCTGAAAAGACGTGGCTCTCGTATGTGAGGGCGCAAAAACCGTAGACCTAGCTGGATGCCAACATGGCAGAGTCAGCCAATCTTGTCATTGAGCCGGGATATCGTCAGACAGGCTTCCAGCCCCAGCTCTTTGGGAATCGTAGGTGGGCGGCGCGCCCAGGAGACCAGCCCGTTGGCGGGTCGGAGACGGGAACGGCGCTAAAGCATCCGCGTTGTTCGTCGGTGTAGGAATGTGGGGCTTCGCAACGGACGAGAAGATGAGGCGAATCACCGGCTGCTATGCGGAGCGATCTGTTCGTCCAGAATCGTGACGGTCAAGCGCGGACGGGATACAGTGGCTTTCGACCGCGGAGAGATGTTGGAAGAGGCGCCGAATTCGATGTGTGGGTTCCGAAGTCGGCTTAACCGTGAGACCTCCATCAAGGACACCCTTACTCGTTGTCTCTGCGCGCTATTGTTTCTCAGCCACACAAAGCTCTCCATCGTTCCCGTGATGCACGGACGCTCCAAAACGTTCTCTGTATCGAAGAATTAGACAGGGAGCCCGGATGAAGCTAGAGTTCCCCCTCGGACTGAGGTCATGGTCGAGGCCACCGATACAGAAACAGCAAAGCCCCGACGGGATGGAGGCCATCCCGGATCCCATCAGACTGCGATTATTGAGCTCCAAGAGCTGAGTGAGTCAGTATCTTAAGGCGGATTCAGCGAAATGTAGGGATTCGGTCCCGAAGAGAAACTTTACGCGCTCAGAACACCTATTTCGCATCGAGCGTTCCGTTATGGATCACACATCAACGACGATCTATCGGGAATCCGTGGAATATTAACGGAATCGTATCCGAAGAGGGAATCCGTCTCTGAATGGAATACGCATTGTCTGGTCTCATTCGAAGGTTTCTCTTCATAACGACAAAATCCGCGATCTTCTTCTGAAAGCCGCTGCGATCATGTCGAGCCCCGAAAATCATCCATTCCTTCAGATTGTAATCCTCTGACCCAGAATCTGTGGCATTGATCCGAGCTTTTAAGATCTTCGATCGAGTTCTCGGATAACTATCTAGAAGCTTGTAGCCGCCATCTCTATCTGTTCTAATGTCACCGAGGAAGGATCTGAGGAGCAGGAGGAGAAGGAAGACGGTGCACACAAGATCCGATCCTGGCAGAGTACGGGCCACCAAAGGTCCCACACCCGGGGCTCATGGGGGGGGGGGACTCTGGAAGCGGAAGTTGCGAACATATATTTGTGTTGAGACATCTTGACGAAGCCTTCGGGGCGGGCAAGGACGATTCCTGGAGTCCCTCAGGAATCGCCGGCGGAAATTCCTTAATCCAGGTCCGAGTTGAGCATCGGGAAGTTACCCGAATATTGTTCGAATCTCACGAAATATAGTCAAGTCAAATCATCGATGAAATTCTTAACTCTTGTGATCTTCAAGAGCGAGGATCCTAGAATTTTCGAAGTCGGTCTCTGACGGTCCAGAGCGTGGTCGTCACCGTTCTCATTCTTCCCCATTTGCGTCGTTCTCCTCCGGTGATCGGATTGCTACTGCGCGGAACTGGGCTCTTCCTACCCTCACCTGCCGAACGCTGAGAATGAACACCCACAACAATCAGAGCGAACGGAGGAGTTCCCAACATGATGACTTGCTCAAACTCATCGAGTAGGAAAACAACGCGGGTTTCCGTTTTTTTTTTTTCTGCCCCCGTTGAAGGCGTCTCGCCGCCGTGCTAGGAGCTCCCCCAGCGGGAACATGGGCTCGGTCAACACGACGACGTGTGGCGGTGTGGAGCGGAATTCGAATTGCAGCGGGCTCCGACTGGCACTCCAACTGGCCCCCGCGGCTCCCCGGAGCTCAGCGCGCATGTCTCTTCGCAGTCCGTTCGTCTGTACGGCGTGCCGTTGCTCGTACGGCGGCGGCCCGTGGTCTGGTTGCCTGGCGAGCTAGCGGGAACTCCGAGCTCCATGGGCCCCTGTCTGCATCGAGCCCTCTCTCGTCCTTTCCCTGTATGTGTGTTCTCGGTGCTGCTTGCTGCTGCGAGAGTGTGTGGGCCTGCGTGGAAGCCATTGCTGATTTCGCACTGATCCTGGCAGGGGTTTGCTGTCAAGTTGAGGTTGCTTTCTTCGTTGGCGAGCGATTCGAGCCTGAATACGCGAGCGACCGACTGACCGAGCGCCCGGCCAACCGACCGACCGACTGGCGAAGCGACCAAAGTGTCTGACTTACCGCTCGACCAACTCAGAGATCGAGCGAGCCAGCCAGCCAGCCAGCCAGCCAGCCAGCGACTGACGGACGGACCCACGGTCGGGCGGGCGGGCGTGCGGACTGACGGACTGCTTGACGGGCTGACCGAGCGAATTACTGAGTGAGTGATTGATCGATTGAGCGACGGACCGACGTTTGGAGCTAGCGCCCGATCAGGCAGGCAGGCCTCGAATCGATCGATAGTTTGTGCACTGTGATGAAGTGAGTGAGTGAGTCTACGACCGACCGTGCGAGTTAGCGAGCGAGCGACCGACCGACTGAGCGACCGATCGACGAGTCGAGAACGGTCTGCGCGACCAGCTAGCGATGGCTCTGCGTATTGCAACGACCTGAGTTTCGAACACGGCCTCAAGGATGAATCAGGTTAGCGCACGGTGACTACTACTGGGGGCCAAGCATGTCGATCGCGCTCCCAGTGGTAGACTTCGATACCGAGAGGGCCCGCTGTTGCTAAACTGTGAGCGAGCGAGCGAGCGTAAGCGTGCAAGCAAGCGCCCGCCCGCCCCGCCACCCACCTATCCACCAAATGGTCGAGGGCGCACGGTCGCGGTACGCCGCGATCGCGTAGCTTCTAGACGCCCTACAACAGCTTACTAGGATACGAACAACATCGTTTAGTTTTTGAAAGACGTCCGTTCATTCGTTTGTTCGTTCGTCTGACTGTCTCGAACCTCTCGAAGTAAGCAACCTCGACGTGACTGAGCAGAATGTGAAAGCACACCTTCAACTCCTGCGCGAGCGAAAAAAAAAAAGAAAAACCAACGCCAACATCAACCAACATCCAACAACGGCGATCCTCCAAGCGACGCGACAGCAGCAACTTCAGCAGAACGAAAAAACGAGTGAAACACATCAAACTTAAACCTCAACCATGGGGAATGAGGAAAGCCAACAGGGGGCCGAAGGAGTTCCCGGAGGAGCTCCCGGTGGCATGCCAGGCATGGGTGGCCCACGACCTCCAGGCGCAGGGGGTGGGGGCCCTTTGGGCGGTATGATGGGTGGTATGCCCCGAATGCCGTCGATGCCCACGATCCCGGGCATGTCCAGTTTACGTCCACAAGGCCCAGGTCCAGGCGGAGGCGGTGTCGGTAGTCTCCTTGGATTCGGTGGTAGTACCCAGCCTCAGGCGCAGCAAATGCAACAACAACAGCAGCAACAGCAACAACAAATGCCGCCGACGAGTATGGGCACCACACCGGGAATGGGGGGACCCAGGTTCCCCGCTCCTAGACCGACCGGCTCAGGACCAGGACCTCCGGGACAGACTTCGGTTCCAGGACAACAAGGAGTACCACCGGATCTTGATATGAGTGATTTATCGGCAGAGGAGAGAGCAAAAATACTCTCTGTAATGGCCCGTGCCCAGGAAGACGGCGATGCTACAAAAATGATGCCACAGCAACAAAATCAACCACAAGGAACGCCTAGTCAACAACAGCAGCAACAGCAGCAGCAGCAGCAACAACAACAACAGTTACAACAGCAGCAACAACAGGAACAGCAGCTGCAACAACAGCAGCAGCAACATCAGGCGGCGGCAGCCGCAGCTGCAGCACAACAAGCTCAACAACAGGCGATCCTAGAGTAAGTATCAGCTTTGTTGGTGCTTTGAGCGCGAGCGAGCGAGTGAGTGAGTGTGGCCATGTTCCTCTGTTCATGTGAGAGTGAGTGATCTTCAGAGGGTTTAATTTGCGAGAAAGCGAGCGAGCGATTGCAGACATTCCCGAATGCTCCCGTATGAACGAATTTCAAGCTCAGACGTCGGAGCGCGGACGGACGGACGTCCGCCGCAGTGCTCCGTATGATGATCTGCGGATGTCTCGACGTAGAGCCGCTGAGCGCCTTCAGAGTCAGACACGGCTCTCTCAGTCGTGCCGTCCCCGCGTGGCAACCGCATTGTTCCGCTCCGACGTTTCGCACGGTATGGGATGGTGGAAATCTTTCGTCTCGACGATGTCGGCTGTAAGGACCGGATGCTCCGTCGTCGGCTTCGAATTTCGGTAGTTTAATTCGAATCCACGGTAATCCGCAAAGTTCCGAGCGTATCCTAAAGAAATCATCCGGAGAGTCTATCCGGCGGAGGGTGTGAATGGCGGGCTAGCGCAAATAATACGCTGTGACACGTCGGGGCCTTTTCATTAAGTCGTTGACGTAAACTGGCTGTGACGTCTGACTGGCCGGAGGAGACGATGCCGCCCATTCCTTGACGCGTCTTTGGCTCGACTTCCCGAATTGTCAGAGCTCTCGGCGGCGAATCCTCGAGCCGCTCGACCTCCTGAACGACTTGCATGTGTCGTGAAGTACAGCCCGGTCGAGCGTTCGCCTGGCCAAGCAAATGGGTTCGCTCATGGCTTTGGTCGGTGCGGCGTTTGTTCGTCGAGGAGCGCCTTTCACAGCTCTGGCCGCCGCCGCCCCGAAGGCATTGTCATGCCTAACTCTCGGTGTTCTCCTTTATCACGAACTGTTCCCTCTTACCTTCTCGTATGCTAAAAAGCAACCTGGCCGCGGGCTACGAATAATCATAATACTGCTTCTGCTGCATAGCAGTATTCCTCAATCAGTTTTCTTCCCACGATCTCCACGACGGCAATGATAACAACGACAACAACAGCAACGACGACGGAATGAGGAAGGATAACGACAGCAGCGGAGCTCGAGCCTCCATACGAGGGTCAATTTTTTAATCTACGCAGAGGAATAATCTCAACTGGGGCTTCCATATAGCGCGCGGGCACTAGGGAATGCCCTGGGCGGGGGGCGGGCGGAGGCTTTCAGGGCTGGCTGGGCCACGGCTCCTCGTTTCCAGTGATTTCCGTACATACTGCCGACATGCATTCGTAGGAGACTGCTCCACGGCCGTTGAAAGCCGGCGGTGCAATCGATGGGTTCGACCCATGTGTCGTAAGAGGAGCTTGATGACTTCTGCTGCTTCAGTGGGCTCCCTCGGAGACACCGTGATACCTTCAACGGTCAGCAGATCGGAAATCGTACTTGATGACCTAGGCCATACGGAGATTTTTGGCTCCGGGTCCGGGCTGAGCAGTTTCAGAGCTTCCAGAAAGCATAGGGTTCATCCGGTCATTCTATATCAGGTCTAACTTAGCCTCAGTCGAAGGAAGACTTCTTGTCGAGGGGGCTTTGGGAAGAGTGCGAATGAGGGTCTGGCAGTGGGACGACCCAAGCGAGATAGGGCTCACTCTGCCATCTCTCAGGACTCCGACGGGAGCTGAGCTATTCAAAATTGTTGCTGGCGAGTTATGAGCGGCAATGCGAGCTGCGACAGCGTCCGTTGCCAAGCTCACTGTCGGCTGGCGGTTTCCCCCCTGCGGATACCAGCACGCCGCGCAGAGGAAACGGACGGCCGGGCGAGAAACTGGGGACATCAAGGGGGTCAGCAGAGTCACTCACCCGCGGAGCAAAGCGAGGGATAGGTAAGGGGACACCACCAGCCGACCTGTTCGTGAAAGAGGCGGTCATGCTACACTGCATGGTCTATGGATCCAACGTGGTGTGCTCGTCACCTTCTCCCTGTATTCCACTCGGTCAATTCATCCAGCCCGACCCAGGTCCTCCCAAATCATCCCCCATTCAAAACGTTCGTGATGGCAGGGCCCCGTCCGCGCACCAGCGTGTGTTTTGAGTCGGTGCTGTAATTGCTCCTAAAACCCGAGTCGTGAGTCCCTCCTTGGAAGAGTTGAATCGTGGGTTGCCGGGCTAATATTCTGATGAAAACGCGGCAAGCTCAGACCAGAGTATTTTGTACATCTCTCTGGGCATCGGAAAGAAACGGCAAAAATACCTCCCTTGATGTCTAGTAGATTCGAGATCGTTTCCAGCGATAGGAATCGACTCGCGTCTGTCTCTCAGAGCGGAGAAGCTATGGAAAAGGGAGCCTACGCTTTTCTTGATTTCAAATACTCGGCGGAAGTTTCGTACTTTCTCCCCGTCGGAGCAGCATGACGATTCGTCTCCTTGACGCAAATCACCATTTCAGACTCCTCTCGAGGAGTGTTTGAGCGGGAGAATTTGCCGCCTTTGCGCGTATCACTCGCGAGGAAACTTTTCGCAGCTGATCGCCGAAGACCCCAAGGGCCTGTCAGAGGCGATGTCAGGCTATCCGCTCTGAATGTGCGTAGGAGGTGAGACGGAACTGTGATTCCTCGTATCACTTTTCCCACCTTCTCCATCTGTGTTCTCGCTAGTCTTCCATTGACTGCTGAGTATGGTTGCGACCATATGCGTTGGTAAGCGTTCGATTGGAGAACCGAACAGTGCACCCAGTTCCTCCTTTTTTGAAGGAACGTAAAAACAGAACGACTGCCGGACAGTCGGATGGCCTGAGCAATCTGCACGTCACCTGCAGATTCGCCTTGTCCTGTTCCATTCTGTGGAATGGCGTTGTATCGTTCGGGAGGCGGCCGCTTACAGCACCCCGCTACAGGGGCATCGTACTTCGTCCGGGTCCCCGATGGAGCTCGAATGGTATCCGGCCCGGGTTTCTCAGCTCTGAAACTGCTCAGCTCCGCTACCTAATCTCCATTCAACGGGCTCTCGAAGAATTTTTCTATACGGTCGAAGGCAGTCAAGAAAGGAAGAGCGAAAAAGGAAGAAGATCCGAATTAAAAAGGGAAGGTAGATAGATAAAGAAGAGAAATGGAGAAAGAAATCGGATGGATTACTGCTGGAGTGTTTTCCCTCATCTGATGGACGCAGGCGTGGATCTACGCTTCGTATAATTCTTGGCTCTAGTCGCCTAGCAGAAAAATTCCATCCTCGGAAGGCTTCGTAGCTGGAAAGATCGCTAAAGAGATTTGAAAGAACGACTCAATAATTAACCATCTGAATAATTGAACAGCATACAGAATGATACAGGGATCTGGAGAGAACACCAGACTCCGGCTATTCGCTTTTGGACGTTCGGAGTATTTCATTCAGCCTTCCCCCGCGATGAAGATATACGGCGGAAATCTTCCGTAGAAGTTTTAGATCCATGAGATACGGAGCGATGATGAATGTCCTATCAGTTTTCCCTCGAGTCTTCGATAATAATTGCTTAATCGGCGATGAGCTATCAATTTGATTTCTCGAGAGCCCACAAGGTGGAAAACCCGTCCCGGCGGAAGATATCCGATGTCGTCAGATGCTACCTCGTTTGTGCGACCAGTATGCTATGTGTAGATCGTTGAGAGTGAGAGCTTGTCCGCTTGCTGAGGTTACCAGTCCCACGGAGCTATTGATTGCGCAGAACTCCAGTTCAAACTTGAAATCAAATTATGTTTCTCTTTTCAGGGATATAGCCGCAGCAGCCAGACCACAGCAGCGTTGTCCCATTTGTAAAAATACAGACCTCAATCTAGAGGCAGGTTGTCGCTGCGTCGACTGCGGCCGAGTGGCGTGCACTAGATGCGGAACGCCACTGCCACAACCAGATGGAAAGGTGAGTCGCGATTTCATCAAGGATGGGAGAGGAGTAGGCTGACGGTGCGGAGCGATCTGACCGAATTCCATGCAGATATTGATTTCTGAATGAATCAACGAAGGGTAAGAGGGGCGAGCTGAGAGCCCTGCATATGCGATGGAATTCGTTTCCATTTACCAAGGCACCGATTATCCCCATGATGAAGAAGCGAGCGCATGTCTATCATGCAATGACAATCTGGGAGGTGGGATATCCATGAATTCGTGACACATGTAGGGTGACCCTGCAAAGCTCCCATGATGCCCGAATCCGTCCTCCCATGGATAGTCCGAGAGCTTGGTCCGACGTCAACGGGCTCCCATTGCCAGAGACTCGATATTCGAGACTACGAGGAAGTCACCGGAGGAAGAAATTTCGAGATCATTAAGTTGATTGCTTCCAATTCTGAGAAGAATTAGGTCCCTCAGTCTCGCTCCGGAAGACGGTGGCCGCATCTGGAGTAGTCTCTCCGCGGAATCGCCGCCGACGCAGAATTAGTCACATGCTGGACCGGAGACTATTCCGGTCAGATTCCCGAAAAAAAATGCAACTTTGAAGGAAGCTGTGATGTCGAGCCAAACGTTTTATCGGGGAATCTCAAGCTCCTTACACTCTCTCGATGAGATCCCGACTCATGAAGTGCTCGGTTTCGATTACACAGTTTTCGAATCCAGTAGCTTCAACAACTTACTTAGCATAATAATTCCGTAGCTCGTAGACCGTGCCTTTACTCTGATCGGACGATGCTACCCCAAGCCTAGGATGGGATCGGGATTCCAGAAGAACAGCAGCGTCCACGCTGACAATCTCCCCCCCTTAACCACTGTGGCCATAGTGATCAGAACAGACTGATACGCCCAGGGAGAACGAGTCGAGTCTCTGAAAGTCCAGGGCCTCTCGATTTGCGGGAACGCCAATGACAGGGATTTTATTTAAATTCGAATTTAGAGTGAGTTCCGACCGGAATCGAGGCCGTGAGAGAGAATCTTATAGCCTAGGAAAACGGGCCACGACAACCAATCGATTCATGTTCCTTCACCGCCGAAGTGAGGTCTCATTCGCTCATTTCATCGCTTTCATCATGATCGGGGGGAAAGCTCGTGCATGACTTTGATATCTAACAGCTCTAGCGAAATCGATCTCCATCGGGAGCTCTTCCGAAAATCGTTCCCAACAACCTCGCGTTTGACGGCCAGAAGAATCGGTCGTGAAAATTACACGGAAGAACAATTGTCTCGCTAATGTCTTGTTCAGCTCGGTCCCATCAATGCCGAATAGAGTTCAAATAGACCGCTACCCTTGAAACGACGATCGTCAGCGGCTTGAGATTGAAATATTCATCACTCTGATCGGAGCCCAAACCCTGCAGTTTCGTTCCCTGAGACTGAAGACTCTGTTACGGGCCCTCCGCGTGGCCTGAACACTCGTCTCCGATGTTGGCTTGAGATTGCTTCTGGATTTGCATCAGGAATCGAGGAGATCTGCGACGTAGCATATGGGAGGAACGGAAAACATTTACGACATCTGAAGACATGAGTATCAATAAACGACCAGAACTATCATCGATACGCAGCGACCCGACCGATTTTGGGAAAATAACGAATTCCCCCTATCGAAGCTCGTCGTGAGTGCCTCCGTGCATTCGGCCGCTGTATCCCCATCTGCTGCCTACAGAGCTCCGAGAGAGTAGCAACGGATCGGATAGGTCGCTCCTGGAGGGACCCGCGACCTCATTGGACCGATGAACGAAGAAGATTCATCTTTCACTTCCCTCTCCGTATTTACGGTCCCTATTCCAATGACCTTTATGCGTGTAGGGTGTAGGCGATGGCACTTCATTATCCTCTCTCTGCTTCCATAATCTTTCGAGCGAGATCAAGCCAGCAGATGCTAATTACCCGGAGACGTCCGTCGACGGTATAGTATCCCGGGGGCTTAGATGATCTGAAAGATCGGGCTTGCCGGCTCATCTGCCGGCGAGCGGCTATCATGCCTTTGTTTCCGTCACTGACATAGTGCGATGACGTTTGCCTGATGCGGAAAGAGGAGACCGACTCGGATCCCGTCTTGTTATCCTTGACGTTCATGCTCCTTCGATTCCATTGACCGATCTCCTCTCGGAATTCGCAGCACGCGCCGACCGAACTAGACGAATCTTCTCGTTCCTTTGAGATCCGATCCGAGAAAGGATCGCAAGCAGACGGCTGAGCATGGGAAGTGATCTCTCTCCCGATAGACTGATGAAGGCGAGCGAGGAGCAAATTAAAAAGCTTTCGAAAAAAATGTTCACTCCAACGAAACTCCTCAACCGTCGGATCGCCTTTGTCCGGCAAGTACGCTCCGATTGAATGGAGTCCCGCGGGCCTAATATGTCGCAGCTTGGATTAATATTTTCTTACAATGTATCTCCTGCGAGCACGCAGGAAGAATAGAGGGGAAAGAGAGGAGGAAGGGCGACGGCGGCTCGAGAGGGAATCGAAGAGCCGCCGTCTCAACCCTCTTTTCGGTGTGCGGAACTCATGCAGTGCGACTCGCTGTCGGACGGATCGTTTCGCATCGAGGAAACCGTCTCCCGGTCGGAGTCCATCTTGCGATCGGGTGGCCGAGCGCTCAGAGGCAGAATCGGCGCGATTTCGTGCGGAATTTTCCCGTGACCGAGCGTTGCTTTCCGAGGAAGACGATTAATTCCCGGACCAATTAGAAACTCGTAGCGGAGGACGTGAGCGGAGCCGAAAGAATCGCCTCTCTGCTTTCCATGAATACCGTTTAGAAGTCACTCTGAGCTTTTCCGCATCCGAGGATTGTATGCAGAGCGGGCTCTGTTTGACTGTTTCCTCCCAACGCATTGATTCGAGGGTCTTCTGACGGATCGATACCAAAATTCAGGACTCCAAACGAATCCTTGGTTGGTGAGCCACATAAGCTCCTGAGCGATCATCTAGACTTCCATGTCGCACCCCGGAACGTCGTCATGTAAAGTGTAGCCCAGACGTGTTCCTATCGCGATTCCGCCGCTGAGCTGGCACACGGAGACCAGCGTCCGGTCATTCTTCCCTCTGGATTGATCGCGGAGACTATAATTTCCCTCAAAGTTCCGGGGCTCTCCTTGAAATTGAGGTCTTCAGCGTCCGGAAGACTCTTCGAGAAGACGGAATCGAGTTCGTTGATCCCCGCAGAATGAGATGATAATGATAACGTGTTGAGAATTCCTCCTCAATCCGCGTATCTGGAACGAGCTCAGCGCTATGAAAATAGGGACATTCCTCCTCCTAATAGATCCGTACGCGGGTCATAGCATGCGAAACGTGACGTCTCTGCTCGCATATCGCTCGGAACGGCAGCCGTGGAAGACTTTCAGAGTACCGGAGGCAAAGTCGATACTCAGAAGGAGGCGAAAATGCTCTTCTGCGACCGAAAAGAATTTCACGAGCACATCGAGGGCCATAAGGAATCTCGACCCAATATGGCATGGGACTCGCTCGAGGATGCGGCATGTGCGGGGCAAGCCGGTTCTAGATTTATTCCACCATCGACTGCAGCATCGGTCAATGCTTCTAGAGGCCGTTCCGCAAGCTCGACCTCGTCCGTCCCTCACTATCACAGCCGCAGCGGCTTCAGAAAGGCAAGAGAGTCGCCTCGCGGTCCAGCCGACTCCGGTGATGGTAGATTGTGGTGATCGGCCTCGAGATGACTCTGCCAACTCACCCCAGTTTGGCTCAGCTAGCCTTCCTTCGAAAACGTGAGATGGAACCTTTTTTCGCGTACTCGGAAGCCCGAACGTCGTAGCGCGAACTAAGAGTTCTGTGATACTCCTCCTCGAAGTTTCATGATGACGTGGAACGGGTTGCCAAGGTGTCCTGGGCACAGGAAAGGAATCCGTGGAACTGGATAAGGGAACGGTTTCCCGACACTCACTAAATCCGACTTTTCCGAAGAGAGCCCTCGGGGGCGAACTCTCCGATGATAAGAATCACCCGAGATGAATGGTCACGCCCACCCTAATTCAGAGACCTATTCGCACTCGTGTATCCAAACCCTTCTTCTGTTGAATGATATATTCGATTACAATTTCGACTTCCCGGACCATAGTCAGGGAAATTTCAGAGTCAACGGGGTTGATGATCAGGGTCCTTCCGGTTATATTGCGTTGTTTTCAGCGACTGTGCCGCCTGTCATCCTGGTTTGAAACCTTGGTAGGGACTCCGCTCGGATTTCGAGCGACATTACACAGTCACAGTACCGAATCCGGGCCGCTATGTATTTGTTTTGCGATCAGAATGTCGGGGTCGTGATTAATTGACTCGAACTACGCGTCAATTCAAGGGACGCGCTCTCATAATTCATCAATCCCTCTCCAACTCATCTATTAGTCTAAGCCCCGAGTTATACCTGCAGCGCGTCATTTGTCCATTCAATGATTCATCAATTCGTGCAACTCCTCCAGCTTTACTTCGCATCGGAGGGAGGCTGTTTTCAGAATGTTCGAGCGCCGCCCACGTCGAACTTCATCTCCTCAAACATTCAAGTTCGGGATGCTTACTTCACCGGCGGAGCAATAAATGACGGGAATAATCGCGAGGAGCCAAAACCGCTGGTGACTTATTGCGACTTCGTGGTAGCTTCTGAATGAAGTCTTCTAAGCCCTAAGCGAATGACGGAGCCTCAGCGTATTTCAGTCGAGTTAGCGAGGCACCTGTTTCTGGCGAGCGAGGATACCGAGCTTCCCGAAACGGCAATGATATGCAAAGTCGACTTCATGGGTCATCGCTCGATTCAGAGTCTCTCACAGCGGTTCCTTAGAGCGACACCGACGTCTACTTCGAAGTCCACTCGGGATTCCGAAGGACCCCGTGGACGCTCCCTCGGACGGCGATTGTAACTCTCGGACGCTGCATCCGAAATATATGCATGTATTCGGCTGCGGATTCATGTATCGTCGATTCACGAGCAATCACACCCGATCTGGGGAAGAATCTTTACTCGAAAAAGCTTACGGAAACGCGCACGATAAAATGATTAAGTCACAGAGCGCGTGGCTGAGGCTCGGGGAATAAAGAGGCTGGAGCTGTCATGATACCCGAGAGAGCTGTTTGAGAGTGTGCATCTAATTTCCGCATTTTCCCTCTCCGTATATATTTTCCTCTATGGGCCGGGATGAGCATGAACGATGTTCTCCTCGGGGTCTCGAACTTGACGCTCTCCTCCACTATGCAGCGCAACAGCCGATGATCCTCCCTCGAGTCGCTCTGGAATGTTTTTCGCAGAGAACTCCACGAAGGGAATATCCTTGAGGAAGCATCGCAGACAAACTATCGAACGCAGACCTATCCAAAACTCGGGATTCGGACGATTTTTTATTCAATTTCATCTCCATCGATTCGGAGTTGGAATCTCTAGCCCGGAAAAGTCGATTGCACTTCCAATTGCAACGACATCGGGATAGACGCTTCGCGATCACGAAACATTGTCGCATGAGGATTACGTGAGATAGTGGAATTTCCGCATTCGAGTCCTCGTGAGATGCTCACTCCAGGTGTTGCCGAATACTTCAGTGGCCGTATTCACAAGCCTTTCGATCGATTGACTCAGGGACGTGAGCGGTGATAACTCGCAGTCGTTGAAACCTGCTCGCGAGGCTGCCCGGACGGCCGTGCCGTCAGCTGCTTGTGGTGGCGTCCGGGTGCCTTTGACAGCTGCATGGTGTGCCCATGAACATCTGCCCGGAAAACTCCGCCATCTCACCTACTTGTGATGCGGAACTCCTGGAGAAGGCGATTCGAATTCCGTTATGAACTCGTCCACAGAATGTAGACGTCGAAGTGCTCCTGTTCTCACCTCGAAAGCCACATCAGCCCCCTCCCCGACGTTGTGACACGACGCCGCACCGTCGATCGATTCTCGTTCCGATTGATTTGAGACTAACGCGAATTATTCTTGTTTGCAGAGACCCTGGGTATGCATAGATTGTCACAAGAAATTCCAACCCTCCCGGACGGGCGATCTTCGAAGACAACCGACCCAAGCGGAAGGAGTTGCCAATCCTATGAATCCTATGAATCCCATGACCAATCAGCCTACCCAGGGGTCATTCCAAGACCCAAATAGTAAGTATTAATTCGTAACATTCTCAAACCTCTAGAAGTGCATCTTTCGCAATGATTTTTGTGGAGCCCCTGTGTGGCTCCTCCTCGCTCCGTCATGAACAAACTCTGCGCCAGCAGTTCGGATATTGAGCTGCGTGTGTGAGTAATGGTCGAATCGACGGAAACGCTTACGCTCGAGCTCCAACGGTGTGAGTTCGGGGGAGGTCGAGCTCATGGGAGCTTGAAGCCTCTGCGTCATCGAGAAGAACACTCGGCCGGACGGCGATCCATGAAGCGTTGGGGGAAGGTCGGATTTCTTCGCCGAAACATTTGTTGCCGAGCGAATCTTAAAAGCGGGCCAGAACATCATCAACATCAACAGTGACAACGACGAGATCCATTTGTCAAAGTTCCGTCTTTTTCCGTGCCGAGCTGGCTCCCTCTTCGTTCAAAAGATCTTGCCGAGATTTCGGACGCCAGCAGCGTCACCGTGTTTGTGGGAGTTGTCTCCTCTTTCGGGATATCGTCTGTATGACGGCGTTCCACTCCATTGAGCGCGCGAGGGACCGATTTTTAGCGCAGCTGGAATCGGCGGAGATGGAGTCGCCAGCAATTATCCAGAGGGGGCACAGTCTCTCCGATCGGTCCGCACGAATGTATTACGACCGGAGCGAGTTGAGCCTTAGGGAAGGAATAAGATCGAGCTAAAAATGGAAAGAGGTCGAGAGAAGCATCAAGCATTGAGCCTGAGGTGGATAAACTTGAGTGATTAAGCCAAGACCGGATCGAATAGAAACCCTAGGGCTCTTCTTCCTGAGAGAAAAACATTCACTCGAGAAGTACTCGCTGAAGGGATCCAGTCACGCAGATGTTTTGAGTCTTGGAAGAGCTCTGCGTAGACCGGGTAATTCCATCGAAGTGAATCATACCATTCCGTAAAATATGAACCCTCGCTGGCTTCGAGAATCGGAGCCGAGCCCTCCCGTGTGACTCCACTCTAGGATGCAGATCATCCCTGCATCAGGAGGTTGTATATACGTGGAAGACGAAGGACCAGGGTTTCGTATTCAGAGGGGGGTCGACGATTCGTTCAGGCGCTTCGAGGTTTCAATTATATCGGCAAAGAAAGACTAGAACAGTTTTTCCTCTTCCGCGCCCTGAGAGGCGAGACGGGACGAAACCGAATGTATCGGTAGATTCCCGCTGATTCTGAACGAGATTCGCCGTCACTCAAATCAGCATCCCGGAAAGGAGTCTCTCTGCCCTATACTCCGTCGGCTCGGCGCGCCGAGCACTCGTCTCCTCGTGGCGAACCGAAAACACGAAACCCGTAAGACCCGTTGCGTCGAAGCCGAATGATCCTGGACGGCGAAGGATGACTAGCCCGCTTCCGTGCTACGGGATCATACGTGAATTGTGTCCGAATGAAACGATCATCTTCGGATTCAGACGGCGGGTCTGCTCGTGCTCCCCGGAGTCGAAGGAGAAGAGCTCGCAAAAAAAATCGAGCTTCAATACGCTTCGATGGAAAATCCACAAGTGCGGTCTCTGGTCCCAGCATTGGTACTCTGGTGCGCAGGAGACGGGCGCTTCGAATACTCGCGTACCTTGGGCTTGAGCCCTTAAATCTGGGTTGGCAGGTAGAACATTACTGCGATAGATCGGACAGCACGATTATGGGAGCTTGTTTGTCCTACGAAAGGGTCGAAAGCCGGTCAGACAAGGGTCGATAACCCAATGAAAAGGAGCGTTCCGTCAGGCGGACGTCACATCACTTGACGACGATGAAACTACTCGTGAGAGTGAGGGAATCGGCTCACGCCAAAGAAGGGCGCGCCGCGTGACTTGATTCGCGGGAGGGGCGAAATGAGTGGCGGCCGCGCCAGCAACATCGGCCCCAGGCCCCTTCAGACGTATCGTTGGCGCCGAGCGAGTTAATGCGCTCCGTTCACGGGCGCGAAAACTTGACATACGTTTTTACGTCGAAACAACAACGGACGCATACATTGCCGCCTCTTATGAGGTGATATTGCGTACGAGAGCTCTTTCGCAGCGGAGCGTTAGCAAGAACTTGTATACGAGACGTAGGTTCAAGTGAAGCTGGCCAGGTACATTTGCGCTACGATCCCACATCCGAGGCCATGCGGATGACACGGCAGCGGCGGCCTTCGACTCGGACCGACGGGCGAGCGAGCGGTCGGCTATCCTCGTGAGCCAAGCTAGCAGGCTGCTCGTTAGCCGGAGGGCCGACCAACCCCAAAGAGGGCCTGGGCTAAATTTAGATCCCGAAAGCAGCGACCTCTATCAGGTGTCCTCGACAACACAACGGAGAGGGGGCGAGCTTCTTCCACGTTCGCTCCCCTCCGACAGGGCTAGGGGCAGATGTAGAGAGAAAAGGCGCGCGCTCCCTGCCTGCCTGCCGGGCAAGCAAGCAGGCTCAGTGGCCAAATGGTTGTTCTCCTTTGGTTCTCGTTATTACCCTTTTCCTTTCTTTTGCACAGGGCTCTTCTTTTTTCCAGGGGTTTTGGTAGTGGTGGTGGTGGTGGAGAAGGGAGGCGTGATAGAAGAAAGGAAGGGAACGATGCTCGCTCTGACTGCTGCTGCTGCTGCTTCACCGACTTGGCCGACCACGGAGGAGGCTTTCGAGCGAGCCTTAGACGACGCCTGGTAGTCAGCCGGGGCAAGCCGAACAGACGAGTCTGTCCCATTCCTCGGTGGATAGATAGAGCCGCAAGCTGGCAACGAACTCGCCTTCCGCTGACCGAGGGTTAGCAGCGGCGGCAGAGAAGGGGACGGCACATGTTCTGCGAGTGAGCATTGCGACCAACGATACGGCTGTCGATTCTTTCCCGCTTCTTATTTTGTTCGTTTCGGGAAAATGGTTCCGAGGTTTCGAAACTCTCTTCTGTACGCCGCTGCCATCTTCACCGTTCGCAGCCGAGATTTTCGACTTCGTCCATTGGTCGAATTCAGCAGCTCTCCGTGCTGCTTACTCCTCGCTCCGACGCAATATGAGAATCGCGAGATCCTCGGTGCCAAATATCACTCCGATTTCGGCTGCCGCGCTCTTCGCTGTCATCGTTCGTGCTCCATTATAGTAGATGTCTCAAATGACGGTTTTTTCTCTTCGTTCCTGAGGGAATCTCTGAGGAAATCCAGAAATAAAATTCATTCGATGGAGAGCAGCGTAACTTGAACAGGCCCAGTCAGAGCGATTCCCTGTTCGATAAGACTGGTGCAATTTATGCGCAAGCGTTCCCTGTATGAAATCGCTGATGCGAAAAGCCGAGAGTGCTTCCGCGTGTCGTGGGCCAGTCGAGGAACAAACATGCGTGATACACATGTTGCTCTCCCAGATCTCACTCGTGCAGCATAGAAGTTTCATTCGATCCTTGTTCGATATGAGAGCTTCCGTCCCGTCGAAATCGAAGGCTAGACTCCAAGTCCGGACCCGCGGGGCAGAGCGAGTGCCTGACCTAGATTTTGCTTAATATGGTTGCTTTGGGAATTAGAGAAAGCGGACACTGACCACCGAGGCTATAATTGAGCGAGCTAGCGCATTATCAGATCGATGAAAGAACGAAATCGAAGAATTCATTTACACGGAAGGAGCGAACGTCCAGAGCTTTATCTTCAACTCCAAGGAATCAGTCGAGATTCCAATCTCCGCCCTTTGCCCGAGAAGTTGAGATATTGACAACAATGTCGGTTTCGTATACTTTAGTTACTAGCTTAATTGCTCAAACTCAAGCGCACGGATCGTGGAGCGAGAGTTCCAAACGAAATAAATTGGCCTGTCCCAACAGTCCATCCGAATAGGCACCCTTGCTTCTGTGACTCCGTGGGATAGAACTCCTAGAGAAACTAACGCCTCGTACTTTTTTCCGTCATCAGGTATGCAAGCTGGGGGAATGGCCAACCAACAAAATTTGATGGGCCAAAACCCGAACCTAATCGGAAATCAGCAGCAAGCTGGCTTCCCAGGATCTAATTCGGGAGTTGTTAATCAAATGAACCCTATGGCTGCGACAAACAGGCCACCAAATCAGATGAACCCTATGCTCGGTGGGCAAAATCCACAGATGATGAACACAGCGGTCAATCCAAATCAGATGATGAATCAACCGGGCATGATGAACCAGAATCCAATGATGAACCAAATGACTGGCCAGAACCCGGCGATGTTCAATCAGAACTTGGGTGAGTCAGAAACACTAAAATCAATCGATTCCTAGATTCCTCAAATCGACGTGGAGCATCGCTATCGGAATTCCAATTTTCAATCCGATTTTTTTTCAATCTCAATTGCTCCTTTATTTGTAAGGGAGGGGGGGGGGCGGAACATCATAGGATGCGCTAAGGATTTGCGATCAACTGAAAGATATTCGGGGGGCCATGAGCCAAACCTCGATGTCCGCCAGGCGAATAAACAATTCAGACGCTCGGTGTTCGCAACAAACTTCGGTGAGATGGAGCACCTACTTCGCAGGTTGTTCGCCCTAATATTGAAAAATATGTCGAGTAGATCGGCCTTGTAGAGCTGCTTCAGAATGCGGAGGTTATAGTCGTCTAGAACATCCGTGAGGGGCTTGGGATTCCATCCCATCCAAGCTCAGCGGACCTACAGCGGAGCATGAGTCTCTTCCTGAAGTATATCAGAACTCCGTCGAGGATTTCACGGAGGTGAACCAGGGATGGGTTCCAAACTGGGGAAAAATATAATAGCCGGGAATGATAAGCGACTCGAAGAGTCGAATGTAGGGGTCTGATTATCAAGCAGCGGAAGATGGTGTTCACGAGCGTCTGGGAGGATCGGACCAGTTGGACAATGTGATCTCTGAAGTCCAGATTCCGTCGTGCAAGAGCAGGATAACACATGTCCGTCCAGCGAGTACTGCCAGTCGAACCCAGACTGAAGAACGACGGTCTTCGGGAGCGAGGGAGACATACCATGGGCCGAGCACCAGTTAAGAACCCCGTCGGTAGATATTTGGAGTCGTACACAGGGGTCTTCGTTTTCTATGGGGGTCCCCAATTTCAAATCGTCGGCATGGAGCAGGTATTCGACGTCGGGGAGCAGGTAGTCGGCAATGTCGAGTACATAGATAGCAAATAGCAATGGAGAAAGGGCACTGCCCTGGGGCAATCCACGTGGAGCGGGGAAAGGCTTGCTAAGCGCGTTATCAACTTTGATCCTGAAAAAGCGGCATCGGAGGAAGGCTTCGATCCATGAGATTGTGGATGTATGGATTCCGATTGAACGGAGTTTCGATAGAAGGAGATCATGGTCGAGTCGTTCGAATGCGCTCTTCTGGTCGAAGTAGATGCAGTGGAGGTGATGACGTCGGTTGATGATGGATGCCCAGTCTCGGCTCATGACCAGAAGCTCTGAGAAAGTCGACCTATTTCTGACGAAGCCATGTTGGCGGCCGTCGAAGAGAGAGTTCTTGACCATCTTGGCCATCATGATGATCCCCAGGGTCCAGAGCTCGAGGGCCAGTAAGGCCCTCTCGTCCTCAGGAGAGTCGACGATGAGGCAGAAAGATGAGTAGTTCGGGTGGAGGCTTTTGAATATGGACACAGTAAGGGATCCTTCCACATTGGGTTTGATTTCCCGTACATTTTCTCGGAATTCCCCGCCGAACACATGGTGGGGCGCATTCCGAGAGCGAAAAGCCTTTGCGACTTGATGGGTTCTTACGCAAGGAGTTGTACCTTTCGGGCGGGGTGATTCTGGTTGGATCTTGGACTTGGGCAATATTTCCGAGGTTCCGCTAGACGGTTCCCGTCGGCGTCTCCGTGAGGATTTCCGACAGGGATTTCCAGTCCCATCTGCCGAAGATGTGGGCGGGATTATCCGCTCCCCGGGATCTGCTCATTACGCAAGATCTCTTCGGCTATGCTACGACGTCAAAGTGACAGCTCCGACGATGCCTACGTATTCCGTCCAATTTCCTACCTCTTTCCGGACCCATGATACGAGTCTGTGACAAAATCACCGAGACTTGACATTGAAATCTGCAGGAAGCAATCAACAAGCAATGGGCGCCGCGACGACTCAGCAGCAAAGCACAGCGTCCTCGATATTAGGAGGACTTCTCGGAGGTGGAAATAGTCAGCAACAACAACAAAATAATCCGAACCAACAACAATCCACCGGAAGCTCGTTGCTCGGTAGTATAACTGGTGGGCTTCTGGGAGGAAGCACGCAGCAGCAACAACAACAACAACAGCAACAACAACAACAGCAGCAGCAACAACAACAGCAGCAGCAGCAGCAGCAGCACCAGATGAACATGATGCAGAACCAGCAGGGCTTCCCAGGTGAGTTCCGGTTGGAGTCCCGCGGTGTATGATGATTTCAGGAATTCTGAACTCATATACCTTGTCGTCCCTTCATCGGAGGGCTTGGAAGAGTACTGTAGCTTCAAATTCTCGTTGTCTTTCAACCAGAAAAATTGGACAAAGGACTTCCTCGGACTCGTCTCACGGTTCCGCTAATCCAATTGGACCCTGCATTCCAGGCATGATGGCACCTAACCAGGGACCTGGTATGATGGGAGTGGGCCCTGGTGCAATAATGAATCAGAATCTGAGCCAGAATCCAATGATGATGAACCAGGGCCCACAGGCCATGATGGGTCCCAATGGGCAACATATACTGGGACCTAACGGTCAACCCATACTGGGTATGGGAAACGCACAACCCATGGCCATGATGGGAGCCAATGGTCTACCTTTGCTGGCAAACACACAAACTGGACAAATGGGACAATTCGGTGCAATGCAACAGCCGTTTGGAAACATGCAGCAAGGTTCGTCTCTCTCGATTCTCATTGAATTGGATTCTCTTCGCTCAACAAGAGCTCAATCAAAAAATTTACCTCCGCTCTCGATGCGGAAATAAGCGGACAGGAACCGACACTGATTCGCGGGTCCTAGATGTTGGTGGTTGCCAATAGAAAAACATAGACCTCGGCGTTTCCGTGAGCGCCTGATGAGTTCCTCAGCAACCTTTCAAGCCAGATCGGAACTCGCCATGAGACGCTTATTTGATCTACACCTCGTACAGGCATGAATCCAGCTTTAGGACAGCAGTCGTACGGGTATGGTCAGGGACCAGTACCTTCAACGAACGATCCATATGATCCGTATGGCAAGAGGCCTGAAAATCAACAAATGCAGCAGCAGAGCGATGCCAACTGGCAACAGCAGCAGCAACAACAGCAAAACTGGCAGAATAGGGTAAGTGGAGAATCCGTCTTCGCACCCGTATGCGCATAAGTTTCTCTCCGAAATCGTCTTTATGTTCGGAGCTCCTACTTTCTTCCCTCCGACCGTGTCGAACCTCGAAGTGTCGCCTTCCGTGAATCACTTGCGGGCGAGCGGCAGGTGGACTTTAGGCCCGCCGGCTCGCTCATCCGACCGCTAGTCGAGGGGTCGGAGGCCCGGCCTCCAAGAAAGCTCAGCGTACCGCATCTTGGAATCTCACTTTTGACATGAGGAAGAATGCTCGGAACTATCCACTCTTTTGGGGAATCCCCAAGCAGAACCCCGATCGACTCCTTCCGTGAAAAAACTTCGCTCCTCAATCGCGATTGAACGCTTTCAGACAAACGACCAGGACGGAAGAATGGCCTCGATGATGGCGGGCCCTCAGGGCAAGCCAGTGGTAGCGACAAACCAACAAGGAGCACGTGAGTATGATGTCGTCATGGTGGCTCAACGAGGAGCTCGTTATGGAAGTGGCGGCATCATCATCGACAACAACGACGACGACAACGATGACAACAACAAAAACAAGAACGATCGGCGTCGTCGCAATGATGACGCCGAAGACGACAGCTCAGAGGACTCGGATGGATCCGACGATGATGATCTGATTGAAGACGTTCTTATGACCGTCTATCAGACGGGGGGGCAGAGAAGCCAAATGGTCGACGCCGATGCTGCTCTGGAAGTTTACACTATTCCGGAGGAGGCTGAAGAGGAAGCAGCTCTTGACCTCCCGGTAGCCAGCGGCAGCACGGCGGGCCTATCGACGAGTCAAGACATACTCAACTCAGACACTGCCCAGAGCCTGCTACGGTGGAGAGGTAGGCCTTTGGCCCGGCCCGGCTTGGCCCTGTCGAGCAAGTCGGGCCAAATGGTTGTCGCACGCTCACCTCACCACCAAAGCAAGGCGAACCGCGATCGTCACCGACAGATCAGTTTCCGCCGACATCAGTTGATCCGACCAGATACTAGCCGACAGACAGACAATACGTTATTTTGCTGTTAATCGATCGTCTAATAATTATTCCACCGAATGAGTGACCGATTGACTGAATGGCTTCCCTAGCTCTCGATTGAACGTTTCATAATCTCACCCGTTGATTGACTGGCTGACATTCTGTTTTCTCTTGGAGGACGCTGGGCGTCATCACGTCAAGTGAACTCACTGAACGAGTTCACTTGAAGGCTCACCCAGGTAGCATGGGGTTAGTGCCCCTTGCATACTCGACCCCCTCTATGACCAACTGGAGAATATTCGGTACAGAGAATTGCGTAGGCAGCTGAGCGTTTCCCCTTATGTTCATGTTCGACAGATTGTCTGATTGATTTATTGATTGATTGATCGACTAAGTTACTCGACGAAGCGTCTCCGTGGTTGATCCTAGCTTGAAAAGTTGGATGACACGTACGAATCGTCATTCCTTCCGTGGCTGGATGGACGACGGCTGGTTCAAACGATGAATGGCTGGAACCGAGAAGGGCGGTTGCAGCGATCGAAAATTCGGATTGTGATCGATCCATCGCTCTGCCACTTACTAAGGAACTATCAGTTTCTCCGCTCGGTGATCGATTCCCGACGGTTGGCCGGCCCCAATCCGAGAGGAAGGAAATGAAGAAGCGACTTCGCTTATTGTCGCTCCGTGGGCGACCTCTGCTTTCGATCGGCTTCTGCGAGAACGCTCGAGTACTTGCAGATATGGGGACTCCAAACCGATCATCAAGATAAAAGGCTACGGAGCGGATAAATGGATGGAGGAATGAATGGTAGAAACTATGCACATATGATCGATTTATTTATCGCTTCGAATGGTTTTCATTTCTCCACCTTTTCCTCCCGCTGAGTGGTGGCGAACCGATAGTGAATATTTGCAAGGCATGTTTTTATTCACGCTACAATTTTCTCACATTTTCAAATGCGTTCTCTCTGACGTTCTTGGGCTAGAAGCTATCGAGAATTGAGCTCGCATCTCAGTTTGCTTTGGGAAGTGTCCTTGTGCCGTGGTTCCTGAGGAGGGCAACTCCGTTCCCACGCGAGACGCCCAGAAAATCGCAAACGAGTCCGGGGCCTGAACCTCCGTATTCCGAACTCACACTGCGTGTTCCGGACGCTCACGGACATTCGGATTCATCGTGAATCTCCGATTTGCTCACACAAGGATGTCGTCTGTTGCGAACGTTGATAGGGAGTCAGTCCACGATTGGAAGTCATATCGACGGCGTAGGAATGTGACAAGCAAGCGAACCTAGGAAACCTCCATGAGTCTAATTACCCCTTTATGTCCTCAAATCACGAATACCACCGAAGTAGATATTGAACATTCCGAAATATGATCAAAGTATTTTTAAAGACCTGAGAAGAATGCTCGCCCAATGCAAATCGGCACAGGAGCACCGCGGTGGTTATCGAGAAAAATAGACGTGACGTACTGATGATCCGGAAGTTTGTTCCTCTTACTCTCGCAGACAACAAATTCACGAAAAAAACTTGTACTCACAATGATGGTCTGATCTGGAAGCGATCGCGTTTCGACCTTGGCAGTCACCGCTGATGTCGTGTGGTTGTCTGGTCGTACTCCTTCCTGAGTCTGTCTCCCTCCCTCTTTTGCAAATAATCCTTTGATGAGTCTTCCACCACATGACCGATTGATCGTTCGATTCAGTGATTGGACGATAGATCGGCAGAGCTATCGATATACTCAGCCTGATGACGATCAATCGACCTCTTTCCTGTGTTCCGTTGTGAGACCCGACAATTAGCTCCTGCCTAAATAAAACGCCACAACATGCTCGCTTGGAAGACCCGCCCGCATGATATGCTTCACCGCATAAATATCTCCGTCGCGAACACAAAACCATCATCAGAATCACGATCCAGACGTGGAATACTCGAGCTCAATGCTGTAATCTGCAAGAGAGGCACCGCATGAGTGTTTATCTGTCTGTGTGTCTGTCTGTCTGTCCGTTAGTCCTGAGTGCGGGACAACCTTTGGCGGATCCTCCTTGGCCTCCGTCCTCCTCTAACGGCTCTGCTGTCGACTCGTTAGCCATAGTCTTTGTATGCCGACCCGAATCCCGGAGCCTGTCGATCGAACGAACTTCAGGCGCTTCAACGCCAGGCTCAACTCACCTCGTTCTCCCCTTTCAGGCCAACAAGGTCAATTGCCACCGCAGCAGGACACACGCGAGCAGAAGCCTAAAAACCTCGCAGCTCCGCGTTCCCAGAGGACTCTACCAGCACAGGTAACATCTTCCTCCCCGATAGAAAGCGCTACTAGCTATCATTCTGCCCAACCGGCTGTGGTTCAGTCTTCTGCGAACGAAATCGCTTCTACACAATCGTCTGTTGCCGCTCGAACGGTCACGGTAACGGCCATGTCGACCCCGCTGACCTCTGTGCGCGAGGAATCGCCACACGAGCCCCTGAGTGCAGCATTCTCAGGTCTGTCCGAACACACACAAGCTATTCTTGACAAACTCAAGAACACACCGCCTCTGGCCGGTGCCTCCTCGACCAATGGTCTGTCGCAAAGACAGAACGGCTATACCTCCGCCAATCGGTCGATTGCCGGTTCCACATCGCCAACGGATCAGCGCTCCAAGGATCACAAGGATCGTTATGGAGAAGGGCCCGCACCGACTGCAGCCCAGAGTCCAAGTTTCCAAGCGACTGCCTCTTCCCAGCGACAGGGCTCCGGACAGTATCCCGAGCCCAGCTGGAGATCGCAAGACACTGAATTTGCCCAAAGGAGAACTATATCCACTTCCGATGAAGATAACCGAAGATTCGAGAAGAATGACCGGAGGCTCGACTCCGACAGCAGAAGATACAACTCCGACAGAGACCGCTACTATTCGGATAGGAGATACGATGCCGAAAAGCGATACGACTCTGGAAGGGGACCCTATGACCCCGAAAGAGGGCGTCACGTTCCCGATCGGAACAGATCCGATGACGACAGGAGATACAGCTCTGACAGAGATCGTTATGAGTCCGACAGACGTGTCGAGCCGTCATCTCGACGATACGACGATGAGCGTCGCGCTGAAAGGAAGATGTATGATGACGTCGATGATGGATCCTATGATCCCGACAGACGTTATGACGCAGCCCACAGATCGAGAGACGATTACGAAGATGAGCGCGAGTACAGAGAACAGCGTCCGGTTAATGAGCCCATAATCGCAACACGGATCGTTCCCCGTGGCAACGAGGACGCCAGTCTTGGTTCATCACTGAGTTCTCAACAACACAATCAACAGCCATCATCAAAGCCCGAGGTGCGAAAGCGACTACCCCAGCAGCCAGGTGGTACCCTAGATCGAGACGCGTGGGAGGGTTTATCCCCGATCCAAGACATGTCTCCAATTTACGAAGAATCTAGCAGCAACGGCCACTTTCACATGCAGAGGAGCTCGATTCCACGTGCACAAAGCGGCACGATATCGGGAATGCTTGCAGACTTCGACCGTGCGGTCGCGGGGCATGCCACCGATATGTATGGTAACCCTCTGCTCCAGACAAACGAGCAACGTTTGCAAGTGCAACAGCAGAATCCGCAGCAGCAGCAGCAAATGCAAGGCTATCCTCAACAAGCGTTACAGCATCCGATGGATCAACAAGAGCTGCAAAGAACCCAACACCAGCAACCACAACAACAGCAGCAGCAGCAGCTGCAGCAACAACAAATACAACAGCAGCAGCAATTTCCGGATTCGCACCAAGCTCCTGCGAGTCAGATGCAGCCTCAGCAGGTGCAACAGAACCTCTCGATGCAGATGCAAGGCCAGCGACAATTTCAACAGCCTCAGCAACAAATGTCGCAGCAGCGACCGCCCAATCAGCTGCCGCCCCAGCTGCAGCAGCAACAACAACAGATGCCTCCCCATATCCAGCAGCAACAACAACAACTGCCTCCGCATCTCCAGCAGCAGCTGCCTCCCCAGTTGCAACCGCAGCAGCAGCAGCAAATACCTCCCCAAATGCAGCAACAACAACAACAACTGCCTCCGCACCTGCAACAGCAACTGCCTCCGCATCTGCAGCAGCTGCAGCAACAACAGCAGAAACTGCCTCTCCAGCAGAACAAACTCCCGGCGAGCCTGCAACAACAACAACAAATACCTGGCCACCTGCAGCAGCTCCCTCCCCACCTGCAGCAGCAGCAACAACAACAGCTTCAACAGCAAGCTCTGAATCAGCCTCAAGCGCAACAGGGAGGGGCGCAGAGGCGCCAACATCGACGTCTCCCGCAGGAACCGTCGGAAATCAAAGCTGTAACGCCGAAGATGGCCGCTGCCGCAGCTGTGTCCACGATGACCGACACAGGCGGCCGTCCCATACCAGCCCCACGGTTGCTAGGTAGTCAGCCGACTCAAGTGAGCCCTCAGACGGTTCTAGTGCAACAGGCTAACGCTAATGTGGGTACCTTGGTGACACCGGTAGTCGCTAAACACCCAAGCCTGGTTTGTGGGGTTCAGAGATGCAACGCCACCCCTGTTCAGATCCTGCAGCCACATCAGTGCACCGCGTTAGTGCAGACGCCCAGAGCCGCCCAAGTCGCCCCCAACGCATCAATTCAAGAGCCGGGCCAAGCGCCACCTTCCTCCTGCCCACATCATCATTCGGCCGCTGTCCCGGCAGGAGCTTCCGTTCAAAATGTGACGTGCTGTCATCACCATGCGGTCGCTACGACTCCGGTCCCTCAAGTGGTCCAGCTCGTACCTAATCATCTCCCCCACCATCATCAGTCTACTAATCAAACGAGCGACCATCGATCATCCGTTGGACCGATACCGCAGCCGCAGCAACACGCGTGCCAGACGACCGGTGTTCAGATCAGTTCGAGCTCCAAGACCCCCATTACTCCTCAAACCCCAGGAAGTACCCAGGTAAATTGAAGTGCGTCGACAGCTACCGGCCAACCACCGCCACCAAGAGGAACTTCGGCTAGGGAGAAATTCACTATTGATGTTCTTGATGTCTATACACAACGATTGATTATTCAGTCGATCGATCGATCAATCAATCTGTTGACCTTAGACGGTTGATTTGATTGGTGAATTGATGACTAGAGCCGATGATCACTCTGTCCGATCATCTATCTGACTCTCCGACGCTCCATCCGACCATCCATCCACCCTTCGAACTGCCTCTCTATCGAATACCGCCTCCCATCCATGCAACCATCCGTTCATCACTCACTCAATCAATCAATCCATCCATCAATCTATCGGTCAGCGATCTCGATAATCCCCTCCTCAAATCGATAATCGTAAATTATCCCGAAACCCCGATCCAGCCACTGCAGCCACCACAGGGTGGGCCGATACGGTTGCGATATTGAATCGAGAGCCTATGATGAACAGACCTCAGATGCAGGAAAACACTCAGATGATGTTTTTCATGAGTTCGTCGCTCCACTCGGTGCGAACATGCATACCGTTCCGTCGGATACGTAGTAGGGAGATTCTTTCGATTAGGGTTTTCGCAGTGAAGACTTTTTCGCGCGCTGTATCTCTTGGTACACGATCATTACTTGGTTTGCTTTGAGGCAGAGTTGCTTTGCTGAGCGCTATTCTCCTTCAATGACACGAAATACTAGTTTATCAGCGAGCGTTCTCTTCGCGAATGATTATCGATTTTTACGTCTCACTCGGACAGATACTGAGGCTTTATCGCTGTTTTCTGAGAGAACGGAGTGCATTTAGGCGCGTCCTCAGTCATCTAGGCTTCGAATGTCTTACGTCATTTGGTAATCCGTCGAAGCGTTGAGCTCTATCTTTCGTTCGCCGCCTGTAGGTTTTCGCATCAAAAGTGCGTGAGTCTCGATTGCTAGGGTGCTTCCATAGAGTATTCGACTGTCTTCTTCTTGTATCATTTCCCGATCGGGATGCATCGGATATCGATGTGGGCTTTACCAAGGAATTCCGCGACGGGTTCCTAGAAACCGTGGAATTTATTCCCGGCTCTGAAAAAAGTCCACTCCATTGCTCAATCATACTCACCCAGGGAGAGATGTCTCGAACGGAATAGGAATCTGGAAACTCGGGACATTCAGAGGGCGGCTCATAAGCTTCTATTTCAGGTCTGGTAGGAATCTATCCATTGACGAATTACAATTATCATTCACCTCATGCCCCAGATCTTGTGGGCCTGTATCTAATCTTTCTCGTGTGACGCTCCTCGAGCAACTGTGCCTCAAAGGAAAAACATATTTTATATCATTTCGAAACCATTCTCTCTTACCCATTAGCAAATATTCTTCAGGGTTGGGCAGATCTTCTGAAAATCACTTCAAATGTCCTCGTGTGAATGTGTATGTCGTCCTCGTGGTCGTTTTTTTTTTCCGTATCCGTATGAACACATTTCGTGGATTCACATGATTTTTTTCCGCGAAACTCCCAGACCGCTGTTGGTAAATCACCTTCTCTGCGTTTTTCGGTTCTGTTCCTCTCCACTTTATTTACTCCCTCCAATCGGTTTCGGGAATACGCTCTTATTTTCACCGTTCTTCATCGTTCTAGTTCGGTCGATGTCATCGATGTTGTGTGGCTGTTCTGAGTTGTAGTCGGATGAAACTGCAGTGGTTCGACGGTGGGAGATGGCAGTTCAACTGGTGAAATGTGAGGGAAGATTGTGTGTTGTCTAGCGGACATCTGCTGAATTCGCAGCTGAAAATCCTTCGATACGATTACATTTCTGTCCGAATGCCTGAAGGAACTCTTGGTGGTGCTGGCGGACGACATGTTACAATTATGAAATGTTGGAACTCGAGTCGATCAGATTCGACCGGGACTCATTGAGAGCGATGAAAAAAACTATTGGCACCAACGGTTGCACCCATCTCCCACGAGACCCACCGCATGAATCCTCGGTTCTGCTAAGTTTTTCAGCTTTTTGGCGTTTCCGTTTCCAACCCTCGCTCAGCTTTCAATTTCCAAAAATAGATGGCAAATCCATAATAATAATGAACAGCATCGCGTATTTTTTCGTGACGAGTCCTCCCATAGGTCGTCAATGCGATGGAGTGGAAGCATTTCACTTCTTCAGGGTATTTCTCCCGATTTCCTATGGAAACACTGCTCGTTTCGGCTTATATCGACTGCTTCCTTTTGTGAATTTAGGTGCTTTTTCTTTTCTGGACGTCGCGGAATAGCCCTCCTTTCGAAACCCCGATATCCCGAAAGCGGGCTCGAGTTTTGATTCGATACCATAAAATGGAGAGAGTCGATCACCTTGAGATACCGATTTATTTCTATGATTGGCTTTTCTTATTTACGTTCAAACGCAATTAGAGACCTCAAAACGACTCTTGTCGACGCATCACTCAGTCATTGGCTCCCTTCTGGTCTGTCCTCTGCTCCATGTGACAATGTCAGGGGGTCGGCGATCGGAATAAGCGCCGGTCCGGTTGAAGATTGACTACCCGAAAGAGCATTCGAAACGCGTTTTGACTAATGGTGAAATTTCTTCTTTTCTTCTCTCCGAATCTCTCGCAGGGGGGTGACTCTTCAGATACGATGAGCGAAGCTGACTCGACAAGGTCAGGAAAAGTTCGTCGAAGACTACCGCCCGTTCCTCCGGGAGAGCAGGACACAACTGCTCTTCTTCTAGGCGCAGGGGGACGACGTTCTAGGGATCGTTCACGTGGTGCTCTATCCGCGGCTGGCGAAAGACGCCGTGCCCCAGTCCACCTGCCTCGAGCCGCCTCCGTAGACGGTAGCGGTCTCCCCATCACCAAGGCCAACTCCAGTGCGGCAGACGCTCTACTACTGTCAGGTAGGCACCGACTCCTCCGAATCTCTCGTTTGCTCGCTGAATTGGTCTCTTACGGCGATTCGAAGCTCCTCCAGCCACGGCCCATCGGCGGGTGCATAATAACTCACCGGGGGTGTTCGACTCATCGATTCGACCGCATATTGATTTTCCGCAGCTTCTGGCCTCGATGGAACGATAGCCAGGCCGATGTCGGCCACGGCCTCCTGCCTGTACGGATCCGCCGTTGTTTCCCCCGGTGGAGCGGCAGGCAAAGCTCTTCCTTCGTATATGACGTCCCTCAAGGAGCAACTCCGAGAAGAACTGAAGAGCGTCACAAGTGAACGGAAGCGAATGCTTGAACTCAACAACCGGGACAGCACGCGCCGCTCAGAGAATGATCTTGCGTCTCTCCTAGCAACATGGAAGCCCCTACAGGTGCTTTTGCCGTCGCGGTATTCCTCGCCGATTTGAATTCGACCCATCAAGCCTTCGGCGGAGGAAAGCTAAATCAGATACGTTTTCTGCAGGGCGAAGCCGATGATCCACTCCTCACTCACAGAAGACAGCTTTCGGATTCGAGAATATGTCATCCAGACAGCGCTCTAGAACCTAGCAAAAAAGCCGAATTGGCAGCGCTTGAAGCTAAAAGGGCCGCACTCGCGGCCAGAACAGCGAAGACGATGCCGAGTAGATCACGGACACCCATGGGGCCGCTCGGAGCTCGACCCTCGTTCAAATCGTACGAGTATGAATACCTTGATGATCTTCATCGACCTCTCCCGGGGTTGTATCAGGGACTCCGAAGCGGTTCCATGACCGACCTCCGACAAGCAGCCACGTACAGGACTGGTCTCGACTCCGATTTGGCCGGTCAGTGTTGGACCGAAGGACCTTATTCCTCTCCCCGGGCACCTTGCCGCGGCGAGACCTTCCATGCTCACCGTGAGATCTTCGTTGCAGGACCTAGCATCCGGTCAGGTTTTGGACCCTCGATTCCGCTCCGACAATGCTCGTTAGAATACGAATCCGATCCTCTTCTACGAGGTAGAGCGTACGACCCGCTGGTCGAGCCCACAATGGCGTTACCCTTGCGAGCTCGATCAGCGCTCGGACGCCCCGCGCCATTACTGGCAGGTGAGCCTGATGCGATCCATCGGCGTCGGACTGAGTCTACACTCGCTGGCGAGACGAACCCTAAATATTCTGGATTCCGAATCTTAAGTCGTTTCTTGAGAGTCACCATAAAGGGCCTAAAGGAATCCGTCTCTGTTCAGGACAACCGAGAAATCGATCTAAACCGAGATCATGGCATCCGTCGCCATATGTATCCGAAGACGAAGAAGAAGCAAGGGAGGAGCGCAAGGCGCAAATCAAAGTAAGCCTTTTGCCGCAACCTGAATGGAAGGGGGAGGGGGACTTGAAATTAGTCGGGCTCTGAAGGGCGTCACTCGATTCGGTCCGACAGACCTTCATATGATTTCTGTTCTCCCCCTCAAGGCGGAAATAGCGCGACGACGACACCAGATTGAAGGTAACGTAAGACTGCGAGATGAACTCTGGAAACTCCAACGGCTACAGCAAAGCGAAACGGGCCAAAGTAAGCTCTCACAATTAGGATACAGAAGTGTTCATTTATTTGACTCGTTTTTTTTCCTGAAGCTCCTATTCTTTGAAGACCGAGCAAGCTTGATTGATTCAATTCCAGTGCCGGGGTATCGAGACCCGCTTGGCTCTTACGGAATGTGCGGAGTTGCCTGTCCACCGAATCGTCGGAGCGTCTTGAACGCTATCGACGATTACCTACAGCGTGACTACCGCACCGGTCAATTGATAAACCAAAGACCAACGTTCGGATATGCGCCACAGTACGACGTCGCGTAAGTGTTCGGATGTCCTTTATTTACACTGTATCTAAGTCAAACTCGACCACAGCGAGCTTCGAGCCCCGGTTTTTTCTTTTCGGAGCTGACGGATCTCACACTGAAATTTTTAGCAAATCAAAATCGTTCGACGGATCACCGGCTGAATAATATTCCTTACCCCATATACCCTGATGCTTCTGAACTCCGGATTTACTATAAAATAATGAAACTCACGATGAGCACTCGTAGACTGAGGAGCGAACGAAATAGGTGGCCGCTTTCTGCTCACCAATGCTAGTGCGTGTGGCTTCGCTCTTGACATTTCCACATGCCCTGGTTCCAGAACGCGTTTGGCTCAGAAAGGTTTGGGGTTCGACCCGCTGTCCGCTGCTGGTCACAGAGCACATACGACAGCAGCGGCAGGACCTTACGGAGCACCAGTTCGGACGGCGGCTGGCATCCACCAGCCTGGTTACTACAAAGACGACTTATACGCCACAGTTCCTCAACGCAACTTGAGCGGGAGACCTCCTCTCTTCAGAGGCTCCAGCTTAGGAGATGAATATCCCGCGACGGCTTACAGCTCTGATCCAACACACGACGGATACGTCGACATGTACGGACGGTTTGATTCTCGGACATGCCCCGTGAAATCCCCTAGTCGGAGTCCATGCTCCCTCACCGGACAGCTCTCGTCCGGTCTCGCCTCGGGCTTATGCCAATCCCCTCCCAGCCACCAGAGCCTCCAGTCATCCTCACTATCTACCCGTTCCCGGATGTCCCCCATATGTTCCCTATGGTCACAGCACGTCCTCCCGCTCGCATAGCGCTTGCTTTCCTGACTCTGCGCTTGGAAACTGACGTGTCGAGAGAGAGCAATAATTGGAATTGAAATTTCGCTTCTGTTTCGGTATTGCAGGATAGGTATGGCAGGTCGACGTCACAGAGACGCCATTTCTTCGACTGCTCCCTACGTCGAACCTCTGATGATGTCCGCCGATTTCTCTCCGTTCACAACGGACACGGAGATGACGCCATCTGACAGTATGGCAACACCTGCGATGCCCTTATTACCTGACATGCCAACGCGATCAAGAGGATTGTTAGAGAATTTAGGCGGTGTTCAACACATGCGAGGCTGTAAGTACCAACTTCCGGGCACCCCACCCTTATATTGGTAGTCTTTGGTATTTCTTCTGTTCTCGGCTCCGATAGGCGAAACATGGAGCCGATCAAATCGGTAATCGGGTTTTGATTTCACCAACATTTTTTCCTCCTTGTTTTTTCGTACCCACGGTAGCGATAAGGACTGATCTCAGGGATCATGATCATTCACGAAAGCTGGAAGATTGAGTGCCGCGCTAGTGAGGAATGGAGAGCTGACTGCTCTATCTGAATGGCTACAGTCTGGGTTCGATGCCTAGGTAGCTTTTCAACGAGAGTTTGAACACCTGACCTCCATCGCCGTAGACCGCTAGCCAAAAGTCGATCGACACCTGATTAATCGGGGAGCGACCGAATTCATTGCCGGATTCCCGTTCAAGCCCTCTCCGCGGGACGGTGATTCCGTAGCATTCGGACAAGAGCTCTCGATATGCTTCGTATATTTCGTGTTCCATGCACAACCCGAAATTCCCGTAGCCCTGAACGCGGACTGTTTGGCAGGCTCCGTGTTGCTGTGAAGGCTGATTTTACGACAAGTCCGTATCGAAGTTGTGGTGGTGGTCGTCGTCTCTCTGGTGTGATTCTCTCGACCCACAAAATTCATTTTAATCTCGCTGGTGTTGTCATATCGTTGATCGTATGGTTCCTTGTTTGGCCGTCCTTCCTTTCTGTGCTTTTGCCTGATTGATTGATTGGACTGATGTAGATTCAGGGATGTCTTCCGACACATTCGCAAACCGAAAGACTCAGGTGTCGCCTCAACTGCAACCAAACCTGTCCATGCAAAGAGCTGTGCAGAGCCAAGTAAGACTCACGTACGCATATTTCCCGTTATTAAATCAGAACAAAAAACTCATGGGCTTGTCCTCGCTTTCACCGATCCCTTGTACACCGTTTTCTTCCAAAATCCCCGAATCCACGACTTTCCGTTTCCGACAGTCCTCCCTCCTCCTCAGGACCCCAGAACCCTTCTCTCAATATTCCCCGCTACTTCCAATCATTCTTCCGAACCACGCGGTTTTGTTCTCCTTCTTCCGTTCCCATCGTCTTCCGAAGCCTAAATCAAGTCAAGTGTCCAATGAAGGAACTTTTTCTCGGGGAAGAATCTCCCTGTAACTTATTCTTGCCGTCACAAAGTCTTAAGGCGACCCTGACTTACGGCGAACGATCTTCTTCGAACGTTTTGATGAGTGAATGCCTGCGACGCCCAGGCTGTCCTGAAGCTTGACTTGCTGCCTGAGAAACCTCGACTACCCCCCAGTCCTCTATTCTCGTGATATGTACCCTCGACATGCGGTTTGACTGATTTCCGGAGAGGAGCGATGCACCGTTTTTCCAAACGCAGATCCTGAGACCGAGGTGGGAGATCCGCTCTGCTTCCCGCTCCTCTTTAATCCATAATTTTCAATCCTCCTTGCGATAGAGCGTACTTGACAGCTTATCCGCCTGAGAAAGGAGCATTCAGTCCTTGCCGACGTCGAGAGAAGCTGAGCCGGGTTTCATCTTGAGATCTTTCGGAATGCGCCGTCCCAGACTGCTCCGTGATCGAGCGGTTTCCTTCTTGTCGTAGAAATCCCTGATTTCCATTGCCGGACCTCCTTCTCCTTTTTGTCCGTGTTCTTGGTAGTTGAAAAACGGTGTGGATTATCCCGTCAACCCGCACTATAATGCGAACTGTGATCACCATTCATCCATCATGTGATCATGCGAAAAGCAAGCGTTATCTATATGTTTGTACATCTACATGCATATACAACGTACTCGTCATATACTACATATTTACATGCACATTTCGAATGTTTGCGTGTTCGTGATCTCGCCGCGGATGCAATCGGTGCTCACGGAGGCTCTCTTGCAGCGGGCCCCACGGGAGCCTATGGGGCCAGAGAGCTTCTTGGCAACCCACTATTCAGGAATACGAGGGGAGCCCTTCCACTTCGGCCTTTGCAACCAGCAGTACCCGGTATCAACCAGCTATTACAGCAACAACAAGAGTTGCGCCAACGTACGCAGCAGGCCAAGCTTCCAGGACGATACCTTCAGCAGCAGCAGCAGCAGGCAGCTTTATCAGGACAACAGCCTTTCGGAAACCCGTACAGCGGCCATCAACGATATACCCCAGCATCCATCCATCATACAACAGGCCAAGCACTCGGCACACACCAAGTACCCTTTTCAGATAAAGCGCATTTTGCTCATTCGGGACCATCCCAGAGACCAATCGGCGCTACACAATGGTGAGTGAGGCCCTCGACCCGAGGGAACTCGGAATCCGAATTTGGATTCGGATTCGAATCCGAAGTCCTGACGATGTTCCATCGGTTCTCCCGTCGAACCTAGACGAGCGCCATGTCATTGCAGGGAGCGGCAGCGGTTTTGGTGTTGAAATTGTCGGGGGGCGACCTTGCCTCGATGCTGCGGGCGGAACGGGGGCATTCGTGACGCGAGTCATCCCCAAGCCCGGGGGTACGGTTAATACATTGGGCGAAGTTCGCGTTGGCGACCAGGTGCTTGAATGGAATGGCGTGGTACTTCAGGGCAAGTCCGCCGGATATGTGAGCAACATCATCGCTCGCACCCTAGAGGATGAGATCGAAGTTGTACTCAAAAGGTATGTCTTTCATGATCGTCACTATCTCATGCCCTTCAAATCGAGCGGATGGTCAATCGCGAGCGGAGTTTTCTCATTACTGCAATTTTCTTCCTCAGTGATCCCAACCATATCCCTCAATCCCGGAGCTTAGCGAGCCATAAAAGTCATCCGACGTCGTCTTCTTTTGAAACTCTAGATGAGCCCAATAGAAACGCAGGTGAGTTTCGTCGGCATTCGACGAGAGTCTAGCAACTCGACCACACCACGGAAAATACCGAGGTGCAAATCACGAACTCGAAATCGCTCAAATCTGGCGAACTCAGGCTCTTTTCCGACCCGAGATATCAATTTATCGCTCTACTGAGCGAAAATCAAGAAGGCGTGGGTATATGGTATCGATGGATATCGTCGGCGATCCCTGCGGAGGGGAGCCCTCTGATTCCTAGAGAACTATCCTTACATCCCGCCGTGTGTCGGAAGCTTTCCTGTACTCGAGAAGGTTTCTAATCGTGAAGGTGCTTGTAGACGACCCAGGAGCAGCAAGTGCATCGGCAACGGGCTCTCGGACGAGGGTGAGGAAGGCGACTGTTGTTCGATGTTGTTTGCATCACGGGATTGCGCCCCCGGGCGAACTGTCGATGTTTGATTGATCGAAGTCGCTTCGCGTTCGATGAGCGCTTGATGGTGTTTGCATCCATGTCGTTCATACAGGCCAAATCATTATTTCATTTGATCATAGTTATTCGTGGATTGCATTGGTTTCTGTCTCTGTAAATCGCTCCGATCCTCGTCGGAATCCGAGGACGTCGTGATTTTTGTCGTCTTCGTCGTTGTCATCGTATTGCTCCGCTGATCAAAAGATACCGGAGATCCCCAATGACTTATCGTGATGAAAGGTGATCATCACCATTAGTGCGGGACCCCGGAAAATCTTTGAATGATTAGCTGGGAGCAATGTTTAAATGTTTATGGTGAATACCGTGGGTGACTCGCTGGATGCCTACAGGATTCTCCACCCGACCCACGAATGTCGCAGCGTATGATAAGTGATAAGAAAGTTGTTGTTTTTCAATGACTCGTCTCTCAATTGAATCGCGATCCTGATTGTGAGACTCATTGCTCTCTTCTCACCTCCACCAATACCTCTCCAACGATTGGAAGATGGGTTATGAAGTGATCCCCCACACGCTTCGGGAACGTCTCCCAGAGGAATTCAAAATGCTCCGTAGACGAGGAATGCAGGAGCCTTTCGTTCCGCTACGAGTTCTGCCCTGAATTGATTTTCCATCACAGTCGTTTGGATCCGTGCGAGAGGGTTAATCTTTTTCACGCGTTGTCGATCATTATGTGAACTCTGATGGTACATCGGCGATTCCTACAATCTCTCTACCGTCAGATTCTCTGTGATTCTGAGTGTCAAGTCTCATCCAGTCCTGCCAGTGTGTATCTTAACCGTGGATCCATTGATGTCTTCGTCGCATGGTTTGATCATTGATTAACTCGACTCAAGTGTTTTTCTCTTTCCATCTCTCGGCAGAATACTCGAGGACCGATCCGTGGGGAAGTGATGGTAAGGATTCTTTTCTTCTTTTCGAACGAAGATGAACGTGAGATCCGTCCTCCTCGAGACGTTCGAGCACCTTACCGGTGGGGTGTTGACGTATCATAATTTCACAGTTGCAGATATGCCATGACATGCAGGCGCGTATTCTCTACGTGAGTGTGGTCAGAGCACGCCACTTCAAGCAAAGTGGTGATGCGAGAATTTTCAACCCATACGCGCAGTGCATCCTCATACCAGGCAACAGGTAATTGGATTTCTCATGACTCATGCGGGCGGCGAAATATCGCAGAACTCGCGGCGTGTCGCGCTAAGGAAATTCGAAATCCCAAAATTCCCTTTAAATGTCGGAAACTCCTTGAACTTCATCCGGATTCGCGGCGAAGGCAGCTCCCGTGAACAAACTATGAGCTTCGCAAGTTCGACCCTCAAGCGACTCTTGATCCAGCCGTGTCTTTTAGCTTGTGGCCAATCTCAGGCAATGACCCGGTCCCACCGACTCCAATCGACGTTCGGGACACCTCCGATTCTCAGTGCCGAATTCCGCCATCTGCGGGGATATTCCCTCGAATCGTTTGGAGGAACTTTGACTCATTGCCGAGCGTAGAAACGACGACTCTCTTCGGAAACTTCTGAAAACCGTCGATCATCGCGGTCTCCGCGAATAACGCGATCGCCGAGAAATAATTGCATGCCCACTCATAACTCATGAGCTACATTTCGATAGCGGATGTCATTCGCATCTGGATAATGTGCGTTGATTCGATCGAGTTCATCTGTTTCCAGAGAACAGAATACCCGGCGCACGCGGCACCTTCCGAATTCCTCGGAGCCCAAATGGAATCAGACGATGGTCTATCCGAATGTCAGTCGCGACCAGCTGTCAAATCACTGGCTGTTGATCAGCGTTTGGAACCTCTCTGCCGTCGACCATGCAGAGGAGCTCTATCCTCAGGAATTCGATGAATTCTTGGGGGAAGCAGCTGTAGACCTGAGTCGAGACGCAGATGAGCAGGAGAGATGGTACGTTCTAATACCCAAAGCCAGCCGTCCCAAAAGGCAGCTCACCATCATGGACCAGCAAGGGTGTTCAACGTCTTCTCTGAACACCTCTCAAACTCATATTGCCCAGCAGCGCTATCAAGAGGGTCCCTCGAACCAAAGTAGGTGCTGCTCAATATATATCTGAACATCGATGTCACTGTGATACCTGCTATCTATCGCGCAATGAGGATTCTTCCCCTCGCATCAGGACAGATCCCGGAGCAGTGATCCGATCCTTCATTCTAGGCGGGAAGAAGTGGCACGTCTATCCCAAGAGTGCTGTCCGGCGTAAATCGATATCTGTCGATATGGGATCGAAAGGACGAAAACTGTCTCTCCTACCGTCTTCCTATGTGGCCGTCAACCCGTTGCTCCCACGCGGTCCCGTCGGCATCGGAGGCGCGGCTTTCGGGCGGTACGCCTCCGTGTCGTGTCCCGTGTCATAACGAAAGGACCAATTCTGCTCTGCGGTCGGCTCGAATCAACTACGTAGCTTAATTTCTTGTTCTAAGTGCCTTCAACAAATACTTTTTCTGCAGTCAGTAACACGTCTGAACGGTCCGATTGGTGGTCCGGTGCAGTTCGCCCGCCAAAAACGAGCGACAGAATAGCATAGGCAATATCTGAGAAATTTACTTCGCTGTCAGGTAGTACCACCGAGGGTATTCGCCAACCCGAAGTTTTACGCGTCTCGCAGACTTATTTGACAAAAAATTGCTCGACCGCTGAGCGATTCGTTATGCGATCGAAAGCTCTATCTGATTGTAAGCAGATTTACCTTACACCGAAGTCGGCGGCGATGAACGGGCGATTTTGATGCTGCTCGTACGTGCACGCCTTAGGAACGCTTAATCCTCGATCGGATTTCAACATGGGCAAAAAGAACACGGCATTTGCTAACTGTCTTCGGCGGGTGCGAGATCGACCCGTATGAAATTTTGCCGTGACAGATACTCACCATGGTTTGAAACGACGAAATGTAGTCAAGAAACCGGCTCACACGCCGTAGCCAAGATTTACTCAGTCACGACTCGTTCCGATAACAATTGTTTCCAGCCCAGACTAGTGTTGAGGAGCTTCTACGCATTGATTCAGCCCTTTATCAGCTGATTCAGCTTGACGATCTTCGAAGACCAGATCGAAGCAGACGGCGAGACGATTCGGGCTCGTGGGCGACGACCAGGTGGATATTTCCGTTGCGAAAGTTCTCAATTGAAGGATTTCGCTCTTATTCCTCTCAGGATCCTGCGACCCCGTCGAGGATTCTCGACCGGCTCGGGACTCCTGATTGAGTCTCCGCATCCCGTAGCGTCCGTACTGAACCACCGATCGGGCATGTTACCGTATGACTGATCTCCGCTTCTGAGATTCATTGGTAAAGAAGTACGAACATCGCCAGCACCTGGAAGGTTGAGAATGATGGAAGCCGTTCTGTTGCTCGTCGTTGTGATCTCTGTATTATAACAAACGTACTGACCGACAGTTTGATTGATTGACTGCCTAACTAAGTGACTATGATTGATTAGTTGGTCATCATCACGTACTTAGTTCACTATTGATTGAAGACTCGCCCAGTGACTGGTTGTCCTTGAAGTTATAACTCCGGACGAACGAGCGAAACTCTGGGAACAGATTCCACACGGCCATCGAGAGTTGACATGAACCATTCGAACAGAGTACGGAGTTTCGCTCGGCTGGAGAATGAATCCAAGCTCAGAATTCAACCATGAACCAAACGAGCAGCAAAGTATCATTTTCTGTTGACTCTCATCATGAGATGGATATCGTTTCTTGGTGATTTCTACCCATTCAACGTTAACCTATGTACCTACCTAAGAATTTTTCTACTACAGTTGTTCTTGCGGAATGATCCCTGATCTCTCGCATCTCATTCGCAGTTGTACTCAATGTGTCGAAGGCCAAGTTGGGGAAGGTCGCAGGATTTCAGTTCAGATCGACTCAGCGGTATAAATCCGATCACACGCTCTCCCTCTGTGTCACCGAGGAGTGAACAGAAACAGGGGAATGTAAAAGAGATATCGGCGGGGAACGAGTCGACTGCAAGAGACATCCTCCCTGCCACAAGCCCCGAATTGAGACAACGCGGAAGATACGCACTCATTAATTCGGTCGAGAAAGTTATTCTTCTCTGTTAATTTGGCTTGATAGAGCTCATCGATCCGATGTGCTCCATTTTCCGGATAATGCCAGATAATTATTGTGAATTTAAGGCTGAGTTCTCCTGATACGTGTGCCTATCCACGCTCCTTGTATCATCCCTTCTTTTGCGCGATATGTTGATCTTGTACACTCTTAATGAAAGCTTAAGAGTCAAACTTAATCGATACCTCCGTTTTCTTCTTCAAAAACAGAATGAGTGGATGAAGTGGGAACGTCTCTCGGTTGTTCAAATATTAAAATATCACTGGTGACAGCAACATATCTATGTTCGTTCCGTACTTGATCTTCTAAAATCGAATACAGCGCAGCACACAGTTCAGCGGACGAGGGTTATACTACTGGGCGGTCGATTGGACTCGAAGCTACCTTCGACGGCAGACGCGGGAAGGAAGTTGAACTGAGCGGAACCAAAGCCAACTGGAACCGAGCCTTCCATCGCTGTCCTGTTCCGAATTTAAGAGGCCGCCAAACTCGAGCGAAGTCGTATTGAAGCCGCAGAACACCAACCTAGAGCCGCGTTGCGTTCCTCTGAAACCAACCCAGAAGGATTCAAGGCATACCTGAACATCGAACTGGTGTGCGATTGAGCAGCCGAACCAGAGCCATGCCAGCCAGCCAAGCAACTCTAAGGCCCGGTTGTCTAGACCGGCCATCATTTTCTGATGATCAGTATGCCCGACAGATTGACCGACCGTCCGACCGATCCATGGAAAGGTGGCACTACGTATAGGTTTTCAATTTGGATGTTGCCGATCCTTCAAACAAAGATCGGTCAGGGCCAATTCGCGACGATGTACAATTTACGCATGGATGGATGCTTGATTGATTGATAATAGGGTTGATTGATGCAGTGATCGATTTCACTGGGAGCATTCGACTTTTTCGAGTCGGCGCAAGAACATCAGCAGCAAGCAAGCCGTGTGTTCAAAGAGTTAAACAAGCGTATGGCGTTTATCTTTTTTTGCGGCGCCTCATACGAATACCGCTACCTTACTGATAATACTAATAATACTACTACTATTCATTACTACCGCTACCACTACTACTACGAGAAACACCACGAATACGAGTAATGCTACTATCATTACGATAACCACAGATGAAACCACTACCACTACTATCACCACCAGCGGAGCTACTGATACGAATGCGCCTAAAATCCATAGACGATTTTAGTAACGAAACGAACAGGCACACTTCTGCTGAATTCCTTGAGCCGTGAATTGATTTCTACTGAGGACGTGCACACTCGTCGCGCGTGTTGTGTCCCGACGTCGTCACTGTTTTACCGTTGAACTATCGCAGAACTGCTTAGATACTCGATCATCACAAATGATTGAATATTATCATCGAGGAAGATGAGGAATAAAGTCCGCAGCACCGAGTCAAATCGTTGAATGAAAGTAACACCGAGAATTGACTAAATGGCAAGCGAATGGGAGTCGGTACTCAGAGCCTTGACATGCGCAGGCGAGCATAGAAGGAAGTTTAAATAAGCAAACGAGACAGGTATGAGAGTGAAAATGATCTGCGCTTCTAGAGCGTCTCCTACGGTCCGGTTCGAAGCAAGCCGTAACTTTTCCTGGCGTCACGAACCAGCTTTTGAATCATCTATCTGGGGAGGAATTGAATTCTTCACCTCTAACCAGATTCCGCTGCTGATTGCGATCTCCTGGATAATATCATGGGTTCAATCTTGCCTTTCCTCGACGAATGTAGTCGCATGTATCGGGGGTATCCACTACTCGTACTGGTGGTAGCCGAGGGTTTAGGGAGCTTGCTCACGATCCGATTGATTTGATTGTCGTTCAATTGATCACTTCCCGAACATCGATACGTTTTCCGCTGCTCTTCCGAATGTGTACCAAAGTCAGACTAGCAAGAGAGCAAACAAACCAATCAATCATTGATCACATTTTGTTCTTCCTTGACGGATACGGCTGATGATGATGATGATGATTAGAGGTGTACGGATAATGATCACGCGGGACATAATGATGAAACGATTGATGATGATGATATCCAGAATGAAGAGTTGATACTTCGAGTTAAGAGCGTGACACATTTTTGAGATATACATTTGTACAAAGCTCATGATCGATAGTTTTGAGGATATCACATTCCCCTAATTCGGCGTTCGAGCTCGCCGCTCGCTCGTGTGTATCATTGTGTTGCTAGGCTGTTATGAGAGCGAGAAATTTAACTGAAACAGTGCGTTGAGCTGCTGCGTTATGCAAGCTTGGAATATTATTATCCTTTCCGCTGCGAATACAATAAAGTCTGTTTCGATTGATCCGGTAATGGGTGAGAAATGGACCTAGTTCGGATCCTCTCCGCTCGTCTGAATCGGCGAAGGCGATACATCTCGCACTATCACCGAGGAAGCATAGTGTCGAGGCGGTCGCTGCCCGAAGCTGGCAGCAAATTGGAAGCTCCTGATTAGCTCATCGCATTTCTTCAATGCGTCTGTCCTCGCTAAACATTCGAGCCGCGAATGGGTTCGGTCACAACATCACAAGGATCCTCGAAGGAGACTATGGGAGGAGGGCCGAGCCGCCTCTCGATGCGCCTTCCGGAATATCGCACACCGGGACTCCCCGGTGTTCACGTTCTCTCAGAAGAAGAACGTTGTACAGAATTTCTTGCAAATAGATTCGATCATTGAAATGGCGCATTTCGAATCCAAACCTCTCCTCCTAGTTGATTAAGGTCCGCATATACATTCGGAACGCTCGCAAAACGACTGTCTGCGAAGCTCAGGAGGTCAATGAAGGTTCGTGGGGAATCGACCGTCGACACGGTACTCGCTGAAGCGACGCTACCCGCTTGGTCGTCTCCCGAGTAGTTTCATAGCTGCTCACAATCACTAGTCTCCTTCCTTTTCCAGAGATTCTGGCCTGTATATTAGTAATGTCCTTGACCGATCCTCCGCAGCCGCTTTCCGTCGTCGGATTTCCCTAAACTTCATTCGTTGTGTCCGAGCTCGGTGGAATCTTGGATGCGAGCAGATCGACACTCGTTGCCATCGATCGACGGCATCACAGAAGGACTCTGACCTCCGCATCTGCGGACGAGAAATCCGTCGACGAGAGAAAGTCTTTTCCCGGATGGGCTCTTTGGGATCGGTGGGAGTTTGCGACTTCTGGACTTTTCGTTGGAAATGAGTGTGTTTTCCACATATGATGTCGCATCGTGCGTTGCCCTCCCCGGAGTTGGGACGCGATTCGATTTCGAACGGAGCAGCGAGGAGGGACGGCGAAAAGTTGCGGAAGTCTTCGCCACACATTGTTCGGTCGGGGTCCGACCAATTCGCTCTCGGGGACAAATAGAGCGCGAGCGCGGTCTGTTCAGACATCTTTTCTACTTTCGAATGAAGCGCGAATATGTCGACGAGTGCCATGTGACGTCAGTGCGTTGAGTAGTGAGGAAGGCCTTGTGGCTCCAGCGGTCACCCTAGGTCTCGAAAGGTCTCAAAGAACCCAAATGATGTACTTCCTTGCCAAGTATGACTTCCCCATCTACCCGTGGACGGCTAGCTGAGAGACTGGCTGCTCCTCGAAAATGACTTTCAACAGAACGATAGCATCCTGGTTCTGTGCGGGGATTCTTTTAGCTGGCATATCTACCCGATCCCTACTTCGCAATCACGTGGATTGATTGGTATCCCGAGTCTTCGGCATGGCCCGTCGCTGCTTATTTCAGGATTTTGTTACACATCCTCGAGATCGGTCGGTGGGTATCTCAGCTCTTAACGCCTCTTCCCTTATAGGGTAAGTCTCACAAAGACCGCACAAGCCTCACAGCCGGTCCCATGCCTCGAAGCTCCTTGGGGAGAGCGACGGCCAGCTCTCGTCTCGCTCTGGTGCGCTCCACAGAAGCCACGAAAATCATTCACCGATCTTCAATGATGAGAACACACAATTCGATCCTCATCCAAACTCATTCTTTATTCAGTAGAAAAAGCCAAGGATCTTCCCTCCCAAGTGCTTGCTACGGGCCTCTTCGTGGTCCATGATGCCTCCGGATGTGGTCATGACGACGTATCTGAAAAAAACACGCAGAGAAATCGTATTGAGCCCACCCTACTGGATTTTCGTCGCGGCACTTTAGTATGCGTTCGTGCGCGCCTGAGCTTGAATCGACGGAGACGGTCGCACAAGCATTCATTCGATTTCCCACTCGGCGAAAGGACGGAATAATTAGGAGCGCTACTGCAGAGCAGTATGTACACTGGTCGATAATGTCAAGTTCACGAGAAAGTAACATGATCTCCAGGGCTTCTTTTCTTATTTCCCTCGAGCGAAACACACTTCGTTTCTGAATCGTCGAAGAATGCATTATACGGGGGATTGGCGACGGATATCGTCACGGCTTGAACTGGGCAATCGGGTAAGAATGTCACAACCGGGGGCTCGCAGTGAGCTCCATGCCTGGAAATTTGAGACCTCGGGACTTACCCGAACTGTCTGGAGGGGAGCAATGAAGACATCCAGTTTTCGTAATCCCGGATGGGTACATCGAAGCGGGGCGAGATGACTCCGCATTTGTTGATACGTCCGTTCAGGAAGACGACGATTTTGCCCGAGCGATGGTCGTCGACAACCTCGAACTCTCCGATGTAGCCTGGGGGAAAATTTCGGTCAAATTGAGCATCTGCGCAAACAATACGCGGAACTTCAGTCTTTCGTCGTATTCGGATATCAGACTGGTTTCTCCACAAAGCGGTCACGGCGCAAACTGCGACCTTTCAGAGACAAAAAATTAAACATCATTCAATTCGTTACGAGCTTCCCCCAGGACGGGAACGCGGTTTCGTAGGGTTCCAGGGATCCGTTAAGACTCCCCAGATATGCGGGACCCAAACGGTCCCTCGATAGAATGGACACCGATTCGAGATATTTTCATGGAATTGATGACATACCCTTCTTCATCATTACTTTCAAGAATTTGATGATGACATTCGAGCACGGTCTGATGAGGACCTGGCGCTTGCCACGCTTTTCGGCGTTGTTGATGGCATTCAAGGCCGAGGCCAGAACGTTCGCACGGACCATCGCGTTAGCTGGAATTCGAAAGAAGCTGTTAAGACAGAGATTCGTGCATGGAAGGCCGAGCAGGATTCGATCTTCCGCTGGCTGTCGCCCAGATCCTCTGAGCTTGCTCGAGATTCGAATGTGATAGAAGCGGAGAAACGGGCAATATTCCTGCGTTTCCGCTTCTCAGGTCGATTTTTTCGAGCTCCGAGCCAAGGTGATGATATTCAGTTCTTTGTATTCAACAAAACATGAGGAATTCCACACTCAGCCACGTGGTGGGCTGAACACACGCGACGAACCGGCACCCCATTCATGAAGAGTCTATTGGAGACCGAATCGTTTCAACGCACCAAACGACGCACTCGAACCGAGAGACTCTTCCCATGCACAACTCGTTCACGTAAAAGCGCGATTTCCAGCAGAAATTGATGAAAGTTCTCCTCGGAAGTTACCTTGTGTTCGCCACGGGCCTCAGCAAGCGAGAAAAGAATGGACGCATCCAAAATGGCGCCGATCCGTGAGATTCGGCGAGGCGCTCAATCTAAACATTGGCGCGAAATTTCAAGTTTCGAGTCGCCAGACTCGATCTCGCCCAGTGCGGATGATCCGGGGAGAGTTGTGGAGTATTTGTACCAGGTGAACGCTAGAGTCGGAGCAGTGTCGAGGTCCATCTTTCTCGGGGAGATATCTTGTATCTGAGGGACTCGTGAAGCCAAAATCCGGATCCCGGTCAGGAGAGGGGATTGAGCCGTCATCGCCGTTTGAAGTTTCCGAATACTTACGGTAGAAGACGAGGCGGCCGAAGAAAAATGTCGAGAGCTCCTGGACATTCAGAGCATTCGTGCGCCGCGCCGTCCAGTCCCAAAGCCAGGATGTCTCGCCCTGACTTTTTGCGATGCATCACGGGTGAAGTCGAAGGACGCTCTATGCATCTTCTAATTTTGCTCCGCATTCCCTAGGCGCCTAGGCGGTACGTGTCCTGCGAATCACTCAGCGATTCGCTCATCGAACAGAAGAGGACGAGCCCAGGTCTGATAGGAATTCGTGCCGCAATCCACCTCCGACAAGCTTATCTTCCCCGACGATCGACCCAGCTTCCGAGAGGAACGGAAAGTGCAAGAATTGCATGACACAGAAACTGCTGAAGGAAAACAAAGTCTTTCTCGTCATGATTCCGAGGCCGGGATCTCTCTGAATAAGCTCTCGACGGCTGGGGCTCGTGGAGCGTCTGAATTGCGGAGGCAAGCTTTTCCCAGATCACCTTCTGAACTTCTCATCGACCCTTTCCGAGATCATCGGGGGCGATTCTATTTTGTGGAGAAGGAGTACAGTCGCTTCGTGTCGAGACCCGCATTAGCTTGCTAGGATTCCGTGCTGAAGACAAGATTTTCGGGAACGACATTCTCGACATGATGTCCATTCAAGATACGAACGGGCGAATCTCACTATCTTCCAGACGGAATCCAGAGCATCAGTTATTTGTAATAGGCAGAGAATCCCCTACGACAAGTGATATCAGAGTGATTTCCGATTCCCACCGAGAGGTTGGTGTTGTAGAACCTCGAATTTTCATCGACGCGACCAGATAACAAAAAAGCAACTCAACGTCAACGGCTGAATTCGCAGTGCACGAATGTCACTGGCGCCACATCTCAAACAGAGCCGCGGTCTGCGTTGAGCGGGAAGGGGAAACGGAATATCTCTCTCATGTTTCTTTCGCTTCGGAGAGTCAAGGGAAAAAGGAACGACCAACCATCTCAGGAGAGCATCTGTTGTTTGTTTTCGTTTAGAAGTGAGACGTAAGTTTCGAATCGCAGCCGTATAAGAAGTCACAGGCGTGATCACGACCTTTCGGATACTATTCTCTCAGACTTGCCGTGAATCAATCTGGTCCGAACGTGAGTTGACGTTATTCCGCTCAGCTGTCACTCCCGAGTTCGAAAAAAGTTACGTTCCGGAGGTGGAGTTCTCGATCATGAACTTCTGTACGAACATTCGTTAGAGCCGATCTCACTTTTCAAGGCTCATCCTCCTTCTCGATGCCTTGTGTCTTGCCTATTGCAGAGTCACAAGTCACAAGGCAATCACGGTTGCTCGTCACGCGAATCCGAAGGGGGTGGTGAGGACGGTGCTCTGCTATCTACCGAGAAAAAGAGGGGACATGCAAGAGTCACTTTGAATGAGCGTATCTACTCACCACGAGGGGCCCTTAATCCGGGAGCGACCGAATGAAACAATGAATGGCTTCGGTACTCGGTACATCCGGATCGGTATGGGCAACTTGGGGAAAAGGGGAGAAGCTTCGGATCAATCAGCATCTCTCGTGGAGCGAACGATGCGATTAGATTCGCGGAACCGGGGAAAAGCAGAAAGCAGTTGATGAAGTATGTATTCCCAAGCCCCGTCACTTCCGCTCTTCATTCTCATAGTGGTCGGCGACGACCGACGATTTCCGCCGATCCCTCGACTGAAGATCATGATGCTCGGAGTGTCAAACACGAACGTGTTAGCTCGTAGCTCAGCTTTTCATTGGCTCAAAGAGGAGCAGTCTGGAATTTTCTCGGAGAACTTCCCGATAGTGAAGTCTCCGGCGAACGTTGCTCGTCAGGGTTCTCCCGTGGAATGTTCCAGAGGGTTCGAAACATTCGAAGACAGACGATTCTTCTCCAACACAAGCCGGGCGTGATAATCTACTGGGAAAGATGAATCAGTCGTAGTGTCTCAAATTGGTTGGAACTTCTGCGACTGTCACTCGACACGCATCTGACAAGTTTGGATTTCCGATGATCGCGAAAACTGCGCTAGACGAGCCAACAAGAGCCGATGAAGCTCGGAATTTGAAGCATGAAGTCCGGAGGATGTGAAATTCGATCAGAAGCAATTGAATGGAGAGAGGAGAGAGGCTACGGAACTTATGACTCCAACCCGGTGGAACCAGCTATATCTAGGAGTTCCGTGATATGTGTCAGCAAGGCACTCGCGGGCTGTCTTCGAAGATGAATCTCAATGATCCGGACATTAGGTGGGAAAACAAGAGAAAAAAATTATCTCAGCTGCGGGAGCTCTGCGCTCGGAGTTGAATCGAAATTATTCCCTGACAACAATGAAATTGGGGAGGAAACGCGCGAGGTGATTTCTTCCCTTGACAAGCGTAGTTTCCGCTGATCTTCTATAACCCAATTCTCGAGCGGACCTTGCTTCGAAGGAAGTGACGGCCCCGATTCGAACGCATTCCGCTTGCTGGGAGCGTCATACGGAATTTCCTCAGTGTGACAGTGGTTTCTCAGCCAGATAACTAGCTCCACTAAGTCGGGAGCCTCCCATGAATTTCTTTGAAGCTGCTCTCGATTACTCCTCTCTCCCCCCTCGCTGTCAGTTTCCGAAAGCCCCCCCGGAGTTTCCACCGGAGGACGTGTTGATGACTGTTGGGGAGCTCTCGCTCTGGAGGGACTGACTCCAACGAAGGACTTCTTCTAGCGGCGTCGTAACTCCACTGAAGTCTTTGATTTTCCAGCAGGATGGGGTCGCGATCGCGGAGTCGCCAACGGGCTCAAAATTGGACTCTCGGGTTCGGCAACACAAACTCGGGAGAGCTCGGTCTCGGAGGTATCGAGGACCATATCGTCCGAGGTGCGTACATTGGCCGCGTGATTCTCTCTGTCGATATCCGCCAAATTTGAAACGCGTCATTAAGCTAACCTACGCTGTAGTTCCTAGAAGTATACCTCAACTCGAGGGTATCCGCGTCCGACAAATTGCGACGGGAGCTCACCACACGTTGGTCTTGACCTCGCACGGCCGAGTTCTATCGTGCGGCAGCAATGACCATGATCAATTGGGCCAGGAAGTCAGCACAACGAAACCAGGTCCGTAATTTCCTTTGGAATTTCTCAATGTGACTCGCCGACGGTGGTGACAACGCAGTCGAGGATTGAATGAAACCTCAGAGAGCCACAAGCACGAATGACTCTCCCATTCTCTCGTCACGTGATTTTCCAAATTCACCGTACATTGATGAGTCAATCGAAGCCGAGATATCTCCAAAGTCACCTGAACTTCTTCTCGGAATCCAGAGCCCGTGACGGCCTTGCAGTGCCTGAGAATCGTTCAAGTCTGCTGCGGTCAGCAGCACTCGATGGCTCTGACGGAGGCCGGTCAAGTTTACATGTGGGGCTCGAACTCCAAGGGCCAACTGGGTAATGGGGAAGGTCAAGAGTCGCGTTTGTCGCCCAGGTGAGAATCGCTCGAGAGCCTTTCGACTCTCCGCCCGAATCGCGGCGAAAGTGTCGGATTTTTTTTCTAGCGTAGGTTCGTCGCTGTTCCAGGTTCGTGAAGACCCTCGCGCCCTTCACCGTCGTCCAAATTGCTTGCGGATCGAATCACTGCCTAGCGCTTCTCAACAACGGCGCATTGTACGCGTGGGGTGACAATGGAAATGGACAATTGGGAATCGGAACCGTCGGAGAACCTCAAAGGGTACCGGTAGAGGTGACAAATCTTCTGGGTGAGTGATCGGGATACATTGTATCGAAAACCTTGTCGAGATGTTCCGACGGGGATAACGCGCTCGAGAAGAGAGTCGAATGTCGAGCCCCTCATCGTGCATTACAGGGCTCCCATTATCGCAAATCGCATGCGGGGCCAACCATTCGATGGTCCTATCAAAATCAGGAGTTATTTTTGTGTGGGGCTCTAATCGCTTCGGTCAGCTGGGGCTCAGCGACAACAAAGACAGGTGCGTTATCCTCTCGTATGGATGGGAAATAATCGGGGACTCAACCCCATGGGACAGGGGAAAAAAATGCGGATTCCTTTCGATTTCAGAGCCTTCCCGACGCTGTTGAAAACTCTCCGTCAGCAACATGTGAAATTCATCGCGGCTGGCGGAGCTCACAGTGCTGCTCTTACGGCTCACGGCGGAGTATTCACATTCGGTTGGTCTTTTTATGAATCTCACGAAGTGCGCATATCCCTACGGGGGACTGAATCAAATCCTCAATCGGCATTGGCTCGGAAATTGTTCTCATTGATCGAGAGAGAATTCTGTCGTCATTCGTAGCGGAGCTCGCGCGATTCTCATCTGACATTTGAGTTTTTCCGTCTGCCGCATTTTCAGGGAGTGGCTCCTACGGACAGCTTGGACATGGCTCCAAGAACGATCAACTCACACCAATGAAAATTCAAGAGTTGATGGGCACCACGATAACACAAATTGCCCTGGGCAGGTGAGACGGTGCCCGAATCAAGGCGATTCCGCCCCGAATGTGGATTTCTGCTCTAGTCTCATCCAGAACTTGCATGGGAGCCTCTCAAAGCTCATGGCGACACTTATACGACAGGTGTCATACTGTTTGCTACGCTCCAACAGTTGGAAAAGTATTCACATTCGGGCTTGGCGGTAACGGACAACTCGGATCGAGCGTTTCAATGGTATCAACACCCACCCCGCTGGCGGGCAATTGGGGAAAGGTAATTCAGACAAGTCTTGAGCTTCGTGACTGCGACCGAGAACCCATTAGCTCCTTTCGATCCCCCCCCCCTCCACCCCAGACCCGCTCTTATTGGGCTTGATGATTGAAGGGTATACTAACGGGTTCGTCCCTATCCCAGAGCCTCGAGATCAAACTCTTCCGACGTTCTTCAACGAAATCCGATCAGACCAATCAAATTGATTGGTCCGAAAAACTCAACGAAGAGAGCATACCACGAGACGATCCTGGGGAGTCGCACGAGCCGCTCGACCCGGAAGACATCGACATGGAGGTAGGTGTCCGTACGACTGTCTTCGAGTGGGAGTGAACGACGTTAGACTTTCGAGAGTGTCTCATAGATGTGATCTGGATGGAGCCTCTCTATCGTTTGATTCTATCCTAGGTTGAGGAGTCGCCTGACGAGGAAGAGGAACCCGCCATAGAGCTTCAATCCAGAGAGCTCTTAGTGTATTCGATTTTCGCTGGCGGAGACAGGAGCTTCCTTGTTTGCCACGAGTCTAAGGTACCGATACCGAGCTCGTGATATTCTTCGAGAACTGCTCCATCTGATTGGGGAGACTCTTGTTCTGCAACTTCCTGTTCGATCCACAGCAACTGAGCGAGAACAGACCAGCCGACTACAGAATACGACCGAAAATCCAAGAGATTTCGACGCTAGAGATCGACATCCTCGAAAGTCTTCCTTTCCTGAAGAAAGATGAGCAAGTGCCTGAGGTGAGACAATGCAGTCCGAACGCTCGTAGACGCGTACGCGCGGATAAGTGCCAAGATTGAGCTCGTTCATTCTTGCAGGATATCATGAACTATTTGGAGCCTATATTGAGTTCGCTGGCGTGTTTGAACGGTTCATTCCTCGTGGAAGACGATGGTCACTACAACTGCACAGGCCTTAATCATGGAATCGACGTAGAATTGGCTATGAGGGGACTGAAGAGCTTGGAGGACACGAAGAATACGAGCTTGCAAGAATTCATTGGTACGTTTCCAGAAGCCTCCATCGCCTCGATGTCGTGATCTCACGTCGAAACGGTAAAAATCGAATTCATGGACCGCCTTTCATGGGATCGTCCCCAAATCTGCCCTGTTTCCATCAGGTGCTCAACTTAGCGAATTGCTGAGCAAAATGCAATTAATGTCCACGAATCCGACCGACATCGAATGCATCCGGGTATTTTTCCTCGTTCCGCTTTGTCATCTGTACCGGCGGATACCGCAATACCTCGATTCGATTACGAATCCGTACCACCGTTCCCTCCTGAGGTGAGCAGAATCCATTCCGCTGTGCCACCGAATTCCTTCGTTTTGCGCTTGAATATCAGCCTGTGGGAATCCGCGAGTCGTCTTATAAAAACACATACAATCCGAAAATCGTTCTCGATTTGCAAGAATTTTCATTTCTAGGCTGAAACAAACCGCAGCACGAATCGTTTCTTCGTGGTTTGGCTTGTATGACGAACACATGTTCGGAGATTTTGTCCGATCCGTCAAAAGTATCATAGATCACGTGCTCATATACAGCAAGAATGTAAGTCACCCATTACCTCCGACCATTCTCCTCATTCAGTGAGAGAAAACAATTGCTCAATGTCCCCATCAGGGAATCGTATGTATCTGAGCCGCTCTGCGCTTTTCTTCGAATCCAGGCATGCAGAATCGCCTGACGGAGCCTCCGCGGCTATTTCATCATTACAGGACACGATGTCTTTGGAATACGCACTGAAGACACTGAGAATATTGAATGGAGTAAATCGAGAGAAACTTATTGTACCCTTCGAAGAGTTCTATATCGAGATTCTGCATCAACATATCTCTATCGAAAAGGACTATCAGGAGTGGTCAATGTTGTCTCCCGACGTTCGTATGCATAAAATATTCTTCTGCGACTATCCGTTTGTGTTCGATGCCGCAGCGAAAACCATCATCCTGTTGGTGAGCGACCGGAGTGTGATGATATATGAATCCAAAAAGTTTCGATAGGTAGATAGCCCATCTCCAATGCGATCGGTCAATTTCCTAGCTCACGAGAAGTGAGACTTGGGCCGACTTCAAACCTCTGACTGATTCGCTCATGTTCCTCTTACAGTGCGATGCGGCAATCCAGAAGCACTCGGCTGTCACACAATCAATGCAACAGAACTTGAATCCTCTCGCTATGATGTTTAGGCAGCAGCAGATTCAACCCTACCTCATCCTAAAGGTTCTAAAAACATCAGAGCGATATTCGTCCAATACACCGTTGCTTCCCACGTCTGGTTGTTTGCTCGGATCCCTGTCCTCACCTCCGATGAAATTTTTCCCAGGTGCGCAGAGATAACATCATCCAGGATTCTTTGCATCAGTTAGCGTCTAAGGAGTGTCAGGACCTCAAGAAACCATTGAAGGTTCGTTCATACCCTCAGCGACATTATATTCCCCTCGAGAAAATGCGGAATGTGCGTGAAGAGTTCTGACATTCCGGATCCCGACATGGAGTACGATATCGGATGGGATTTCCAGGTGATATTCGCCGGCGAAGACGCTGTCGATGAGGGCGGAGTTCGTAAAGAGTTCTTCATGCTTTTAATTCGGGAAATACTTGACCCCAAATTCGGAATGTTCACCGTTTATGAAGATTCTCAGTACATGTGGTTCCATCAGTCTCTTTTCCAGTGAGTACAGATCGGTCTGCAATCCCGATTCTCTCAGACCCTGCTTCAGTCCCTTTTCGAGATCCCTCGATGAGATGGGAAATAATTGTGATTTCTGAATCTTCCACAGAGACGACAGTCGCACGGTTTTCCTTATCGGGATTATGTGCGGACTGGCGATCTACAATCAGACCATAATCCCCCTCCCGTTCCCGCTAGCATTGTACAAGAAACTTCTGAGAGAACCCGTCAACCTTCAGGACTTGGCCGTTCTGACTCCAGCCACTGCGAAGTGAGTTTTCCGCGAGCGACTGCAAACGATTCGGAGATAGGGGTCACCAAGCATCGCTTGCGAACCTCGAACCCTTTCAATTGCCTCCGTCTTCCCGTTTCCAGGGGCTTGCAAGATCTGTTGAATTATGATGGCGATGACGTCGAGTCGGTGTTCTGTTTGAACTTCACAGTAACACGAGACAACTACGGTCAGATGGAGGAGATCGAATTGAAACCGGGAGGCAATTCGATTCCTGTAACGCGGAAGAACAAGTAGGGAACCAGATCATATGTACACGCAGGATGAGCTCGATTCTCCCGCGAGCGTTAACGACTCTCCGATTTCATATTCGCGGTATCTGAACTCCGCGATATTCTTCCCAGGGCTGAATACGTAAAGCTTTACGTCGACTACCTGCTGAACCAGGCCTGCAAGGAGCCATTCCAGCTGTTCAGCGACGGATTCTACCGCGTTCTAAAGTCGGATATTCTCAGTCTCTTCAACGCCAACGAGCTCATGACTCTCGTAGCGGGCAAGGTGAGTCCTACTCAATCCCGGAGGTTCAGCGTCTAATACGATACTTGACGAATTCAAATATGAATGCGAACTAGGCTTTAATGAAATGTAATACCATCCATACCTAGGAGGACTACGACTGGAAAGACTTGGAACTTCATACCGGTTACAAAGATGAATACAATCCAACGCACCCAACGATACGCATGTTCTGGAGAGTCTTCCACCAGCTGACTCAGCAACAGAAGAAACAGTTCCTTCTGTTTCTGACGGGTACAGACCGTATCCCTATCCTTGGCATGGGGGAAATCAAGGTGAGCTTACCGATTTCTCGAGCGCGGTCATGATCGGAATCGTCCGCTCCTCGAGCAGCTCCCATCTGCCATATCTAACCATGCCACTATGCAGATGATTATCATTCCCTATCGAGCATCGACGGTACATTTGCCGGTGGCGCATACGTGCACGAACACCCTAGAACTTCCCAAGTATGCGAACGAAAGAATCCTCAAAGAAAAATTAGTGATTGCCCTAGCGAACAACATCGGATTCGGCATCCGCTAAGCGAAGCAAAAATCATTCGGAGAGAGGTGAATCGGTGCGAGACGAATCAAAGACCGAACTCGAGTCCCAAACCCACAGGGCTCGAGATAGAATTTCGGAACAGAATAAATGCATGTGACGTCGACATTCTCACATCGTACTCATGCCGTGCCCGGGCAAACGATGACGCGTGAGCGTGTCGTCCAAATTTGTTTCCCCTGTCTTGGAGAGGAGCTTCCCTCTCTCGATGCGACGATTGCTCCTCCGTCCGAGATTTCGGAGCCGAGCTCGGGAGCTCGCCTCGGGATATCCCTACAGAGGCGTCCGGAATAGAGTCATCTAATAGATGGAACCGTACCCGTGTGTGAGCATTCGGCCTAGGGCCTAATGGGGATTCATGGGAGAGGACATCGGAGGAAGGGTCCGATTTACAATGCTTTTTTTCCTGTTTTTCAGATGACGATTCAGCCGATGAGGACCGATGAGTCTTACCTCCCGGTAGCTCACACCTGTTACAACTTACTGGATCTCCCAGCGTACAGCACTGCCGAGGTCATGAAAACGCGGCTGGTTCAGGCGATCGAGCACACCCATGGTTTCGGTCTAGTCTGAAGAAACCACCGCGGATAATGAGCAAATCCTCTCCTGAGATGAGAGCTCCTCTACTATTCCTCCAATAATATGCTGTCCGTGGCGGAGGACCACTCGAGCCTTTCTCAAGAAATGTGATATCGTTTCAAAAACACTGATGCAAACTTTCCACCGCTCAAAACCCTCCCATTCATGTGAAGCGATCTTTCAGGGATTTTGAGAAGTTGCCTCGCTGATCTTTTCGAGAAGTTTTGTAAGCGTTTTTGTAAATGTGGTCTTACGGTTGAGTTTCGGGGAAGCAGTTACAGAGATGAATTAATAAACAATTGTTGCTGTTGTTACCGATATTAGTACATGGAGCTTCATTCAAACACTATACAAATATACTTAGTCAGTTCAAGAATTGGATCGGATAGAAAACCCGCAAAAGAGACCCGAGCACATCATCGAGGAGCTTGTCCAAGAGCAGCTTTCTGATGGCTGATTCGAAGCCTGGAATTTCGTTTTGGTAGGAAGTAGGAACAGAGCGACGAAGGTCGTTCATCATCTGTGAGAAACATTCAGGACGACGAAGTCCATCAAAGATGGAATCCACGCGCTCCAGGAGCCGGGAAGCCAATTCCTCAAAGCTGTCTCAGTCGGCGGGGCCGATGCGTGCTTCGAGCGATTATCTCGAGGAGCCTGTCAGGTACGACGCTTCGATGTGGAGGACGCCGGTCTGAGCGAGTCGTCGCCAATCGTGTCGGAGCGAACCCGTCTCATACGCAAGCTCGAGTGAAGGCCACCTGAATGATGCATTCCTCTGGTTGGCGTCCGACGTATATCCTCGTCAGTTGTCGCTGATGATATGCTCGATTTTCAAGCTCTCCGCAATCGGAATCGTTTCACGTCAATCTGAACAGTGAGGCTATCAGGAGAACAGAGGAATACTCACTCCCAGGAGGTCCAGGTCTGGATACTGCCGTCGACGAGCTCCTCACAAGCAGCTCGGAAAGTGCAAAGAAGCCCATCTTCAAGTTTCCGAAACCCCAATCATACCTCGCGACGCTTCTCGTCCTACTCATCCTCTTCGGGCTCATGGTCGTCGTCAAAATGCCAGCCGGCATAGAAGAATCGCAACTGTAAGCTACCGGCTCCCGCGCATTCTGTGAGTTCTGCCGGCCTGTTCTTCTCGATGATCCGCCTTCCAACGATAGTCTTCCCATATAGGGGGGATGCTGTGATATTATCCACCTGGGGCGATGATCATCCGATGGTCGGCGCTTATACATTTAGGTATTCTTCAGAGAAAATGATCTTGGTGAAACTCTTCGAGAGAGTTTATACCGATGTTCGATGGGAAACGACCCATGACGCCGGAATTTTCGAGTGAGTGAACTCGTGGACACATCTCTTTCCCATCGTTTCGGCTACCAGTCGTGGATGATCCCTTAACCGGTCGCTCGTTCATGATGATAAGAAGAATTTACGCAACAGTAAGGCAATACAGGACGCGGCCCATGTCATACCTCAAGGACGTACGCCGGACACCCCTCTGAAATTATACCGCCCGCTTCTACCATCGAAGGAATTGGTTGCTGAAACCAACGCCTCGTTGAGGAAGTTCCCTTTCCGGCAAGACAAGGAGATGATTATTGAATTCAACATAGTCTTTCACGGTGAGATCCGGACTCCCTCAGGTCAATCGAGCCATCTACTGTCTGACCGAGGCTTCCATCGAATTCTCATCGATCCTTCCAGATGTCCTCGTCTGGCTTGGTCTGACAGTCGTTTTGGAAAAGAATGTTTTCGGCGGTCTGAGATCAGCTCTTCTGCTCATACACGGGATGAGAATAAGTTTAGTGTTCAAAACCGACGCTTGCGACAAGGCGACGTTTTGCATGTCTTCGCCCATGGGGGACATCTACGTGAAGCTGGAACGGCTTTCTTGGCATTACGCGGTGGATGAGTGGCAACAAGCCCACTTCGACTCGTGGGGCGAATCATGCTTCGATGGAGCGGTATCTTTTTCTCTCGGAAACAAGACCGTGCCAAAGAGCCCTGATCGCAGGGCGGCTCTGCTCTCTTGCGAACGGAGCCTCATCCCCGTTATTGGGGCTTTTTGGAGCCGATTCGAAGTCATAGCGGAGATTGCCAACGAGATCCACATACAAAGTGAGGCTATTCACCGAGTCATGCCCCTCTGGAATCAAGGCGAAGAAATCGACCCCAAGAGATTCGAGAACGAAGCAGAGAAAGGTCAGAAGAAGAGTTCGATGAGATTCATACCGGATTTCCCGATCCGAGATGGCCATTGCTCCACGCGGATGACACGCCGATTCCCTTCCAGTTTGTAAGACACCTCCTGATGACTTCGAGGATTTCGACTGCGTCGATTTGGCTGTGATCTGGACTGTATACCGAAGAAGTATCCACATCGGTAAACCAGTGAAATTATTCGTGAGTAATATTTCAATGCGATCAATTCGATACGGAGCAGTATCGACAGGGTATGAGGGGCAATATCTACCCCCACTAAGCTTTCCATTAAGTGGTGGCCGGTGGGAAGCGGGTCGATAAGACTGCTGGGAATGTCCGGAAACCTAATTTGCATTCCACTTCCTCAGTTCCCCAAAACATTCGAGCACACCACTCCCATGTGGATGCTCGGCGCGGCCGCGAAAGAAGTGTATCGACTCTCCGGTGAATTTCGTGGAAAGAAACTTTCGAAAGTGACTGATTAGCTAGTAGGAATCTCTTTGATCCGTACTTCATCTGTCGCGTTGAATGAATATGCTGTGGGTTTTGTTAACGAAGCGCTGTCTTTATTTGCAATTCGCAAGGCAGACGAAGCATGGTGAAATCCCTCCCCGATTTTTCCTCTCGGGAATAGACCTCAGTATTTGCGGTGAAACACGGCGCAAGGTCGCTCGATGATTTCGCCGGCACCATGCTCTTCAAACATTCCTCTGTCCCACTGAGAGACTGAGGTATTTGGGGGAGAAAGTGGTGAGAAGATGATGCGCTACGAGCTACGACGCAGTTTCACTCATGGAAGGTAGTTTCATTGCCCCCAAGCCGGGGAGACAGAGCACAAACGAGTATTTGGATAGTGAAAGATAAGGGCTTTTCTCTAATCTGAGCGGATGTATTCCACACGTTCTTTGTCGATCGAGGCAACCGTAATAGGTTTTCCGATCTCGAGATCGGCGTCCCGGCTCGGATCGAACGGTAGAGCGAAAGCGAGTGCCGGTATTTTCGTCAAATCTTCCGGAATGGCATAAACCTTGTTGACAATAGCGGAACTCCCGTAATCTACGAATTTGACAAAAATAGCATTTTCCTCAACTTTCTGGACTTCTGCTCGACATAAGAGATTGCACATTATTGCCAGGACCGCTTGGTTCTTCTTCGGTCGATCTATTGCGCGTCTCTCTTTCGCGACGACAGAGAGCTCCTCTGACAGCACCGAAGCGTATTTGTCTACGGATTGCGAGTTGACGACGTACATTTTTCTATGCGCCGTATCCACGTGCATGATGTAGCACAATCCGGATTGAGTCGTGGGCGGGGCGATTCTTTGATCGAATTCAGATATCTCGGTCAGTTTCCCGTCTTCCGTCATCACGAACAGCGAGGCGCTGTATTTCATTGTACCCAGAGGCTTGTGGAGTTTGCAGAAGATTTCTTCTCCGCAGAGTTCACCGGAATCGATCCGAGATCGGTATGATTCTGGCACTCGAACGAGAATTCCGCCAACAGGCGGTTGGCGCCAAGTCGTCGGTGCCACCCCGAGTAGTTCCTCAACTTTGGGAACTGCTCTGGTCACGGCCTCGTCTATCAGGGTGACTAGTAGAGGTTTCTCTGGGCCTCCGACTTCCTTCACCTGCGCTCTTTTCCATTGCCAGTCGTCCCAGACGAGCAGATATGACCTCTTCTCGAGACTTTGCAGAACTTCGGTCTCCGGATCCTTCTCGAAATTTCTAAGGAACTTGAGCTCACGCTCGACAGCTCTATCTTGAAGCGCCAAGCTCGACCCCCGCCAACCGAGGATATTGACAATGAAGAACTTGTTTAGCTGTGGCAAGTCCTCCGATGGCTTCGGGCGCGCTCCTAGTCTCACTGTGATGTCGAATTTGCCATCGAAGAGAACCACGTTTTCCTTTTCCCAGACAGCGTGGAAAACTTTGTCGACAAGTACTTCCTTCGCCTCGCCTGACAAGGTGGCGATGCTCAATCGCCCGCATCTCACATTGTCCTCCTCGTAACTTGTCTTCCCTTCCGAGCTGGCAGGCGAGCAATCGCTGCAGCATGAAGTACTCTTTCCTTGACGGAGTCGCTCGAGTTCTCGGAGCATAAGTTGACCGAACGGCAGGATTTCCTCCACTAGAACCCGGGACTCCGATGTGGCTCGTTCCAGATCCACTCCTCGACGCGAGGAGCGTATCCATGGTACACGCGCATATGTCTTTCTCAAGTGCGGACGGAATTGTTCGTCCGATCGCATCGGTCGCTGAGTCACCCTGGAAACGAAAAACGAGCCGTCAGCGATATCGACGAGAGAGAGAGAGAGAGCTCATCCAGACTTCCGGATAGACTGAGTGACGAGAGGGAAGTAGTCGTGAAAGTCGCGATTTTCGCTCCTGCGACTTAAGACCCCAAGCCCAAAAGGGAATCGGTCAAAAGATTCGGGAAACCATCGGAACAGAGGAGCCCGGAGCCTTTTACGAATGAATGTACTGCATGAGCATATGAGATTATCCTACCTCCTAATCCGCGGCATCGTGCAGCCTCCAACTCCAACTGATGTATTACGTGAATGAACTGCGGAACAGCGAGTCTTGTGAGCGACAGTGATGCGTGGAACTTCGAGCTATGCAGCGAACTGGCTCGACGGCGCTGGCCGTTGGAATCGCGACTTCTTCTCCAGAGGCGCAGGCTACGACGTGAAAGTTGCCCGCGAAACTCGATTTCCAAACTCGCGACGAGAAAGAAGGTTCGGCATTTGATATCGAACTCCGACGGAATGGCTTTCTCGAATGTCCATGATGCCGTGATTGCGGTCATCATCCCTGTGGTGTCTTCATGGATCGAGTCCGCGTGATCCGCTTATCGCGAATCACGGGTCGTTTTTTCTGCGCGTCCTAGGTCTTGAGTCTTGAGCACTGCTTCCGCTTCGTGCGATATTTCAGACAACGCATGTAATGCGCTCGACTCGCGAAGAGGGTCCGCTCGAACTGTCCGTTTATTCTGTCCTTCCGCTTTCGAAACAGGCCGCTCATCTATTTTTCAGGGGAGTAGGTGAAGCTTGACTTGACGCCTAACGAATGGATCGATGGGAATCGAGCGGAAACTTTGTGTTTGATTGTGGGGGATATCTGCCGAACGGACTTTTCGCGTCGGATGGGTGGAAACCAAATGGACTCTCCAAGGACGCGGTCGAGAAGCTAATGATTTCCCACTGTTCTGAGGAATCAAATCGGGAATTAGGCTTTCATTCGAGGATTTGAATCAGACCGAAACCTTGAGGATCCGAACGGTGAAGTCGGAGAATCAATTCTCGGGGCCATCGAGCTCGCCCATTCAGCATTGGTTCCGAGAGGGGAGAAGAAAAACATTCCTTTCCCACAAGTCGTCCCCGAACTGTCTCTGCATGGGTCTCTTCAGGCTGAATCGGAGGTTTCTTGTTGTGGCACGAAAGCTCGGCCCGATCTAGGGGTGGGCAGCTTTATCGAAAAACTCCCCTGCCCCAAATATGAGCCTCATTGAGATGTCCCGTTACGAGGTTTCTTTGGACCCGTTCAGAAGCGGATAACATGAGGCGTCTGGATGTCTCGCCAGCTCAGATCCAGGGGTCAGTCATGGACTGCTGAGGCATGGCGAAGTTATCTTCTTCCGTGGGGGTCCACTCACAATGATGATAGACACGGCTCATTGAAAACTACACGACTCTCTAAAAGCCCTTCTCACCGATTCGGAAAGACAGCGCAGCGATGGGAATAGTTATCGCGTTTCCAACAAGCCGTACGATTCGAACCGTCCCGACGCGTTGGCGAATCCGTCCAGGTCGCCGCATTCCGTGATGCCATATCTGATGGGTGATTGGGGCTCAATCGATTCTCGCCGCATTTTATTCTCCTTCATAAGATTCACACATGCATCGTGGTTGCGGGGAGGTCAGGTTCGAAGTTCTTGTAAGGAATGCAATGTGAAACTTTTCTGAGCGATACCTTGGCACCGTAAGTAAAATAATGTCATCAACTTCCGACGCTCGAATTTTTCATCCCGCCTCGAGCTCCTCAGGTCATCTATGTATGAAAGCCTCGCTCAATACGGGAATGAGCAAGTATCGACGCAGTCACCCCGGCGCACAGTGTGGCCGAACCCTATTTTAGGCGGCAGAAATTATTTCAGTGAGTTTTTTAGATTATTCTCGTGGTACGAACTCGTATCAGTCATCGAAGGAAATATCTGGCTCTCAGGCTTCTCACGAATAACCACGTGAGCTTTCTATCTGCTCGCGACTGAGGGTAGAACATGGCTCCCATACCTCGTGCTCGGGGAGCACGCCGTGTCGCATCGAGACGGGAGATTCTCCTTCAATCTCTCCGTTCAATGGAGCTCTATTGAACCTTTCTTCATCGTCCTGCTTCGAAACGGGTTAGAGAAGAGCCCGAATCAATCGCGTCTGGCCTCGAGTCTTCTGAGTCTGCATCGGAGTACTCACAGTCCGAATGCTGCTCTGATTCTTCCGGGTGACATCGAATATCGCGAGAACTTCCACTCAACAACAAGTCGGCAACTTCCTGGTCTACGGAGCTCCCTTTTGTTTTCACAGCGTCACGAGACGAATTCACGAGTGAATCAGACGATATCATCAACATCGAGTAGAGATCGAAGATGTTTTATCTTCTCGGGGAGCCGCGTACAATAACTTCGCAGGTCCGGCAGGCAGAAGATCCTTGACTTAGTCCTCTCCGCCAAGTCCAAATTTTTTTTCCTGGGCGTCCTGCTCGAGGTGTCCCTTGAGACGCTCTTGATGGTCCGGGCTACTCGGGCACGTCTTCTTGTGCGGGTAGCTCAGTGTGGTGCACGATGAAATCGAAGTTTCTGACTTCGAGCCATTCAGCTTCTTTTCCGAAGAACCGTTCCGCTTTCGAGTTATGTCTCCCGACTTTTTCCCTCACTCGGGACACATGCCTGCTGATCTGATTTCTGATCTGAGATCGGTTGCTTAGCTGCTCAATTTCAACATGAGCATGACTCAAAATGAGTCTCTCCAACCCATCAATGCACTCGTTCTTCCGGGAGTTGAAAATTGTCTCCGCAAATGTCCTCCGAGGCACCCAAATTCGAATATCTGAAAACAGCACGCATTCACGTTCGCCAAAACTTGCTTGGTTTTTTTTTCGGAAATTGGAAGGAGGGAGGGTGGAAGAGGATTTTCCACCCCATGAGCCGCCCGGGTCCGCCCTGGACCGTGTACTTTTCTGGCGGTGAAATTTCATGAAAATCAGTTTTTTTTCGCAAAAAAAGATGCACTCAGAAAAACTTCTAATTTGCATATTCTCGTCGAATGAACCGCTAAACTTGGAGTTTCAGACTCAATCTTACTCACGATTCGGTGTTTGCTCCATCCTGAATCGATTCCACGGAAACTCGAGCGTCGACACGAATCGGAAGGAAAAAGTGACAGTCCGGAGCAAAAAAAACTTCCTCCTTGCAGAGTTTCTCCACAGAGATACAAGTGCTTGGTTTCTGATTGGTGTGTGTTTCCGAGGTCCCCATACTTCCTCCAAGACGCCACGACAAAAAATTTCAAAATTTTCCTTTTTTAATTTCTGCCGCCTAAAATCGGGTTTGGCCACACTGTGCGGCGATATGAAGAAGGATCGGATTCCCTTCTAGTCAACTGGCTTTACTCTTCCAGATCAATTTATATGATGCAGGCGCTCATTATTCCTGCGTCTGCTCTCACGTCTAATGGCCCGGGGTATGAGTTCAAAAGCGATGCGAATGGCTCTCAGCAGAATAATCAGACCCGGCTAATACGGCATTAATACTTGAACGTACACGGAATATCCACGTACACGGAAACTTGCGCATTGGTTTCTAGTCAGCATCTTCGCCCCGTTCCAAGGCCAAGATATTGTCAGAGAACATCGATTAGGCAGGAGCAATGTCACAATCAGCCAGACTGAGCGCGGGGAAGCAGCGGGAAGCTGAAGTCCCCGAGGAGACAGAGAGGATGGGGACAGCATGCGCGAGTTCCCAGCCCGTGTCGAGGGCGCGGAGGAAAAAGTAAGGTAGAAGACCAGAGTAGCGATCGAAGATTTCGCCAGGACTGACAGAAGTGCCGTATCGGCGAGCGGGCTTGTGGCGCTCAAATGCTTCCGGATCCCACGGGACCGGTCTAAGTAAGAACCGTCAGACAAATGCCCTCTGAGTTCACCCGTCGATCGCGAATGAACTATGCGTGACCGATGCTCGACTTCCAATGAACAGGGAAGCAACACTGCCACGATTCGCTTGAGGACGAACGACTGGGTAGAATCCCAGCGTTGCGGGCAAAGGCGATTCCCTATAGCTACAGCCAGCAGAAGTCGCGGGCTTAAATGAGCTTCCATAGGTGTTGAGTAAAATACATGTCCAATATGCCCCTAATATCAGAGAAGAGATTCGGAAGAGATAACTCTCGACTCCCTGTCGGAATCGGTAAATAGCCCGGACATCCGACGGGGATCCCGCGGGAAGACGTTTTTCCCGATCGGAGCTCGCGCGACCCTCCCCCCGCAAAGTTACGACCCCATCCAGTGATGCACAGAGAGTCAAGAAATCAAGAACAGACTTTTATTGTCCTCGTCTTCTGAATGTTCATAACGTGCTTCATCAACAACGCTGTGTCTCTTAAGTATCCACGATTCGAAACTATCGAACCAAGCTCTCACGCTTTTCAACATCGCAGAGCTCAGCCCTGTCGGATCGAGTTTTCGACAAACAAATTTGCCAGAAATAATTTAAGCACCATGGGGAAAATCCCTTGCTAACGCTGTCGGGCGCTGGCTCCGAAGCCTCACATTCTATCTTGGAATTCGGCAGCCTGCCCCCCGCCCATCTCCCCCGGGCGAGCGTCGCATCCTCGTCTGCTACACGGATTTGGCACAAAATTCTGCAATCTGAAGACTCCTACATTGAGAAATCCGTCAGACTCTCGGTAGATGATGCTTCTCGAAGTTCTCGCAGTGAATGCACAGCTCGACACTGCCCAACAAGTCTACGAATTTCGAAGCCGTCTCATCTGTAGTGTCAAATTCGAAAATGAGAAACTATAGTCACATGGATTACTTCCCACCATATCATGAAAAACGCTCCTTCTAATCTGTGTACATAATTTGTGCAAAGTTGTCCGACCTCCGTAGTCTCAAGGCTGCGAGCGTCTTGCGACGGTCACGGTCAGCTCGTCACCGATTCTTAACGTGCCCTCGGGCCAATCGATTCTAAGTTTTCGGGCACTGTCGGCGACACACTCCGCCTGGAGTGTTCCCGATTTAATGGACGCGACTCGGAATGTGAGACTGGACGTCCCTTGACTGTCAATCTTGAGCTCATTCTGCTCGGGTTCCCAGATATTCCTCGGCCAACAAGTGCTTTCGGTGTGCGTGGGAATGCTCAATCCCCAGAGGGCATAATTCGTGGGTATACTGGACAGGCGTCTATGCTGTTCTTCCAGAGTCTTTTCTTCGAGTACGAGGTTCAACGGCGAGGCTTCCGAATCGGACCACTGAGACAGACCTGCAACGAGAGGTAGCTCATCAGAGCCGGGAATCATCGCCTCCAGTTATATTGAGCCGGGAAACTTGCGAGCGCGCTGAAAGGCTCGCATTGGATACTTACGGTCGAGAATTTCGGGTGTACTCGAGCTCGATCCGGACGATGACGGAGTCAAGACTCCCGGGAACGGGCCTTGTTTCAGGTGGAAGCGAATCGACGAGCAGAATTCTACGAAGTCTTCGAAGCGGTGAAATTTTTGAGATTTCTTACAGCCGCATGCGGTCGAGGAGCATGTTCTGTCCTTGACTACGAAGGATGCAACGTTTCTCACGGTGATCAGAAGCTCGCAGAAGAAAACCGTGTTCTTTTCCCAGTACAAGCCCATCATCTGCAGAACGGATTCCGTGGCGTTGACCTTCATTAACCTCTCGATCTCTCTGAGAACGCTGTTCAGCCCGTCGCTGAGGCCGTGAACTGCCGAAAATCGCGTAATAGTTGTCAGGTCCATCTGTCGCACGAAGCTGTCCACGAGAGGTGCAAGCGTGGACCACGTTTTCATGACTCTTTTCCTTTGATCGATCCATGATTGGATTCGATTGAGGTCAGAGATCGAACTTTGCGGACACGCAGAGACGCCTGCAGCGGACACTTGAGCGAGGGTAGCTGCTGGACCTTCGTTGAGAACTGTCTGAGAAACTTCTGGCGCGTATCTGACTTCCACGCTGTAGTCCTTGACGATTATCGTGTTCGTGCTCCCATCGACGGCGAAAATGGTTTTGAATTTATCCAGGAACTCCAGGAAATCTGTGAGTGTCGATACGAAAAGGCTGAACGAGTTATCTAACGATGATTGTAAGTGATCGAAAACCTTGCTGATGGCAGGGAAGAAACCCGATTCGCTCGCCAAATGGATCACGGCATTCTTGATGATTTTACACAGGGTTTCTTCAAGACAATGTTGCAGTTCTGAGTGAAACTGATGAGGCCATCTCAAGGATATGATATCACCGTTCCGGTCCAGAGATAAAATCGAGGGATGATTCTTCAGGAATGAACAGAGTTTTGTTCGATCGTCCTGCACTCCCCCCTTGCCGATAACTGACTGGAGTTCCGGTAAAATCATGTGTTTGTCAGCCATCTGGAGTAGAAAGGACGCGGAGATCGGGCCGCAGCTGGCGAAGCACAGTCCCGCGACGAGGCCAAACACCAGTCGATCGTCCTTGAAGCTCATTTCTTCGGCCGCGCTAGCAACTGGAATGTCGTGACCAGTGGTCAATGGTCCCACTCGAAGATAGATGGCCGCAGTCTCCGGTTCACAACAAAAAACAGCCGGAAACCTCTGGAAGAGCTTGACGAGATTCCTGTCCGGATAAGTTTCTTCCACGAAAGTGATTACGTGTTTAGGTGCGTCTCGTAACTTGGCGCTGCACCACCACATGGGAACAGGGTAACACAGCTTGCTCATTTCGATGATTGAGTGCAGGTAAAATTCCAGAGCGGAGGCTTCGTTGGGATAAGTACAGATGGCCTTGGTGTTCGTGAGGATTTCGTTCGACTGCTCGAAATGATGAGCCCCAATCTCCGGGCTCCGTAGGGATATATTACCGGCTCTGGACTCCGAGAAAATTTCCGGGAACCGCATGAGCAGTTGTCTGATAGGAAACTTGCTCGAAGCGAAATTCGAGTCTATGTACATTCGGACGGTAGTGGTCGTGAGGCATGTGAGCAGATCCAATTGAGTGCGGGGTATGAACTTGACGTCGTTATTGTGGAGCACCATGAAGGCTTGGACGAAAAAATTCATCGTGTTCGTCGCGATGGCGTCTCTATTGATGCGTTCGCCTTCGGCGCGATCCACTCTCTCCTTCAAGCCGATGTGCTTTCGATTTTTCTTGAAACGGAAGGTTTCTTCATTATCCTTGAAAAATATAGTCGGAGAGCTGTACGTTTGGGAGAAATAGCTCACGACGCATTTTGGCAGGAATTGGGCGCATTTGCTTAACTGCAGCGCATCAACGTAGTGCACGTCGAGTTCACTCGCCGCAACGGCGAGAAGATCACGAAAGAGGGACTGTAACTGCTCGTCGTACTTGGCGACTCTTTCCATTCCATGGAAGCCGAGATCTGGAGGCGGGTCGGGCTCCTGCGTTCCATCTCTCAAGGAAACCAATTTCCGATCACTCGATAGCACGAAGGCACTTTCGTAGTCCGAGAGAAAATCAACGAATGCTCTGTTCGCGAAGTATTTCTGCCAACAATCGAGGATTGCTTTCGATGACTTCGTTTTGAACAGCACTTGCAACTCCAAGACCGAGATCGACGCTCCCCCTGCGAGCAATTCCTTGCAAAATTCGACGCAGAGCATGCCCGAGTGATTCTCATTAGATGCGGAATTCGAGAGGATCAGCGATGGGGGAGCGATTTCTTGACCCGAATTCGCCGGATCCGACGATCGGCACAGCTGTCCATCTTGAACTTCTAGGCCGAACTGGACCGCGTTCGAACTGAAGAAGTTCTCGAATGTCGTCTCATCGTACATGGACGTAATGAGGGACATCACCACGGGGTTCTCGGCCACGAAGACATAATTGTACAGACAGGCCCAGTCAACAGACAGGGTTTCACAACCTTGCTCGTCGAGAATTTTAACGAAGAAATCGATACAGCTCCAGAGTCCTTCCTCCCGTGAGGAAACAATTTGGCTATCCGAGAGGGTGACATTCCCCGCTGGAGTTTCTTTGAAGATTTGAGTTCTCTGCAGAAACCACTCCTGCAGCCTATCGACGGTCGGACATGTCAGAGCGTAGAAGGTCTTGATTCCGGGGGGACCATTTTTGATGATCTTCTGGAGAGCGCGAACGCTGAAAATCTTTCTGGGAGAAGTTTTCAGACGTCCTCGGAGCCAGTTGATGACCTCGCTTTCTTTCGCCGGTTTCCTCTTCTCGTTACAGCTCACAATCGTCAGATCAGTGGTGAATGTTTCGCCCTGACTCTCGAGGAAAGTACGTAGTCCCCCGGTGCAGCGGACTATGGCCTTGATGTCTTCTGAAGCATCTGTAGTAGTTAAGAGGATGCAATCAATTCTTACTGTCTAGCGCAATCGCAATCCACAGACGCCTCATCGATAGCCTCACTCACGTTTACTCATATATGACTCCAGCCGATCGATCTCAGTCTTGCCGTTGAACTTTTCCAAGAGGAGCATCATCATGTAGTCGACGGCGCAGAGTCCTTCTCCCGACATGATCACCGATATATATAACTCCGTTTCACGGATCGGATCTGAAATTCGGTTCCCATTCGGTTGACATCATGGGTATCATGAGACAATTTGTGAGAGGGGAGACTCCCATCGACTCTGATCCTCGTGAGTCGACGAGCCTTCAGTTCGCGTCATGAATCTAATTGATCCCGTGATGAAACTTAATGCGATGAGAAATGGGAGAGCGGACATCCCTGACCAAGATAGCATCTCTCCAAGAATTTTTCGAATTCAGCTAACCTGAGGGTTTTTATGGCTCTGCTCCAGGATTTTATGGCCGATACGATGATCGGACGAAGGCGGAGAGAATCATGTAGGTTCGGAGGGTCGATTCGGGCTCTGCACAAGGCGACATTGTATTTCTCTGGAATCGACATCATTATATTCAGAGACAAGGTCTTCGCCCGGGACAAAGATCACATATGGTTGAGAATCGCTGTCATGTTCGATTTCACGAGTGGGAGGGCAGGGCTCTCGGAGCAGCAGTGATCGAATGAGCAGCATTCTTCATACTGACCTGAGTAATCGCTGAAGTCTTTTTCGAACATTCGAACACCACAAATTGATCCTCTCCTCGTTTCGTTGCTGCCGCCGTCTTCCTTGCTGGCGGAGATGATGTCGATGATCAACAACACAACCACTCCAGGAACCAGGAACCACACCGGGTAATACTCGTTATGGTATGGGGGGATGCTATACTTCAGACATAGCTTCCTGGAGAACGGCAATGAGCTCGGGTTGGATGACACGATAAAATAACACGAAGTGAAATTCCTTCATCAGCGTTTGCTATCGAATGTTTATGATTGACTGATGATCATGATCTATGCTCAGTGCCGACGAGGAGCTTCCAGAAAACGAGACAACTACTCGATTTTTTTCTCACTCATATTACAGCGTAAGGGGCGGGAAGTTTCCTTCGGACGATCTTTCTCGTCTCGGACGAGCCTCTTTGTAGTCAGCACCGGCATCCTGCCGGAGCCCTCGGATTCCAAGGATGACCCATGACCCATGACCCACTCTCTACTCGAGTAGGAATAGGAATCCATCCAGTTTTCGGGACCGGATCCTTAGATCTAATTAGACAACATACAATTAGTATTCTATTGCGACGAATGGGCTGTGGGCAGCTTCGAGTAGACGGCATGGCGTCTCTTTAAGGATCGAATTAATATGCCGGAAGTCTCGAGAAGAAGGGCGACGATTGATTGCATGGATGGGCACCCTCTCGGACCGGGATTCCGGTACCCAAGTCGCGTAATACCGTAAATCTCTTCGGACACTCCGGAGGCACTCCCCAGATTTACTCAGGAGTCCAAGAGCACACACTAGTTTCAGATCTTCTTGTGCTGACTATGAGTGAGATCCGTATTCGTCGATGATCGAGCATCTTACTGAGTGAAAGAGAGAGCTGATTGAGAACAACGACGCTAATGCTAGACAATGCGCGGATGCCAGGGTCCGCCGAGAGATCTCGGAACAGCCAGCGGCTCATCGGATCGGAACGCGGGAATCCCGAAGCGCTCCTCATGGGGAGGGCAGAGCCTCTCGCAGTAGATATGCCACGGGAGTTCGTGGGGAATGAACCCGTGGCCGAGATTTCGATCACGAAGCGTTCCGAAGATGTGGATCGCAGATCTCTGAGGGAAAGAAAATTGATTCGCGGGGCGCCTCATGGGCTGATGTTGATCCTGGTTTCCTGTCTCGTTCTGAGCCTCCATTTCAGGTCGAGCTCGGGGGATGGGACGTAAGTTGAGCTAGGAGCGCACCCGACATCAATATTTTCCGCCCGCCTGGAATATTCCCCTTGGTCTGCCTTGGTCTGTCCTCTCCTGAACAGTTATCACGCCGTGATTATCGAGTTATCCGGATTCACGGCGGATGTGTCCGTCTTCACGTTCACGAACGTATCATATGAAATCCGCTTGAGCGCTGTTTCCCGAATCAGTGTCGAATATAATTGGTTCCCTCTCGACACTCCCGAAGTTCTCGGGTGAGATTCTTTGCGTGAGAATGACAGGATTCTTGCCGGCTATGCTCCTCGTCTGATAAGAGTATGCTCCACCTTCCGCGAATGACTCGAAAAAGGCCCTTCGACAGTGATGCCATGAATTACGTCGGAACAGTCGTAGCTGAGTACAAAAGGAATTCGACACCACTGACGATTTACATGCGACAAGAGCCTCCCGCGTCTTCGACTCGCAAAGCCGAGGAGTTCTTCGCTCGTTACGGGTATGCTTTCGGATCCTACGCCCACCTGGTCGAAGTTCATGAAAAGACCGACGGTGAGTCCGAGAGAGACAGACTGGGTCGGTGAAGCTCAGAGCATCTCATGGCTTCAATGTTGACGGGAAATATCATGAGGGCTCCCCACAGGACTTCATGGCTTTCGCTTCATGGCTTGAATTTCAGCTCCCCTTATCTCTCCCCTCATCTCGCAGTTACGTTGCTCTGGTTGAGCCTCATGGAGCTTCTACTGAGGAACGGTTTCAACACTTCCTCAGTGGCAGTGCTGTTCCGTGACGACGAGGATGCAGATTTCATTCAATTGGCGTATGTTGAGGAAGGCTGCGACTCACCCCTAACCACGTCATGGTCTCGATTCGGAAATTTTTGTCTCAGCTCGAAAGCGGAGTACAGCGATTGGAGATCCAAGCGAGAGGATTTGCAAACAGCGTGGATAGATGCATGTGTACACAGAAGTGCTCGCTCTTCAGCTCTTGATTTGAATATAGAACCTGACGAGGATCGCCGACCAGATATCAATAGCTGTGAGGCGACGCTCCTGAACTCATCGAGACGAATTTGCGGAGCTTGGGGTCGAATCCCCCCCCATATCGACGATCTATACGTCATGGATAGTGTATTCCAAGCAGCGATGCCTCTTGATAACATCGAGAGAGCGGTGAAAATCTCCCTCGCGTCGTTTCGTTATCATGTCAAAGATGGCAAGTTCTTGTTTGATGTACTGGAGAACTTTCAACGGCCTTACATGCATATCTCACGACGCGATTCCGGGATTTGTTTCGAATTTCAGTTTGTCGAAACAAACCTCGCCCGAATGGCATTCTTGATTGTGCCAACTTGGCGTTCATGAGCGATCTGATTGAGTGCCTATGCATCGACGGAAGGTTCAAGTTTTACGTGAGTCTGTTCCCCCGCTTATGCCCGACGCTAGTCGCATCTTCATTCGTTCATCTATCTACCCATCCGATCGATGCACCCCCATTAAGGTGACCAGAAACATTGGAGGGAATGAGATCGACAGCATTCACGGCTTAGCAGTCAGAGCAGTTCTCGAACTGAGGCGATCCGCAACATAGAAGCGGAGGAAGCAGTACTGAAACTCGACTCCAGATCACGCATCAATCGACGCCCCTCCGAACGAAGCCTCCGATTGAGCTCTATTGAAGGTGCCCGATTCCAACTCCAAGACGCTCAATGTCGAATGAATTCCGACTAGAAGAAAAGCTCCTTGGGTAATCCCCCTCCCCCATCGCGAGAACTGCGTCCGAACGATCGTTATCCTCATCTAAGAACCCTTTGTGCTTCTCGGCCCGGTCTATCATAGATGATGCGCTTCTCAGAAGCCCCCTGCGCTCGACGAAAAGAGCGCTCCGAGAATCCCGGGGTCGTTTCGAGAATTATTGAGTCCCTCTGATTGAATGAAAAAATCAGGAGATTCGTTTGACGAATTAAAATATCACATTTATTTCCCAGAAGACATCACCGCCCGTCCTTTGATCGCGTCGCCTAGTGTTCTGTCTGAATCCCGTTCGAGATTCGTGCCTTTGTGTGCGTTCCGTCGGCGTGTGTATACCTTTTGTCAGAGTCTGTTACCTTAGCTAAACCTCCTCTTCTTAGTAGACTGTTGATATCTTCTTGGTTCTTCTTTCTTAGTTGACGCTTTTCAGAAGGGTTAGAAAAATATCTTCGAACCAAGGAGGAGAAAAATGAAAAACAAAAATCTGACCAGCTCCCCGAGGGGAGCCGGTGGATTTTCGCCCGTACGTACATGGTAGAATTCGGTGCTTGGAGATGACTAGAGTTGATTACAGCTGATTAAAGATGATCCGAGCGTCGTTGCCGAAGAGTCGCCGCGCATCACCATCGTCGAATGAATTCGCACCGAAGTGCAGAAGGAAAGTACAACATGCACAAGGACAGAGAGAGAGATTGCAGTCTCTCTGCGTCAGAATCCGGAACGCACGTGCAACCGTTCCGAACCGTCAGCTGAGAGTTTCAACGTACCATGAGTCGGCTGGGAGGGCCCGGCCACAGAGTCACCGGGCGTAGCAGAAGCTGCGGCCCCGGCGACCTGTGCGGCTTGTGCTGCGGCCGCGAACGCGAGCACGTGGCTCGGATCGCCCGGGTTGATCGTCAGCGGGTTGCCGCCGGTGGCTGTGTCGAAGTTGAGGACAGGCTTCATTTCGGCCTGATTTGAGTCCTTCGTGTGGTTGTCGGATGAGGACGAGTTGTTGTCCTGGTGTCCCGGCCTGACCTCAGTCATGCTCTGTTCGAGGAGTTTCGATGGTTCGAACTCGGCTTCTTCTCCACCTGATTCGTCATCTGAGCCGCGGGTTTCTTCTAGATTATCTTCGACGCCGCTTTCCGGCCCGGAGTTCTCATCGCCCGAGCCCTTGTCGGAGCCGGCAGATTTTCTGCGGCGCTTCCTGTTCTGTTGCGACATGGGCGAGTCGGTTTGCCGTAGAGGCGTCGACGCATTGCTGTTGCTTTCGTGGCTGGCCGCCGAAACGACGCTCTGACGGCTTTCGTTTTGGACCGCCGCCGCTGCCGCGGCAGCCTGAGCCACCTGGGCAGCTGCAGCCAATTGCGCTTTTAGTGCAGTTTGTTGCATCGCCGCCACGAGAGCACCATGCGTTGCGTTGGACGCGATTGCCGCCGGGGTCGACGACAAGGGTGACGGAGCAGCCTGTACAGAGGGCTGTTCGGTCTTGGTAACGCCGCCCGACGACGAATGGTGTCCATTATGACTCACGCCCAGAGAACCTCCGACCGTCGATTTCTGGCCTGATTCGTTTGTAACTTCTGCGAGACCTGCAGAGAATGGGGATTCGTTACTTATACGTTTCCAGCTCCGGAGTCGGGATATCCCGCGAGAGTCGCGTGTTCGAGAAACTCAGAGCGAAAACTCACCTTTGATCTTTAGGGTTTCTGCAGCTTTCAACAGTGTCGGTAGTTGGTCTTGGCTGACGTTGACTTCGCCTCGATACATAAACTGTACGAGTGCTTTGAGGTCGACAAAGCGGATGTCCTTTAGTATCACAATTGGGTGCTCACACGGATTCTGAATGAACAGCGATTGGAAAAACGGACTGCACGCAGACAGTACCATTTTGTGCGCTCGCACCGAAAGTCCATCGCATGCCAACGTCACGTCGACAAAGTGTTCTGATGTCAACAGCTGGTCGAAAATCGACAGCATATTCGACTGGTGGTTGTTCCATTTAAGACAGAACTGTTGCGTACTACCCATCTTTGGTCTGCGAAAGAGAAGAAAAAACAAATTAAGTTTAGGGATACAATGAAGCTTTCTCCCCGTTGTGAAAGCGGGGCTCAGCCCTAGAGCGATAGGTCTAGTGTTCCCGAACGAAAACGACCGAAAATACGTTGATCGCGGATACGTCTCCAAGCAGATCATCGACGTTGAAAGAGTTTCATCGGGAGAGTCGGCTCAGCTAGCAATATTCACGAGGAATTCCTCCGTGTTGCTGAGCCCCATATGCTTCCTAGTCATTCCAAGCGAGCAAGCTCAATCTAGGACGGCGATGGCATCACGCATGCGCAACCAAGCGGCCGTGATGGCCTCCTTATTTGGGAACGGGCGGTAACGGCAGCAGCCACCACCACAGCATCTGCGCTGACGCCGACGACCGACCGACCGACAGACCGAGACATAGAACGAATGAGCAGTCGAAAGAGGGAGAAGGCTGGCAGCGGTGAATGGAAGACCTCGAACCATAAGAGCCGTCGGTCGGCCGAATCAGGAAATCCGTTGCGAAACAGCGTTACCAGAACCGAACGACTGCTTCGATCGATTCGGCGATTTCTTCCCAGCAGTTGCAGGAAATGCTTCGATCTACGTCACACGACGCAGCATCGGATTGCTTGCGTCTTCAAGGAAATTTAGCAGAGATACGAAATTTCGGGGAAAACATTGGGCGAAGCGATGGCCGAGCGAATGGAATCTGGGGAAGCGACGCTTCTCAAGCGACAGAAAGCTCTGATCAGCTGAAGGTCCAAAGCTTCGCAAATGATGGTCCCGGATGAGCAGCGAGGCAACTGTACCGCGAGACAGCATGAGAGCTTGACAGACGCGGATCTGGAGGGAACTTGTCCCAAGTAGCTTGGGGACGCCTTAGGCCTAGCTCGGGTCTAGGCCTAAAGGGCGTTCCAGACGTTTTCCGGCTCTCGGAACAAGGGGGATTCTCGGGAATTTTATGCGGAAACTATTTCTAGGTCGATAAGTATGAGGATCATGAACAAACTCACCTCTGTTGGGTATCAACTGAGAAGAACCGAGGGTAACGCCACGCTGTGGCGTCGCTACTACGTCTCGCGATGGTCTTAACCCCCGTCGGGCTCGAGCGTATCTGTGCCGATGCTGGTGAACAGCTCGTCAGCTCACAACCAGCAGCTGAGCAGCGGGGAGCGAGGGAGCCGTCCAATCACGAACGAGCTTCTCCGAAACTCAGCCAATCGCTGTTCTGGAATTGAGCGCAAAGCTTTGGTTCGGAACCGCCAGATGGCACTTCTTCACTCACTTACTTCTCCGAACGAAACCCACAGCAGCAGCAGTCAAATGATGACGCCGCCGATGTTGATGATGATGACGAAGAAGTAGCAGCTAAACGACGTGAAAGCAGATCGAAAACTCACGGTCGTGGAAAATCCTTAGGCGAAGAATAGAATAGAGTCCAAGTATGCACCGTGAGAGCACAGACGAAGGTACTGAAGATAGTCTGGGCGCCCTCCTAGGATCTTTACGAGACGAGTGATCGGCTCGAAGTGAGTCCGCTGGATGCCCTCGACTCTTTTTGAGAGATTTCGGAAGCTGCAAAGGCGAGGGCATCTGATATCACAGTCCAGAACCCCTATCGGGGTATAACCCGCGAGTTCGCGAGAAAATGAGCTCTGTTGAGAGGCAGTCGATGAATCACTCCCAAAGTTCGAGGCCTTTCGAATTTCTTGCGGAGTACTCGAAATCAATTATGGCGATACGCGACTAATTCACCCGGGCACTCCGCGGGCCATATCGCCCTGCGATGCTGGAGCTCGACTCCCGGATTATGGATCAAAGAGTCTCTCATCTGACCAATCATAATTTCTTTCATCGAATAAGCGGGAGGTGTTCTCCGTGCTCCATAGAGTAGAATTTCTCGGTCTCCATGAGCAGCTTGAGCGACGAAGTCCGATATCTCGTGGCTCGTACGTGAGCTCCTGCTGGAACCCCCAGGATGAAAAGATAACTATTCCGAGTCGTCCAGACACGAGCCTCTCCGAGGAGTTTTCACGATCTTGCATCTCTGAGCCTCAATCCGGGTCGGAGTAATTTTGATCCATGAACATCATCGGAACTCGGAACGGCCCGCTCTATCAGGACTCCTGTAAGTGGACACTGCTCGAAGGAGGCACGCCGGTCTGATGCGATAAGGTCAAGATAGGTATCTCGAACCGGTAAAATTCGTGATGCTCGTCCATTCGGAACGATAGCGGTAATCTCCGCGAGCGACTTCCCCGGACCGCTTTCCACGTCACCGGACTATTGTGCTCACATTTCGGAAAAATACGAGCGAGACGGGTCTCCGTTTATAAGAGGATCTGGTCGGGCTCACCAATTGCTCGAGAGATGGGCCTATCCGGCGGAGTTTCATAAGGGTAACTATCCCGATACCGCGATCGTGCTCAATCTCAACTTTCCAGCGACAAGCGACGCCGACCATCTTCTCGAATCGATTCGGTCCATCGAGAACATATCTCCACTAGCTTTGCTCAGTCTTCCTAGTACGCATATTTTCCTCGAATGAAACTCCCTAACGATATATTCGCGAATAAGTTCTCTGTCCATGAAGATTTCTGCAAATCATGACAAAACTCGTCTCGGTGCTACGATCACGAATGAGGCCATTTTGTATTAAGAGTTGTTTCGCCGTTGCAGATGCGTGGCATTCTTCTCGAGCGGCTGTGTGAGCGGGTGAGGTGCTCTGATGCCACCGCCGCTGCGGATTGCGACGTTCTACTCGATCACGCATTTTGCGGGCACAAAAAACTCCGATATCCCAGAGCATAAAAGCGAGTATCTACTCGATGAGCTTCGACAGGAAAATTATTTGAGTCATTCCATTCGAAGGCGATCTCAGTCGATACTGAGAAGTCTAGCCGAGATAGCCAGATCTCCTCCCAAAGTCGGTATTAGTTGTGAGCATGTTTGATTGGAGCACGCTTCCCGGGGTGAATTTTTCCTCTACTGTTTGTGAGCGATAGTTTTCTGCTGCGGATTTCGATCGAAAGGTTCTTCGCTGGCAGCCAGATAGAGCGTTTGCTAGGTCATGTGGAGGCCTCTCAACCCATGTGGCGTAGAGGCGTGCCTAGCAGCCCGTTCGTTCACCACACGGCCACTCAAGCAAGCAGCCGTGGACGTAGCAGCATGGCGGCGGCTGCAACGTTCAGCTATCTCGGGTGTGCGCTGAGAGAGCTGCTGGAACGCCGCCATCGTCGGTAGAAGGTTCCTCATAGTCAACAGCTAAGCGTCGCAGATTCCGACGATGCTTCCTCGCTGCTTTGGCTGCTCCCTTCGCCATAGTAGATCGCTGCTAGAGAACCTGGAGGGGAGCGAACTGGATAAGAAGAGGGAAGGATGACGGCATCACGTCGTTGTTATTGTCTGGCTACAAGCCCGATGCCTGCAATTTGAGAGGCCCACACTTGGTATCGGACAGACAGACAGCCGGCAGCTCGGTCGGCCGGCAGCCTTCCCGCTGTCAGTGCTGCTACCGGTGCCAATGATGCTTTGGGAGCAAACGTCGCGGCGCTCTTTCGGAGTCAGCAGCGGCGGTCAGTACCAATAGCGGCATGAATGTCCAATGATTGAGAGAAAGAGTGAATACTTGAGCTGACTCGCGATGGATCAAGAAGGGCGCGTATTGCCCTGTAGTCCGCTCTACCTGGAATCGGCGAAAGCCGCACCACCAGATCGTAGGGAATCAGAACTCAGTCGGGATATGCTTGGTCGGGGACGCAGATGCGAAGATGAGCTGATGAGACTGATGAGCCACAACGACAATGCTCAGAGGCTCGGGTCGCGTCGCATTTCATTATCATATGTGCGCAGACTTTATAATATCGGTGATCGGGAGCACGCTCATGCAGTACTCCGGCTATCTCATAAGCGTCGGGAGTCCGCGATGCGATGAAGATTGAAACTGACTCCGATCACTTCGATCAGATAAGACCCCCGGGATGTATTCTTACTGCTACTTCTTAGAAGCCAACATCCTGAATTTCTAGAGAGCTTCGCAATCTGGTATTTTTGACAGCAATCATCGAGAGCTCCGGCATGGGGAGAAGACAGACTTATATTTCCTAAAGGAGCGATAGTTGTAGGAGAAACTCGAGTTTGACTTTCGAATCTCAAAATTATTCGAGGAGGTTTGCGGACGAGAGCGTGCTTGCGTGTCGCAACCCTCCGCCGGCAGCTTCGAGTCGTTGGAGCAGAAACCTCCAGACCATTTAGCGGGTCCCAGTCTCTCACAAACGTCTTGAGAGGCGAACGCGTTGTGAGAACCGTGTTCTCCGAGAAAACTCGCCGCGACACCGGTCGTCAACGCTGCAAGAGCTCAGTCAGATAGATGAAACTTTTAGCTAGGGACATTCCGCGAAATTCGATGCCGGGGAGCCCTGGTTGCTAAGAGTTTCAGAGACTTCCATGAAGACTTTCCCATGGAATCATCCAGCTCTTTCGGAGGTCAATTGGGTCCACGGTTGAATCGACCGCTCGATTCGAAATGCTCTGAATCCGCGTTTCTCAAACTAGGGCGACGCGTCTCCACTAGTCCTCCGACGGGGAGCACTCCAATCGATTCTGGAATACCCTAACTCGGAATAAGAAAGAGGTTAGACAACAACGCGTATCCTCTGATATGTGGACACCCCGTAGGAGCTCGACAGGACACATGTTCTTCTCGGAAGAAGGTTCTCAATTAAGACGGGGTGATGGCTCGAGGCCTTTAATTCTGACGGCAAGCCCCCCCCTTTTCACGACCCAAATCCGAAGTTAAGAAGAATTCTGACTCGTATGGGAAGACGGATATGGGGAAAAACTTCACAGCCTGGACAACAGAGGCTCGTTGCCCGCGTTGGTGTATAGATAGTAAGGGCGGGGGAGCCTCGCGATGGCTTCTGCCTCCTCTTTGCGGGGTATCGATATCACATTAGGGAATGACATGCGGCAAGCCTAGACCAAGGGGTTATTCCGAGGAACAGGCATTCCACGGCAAGGTTTGAACGGTCCGAGCGTAAGGGAGCGACACGGTCTCACTGATATTTCTCTTAAGTCCAACGTATCAAGAAGCCGTTTCTGGAAATATTCTTTATCCCGAACGAAATAATAAAGTGTTCTCTGACATCGGTGAGAGTGACGCAATGCGCATGTTTTGAGCTCGCCCAACGACGGATCCGAATGCGGAAGGATTGGGATTCCAGCGTATTCTTATGCCTGCAATTGCCCACCGACCCCGCGCCCCGGATAACATCTGTATCTGGGTGTCGAGAACTCCGAGGTAAACAGGTTTCGTTGGCGTGAATACCGGGGACTCGATGTGTAGCATCGTATGTATACCGATCTCATGTCAAGGAACTCCCACGGACAGTCTTTCCAATGGTCTGTCGCAAGCCACTGCAGGCGGCGATCAATGGTCTCTCCAAGAGCACCTCATATCTTGTGATCGAGACATTCCGAGTTTCCCCGTCCGGAGAAGTCTCATAAAAGCCGTATGCTCGTTTTGGGCTCAAAATAAGCGGTACGAAGTACGGAGTCGGCAACTCAACCACGCTGAGCCGATCGTCATTCCAAATCATCTGCAGCGTCCTCCAGCCATGAAAAATATTTTTGAGAGAGCCGATCTGTTTCACCCCGCAGCTTCGAAATCGACCCCATCAGCCGGAGTGATGTGTTTATGCTTCTCTCATTTAGGGCGAGCCGAAGTTTTCCGAGTAGCGCGCCTACTCCGTTCTAGCACGAAGGCGATGAAGATGAGCTTTCTGTCGAGCACGTATCGCGCCTGTGGAACTAGAGGACTCCGATGATTATCAGATTATAATCATCGAGTAGGATTCAAGTGATACGTCCGAGACGAATTAGAGGTCTCATAATGATAATTGAGTTCACTCACAATATGTTTGCGTCGAGAGATCATGCGCCGACCTGATTGGAAGAAAGCAGTCTACGCTTCGTCCTCTACACGGGCCCTTCTACCGTATACCTCCAGATAATTTGGGTCCTCTTCGCCAAATTCGTAAGATGTTGCGATGACCAGACCCGCAACGGTCGCCGTGTCACCGGGACGTTCTGAAGTTACAGCAAGAGCGATCTCCGAGATCAGAAGCGGCTTAGAATTCCGAGAGCTGTTCCCTCTCGAATTCAGCCCCTATGCTTTCATAACCACAACCATATTTGGAACAGAGCTCCAACTCAAAATCATGTATCGGATGGCTCTGCGAGAAAGAAGATCTGCGACTATTGGCCGAAATCCGGTCTCCCATAACTAAGCAGAGCGGGCCATGTGAGATGGAATTCGTGATGTGCAACCCTCATTGTTACCCGAGACCATTCCGTCTCGAATCCTGTTTCGCTCCTCCGGATTTTTGATGATTTCCGAGCGGCTTGGAGCCAAGCTATTGGGTGTGTACTATACACAAGTCCTACGTACAGGATGATACAATCGGCTCCCACGGGAGCGAGGATGGTGTAAAGGAACAATTCTGATGAAAGGACTTGATGCGCCGAGAGAGTTCCTCGCGAACGGAGCTCTCCTCTCCGAATCGCTCCATGAGCATTCCACGTGAAATCGACTCTCATAGGAATTCCTCAAGACACTGCGTGGCTCGAGGCCGGAGGCCCAACGGACCGGAGCAGACTTGGCCGAACCCCGGCCGGATGAGCAGTATGGACTCCTCGAGTGTTCGCGCATCCAAAATAGGAGCCGTTTAACTCTCTTCTTTGGATAGTTCCCGAGTCTGCCACCGGAACTCCGTGGATCGATTTCACTCGGATATCCAGATGAGTCTCGACATACTCCCGGCCGTTGCAATCGACCTATGACGTCTCTCGACTGCCTGGATGCCGAAACAGGATTATTATGCATGATTCATCCATATGATACCACGATGAATTATGACGAGGATCCTTCTTGAAACGGGCGGTGTCTGTTCGCTGCAGCATTGAATCTGACTTCTCTCGCCATCGTGAAACCGCATCGTTCGGTCTCATCGATTGTGGTGGATAGTCCGCGATGCGGGTCGCAGTCCATGTAAGGTCTCCAAGTAGAATGATTAGCGCTGCGCAGCGCGAAAATCCAATGATTGTGGAGCGCCTCGAGCGAGTGACCATCGAGATCGGTAGAGGGCCGAATTAGCGCCTCTGGGGTCGGACATCAAAGAAAATTGCGCCTGGAATCAGCCTGAGCTTGATCGGAGCGCCGCGGAGACGGCGATCTGGGAACTGGTCTCGGGATGTCGAGGGAGTGAGTTCAGAATGGTGGGATGCGTTTTCCGCTGAAGAGGACCCCGCTGATGAGCTTCGCTGGCGCGGCGATGAATTCGTTGTGGCGCGCGGAATGAAACCCAGCTATGCATTGCACTCTCCAAACATTCGGCCCCCATGATAGGGGTAATCACGAGTTTCGCGACTGCTGCTAATTTCGATACGACCTCGAGGGGAGGGGATAGCGACCGAAATCTGAGTCGGCATGCAGTGCTCGAAGCGCATCTCATGAGCTCTCGTTCAGCGCTGCGGAGGAATGTTGTCATGACTCATAACTCATAACTCTCTCCGATTTCAACTTATATCGCTCAGATCAGAGTCTTAGCGGGGGTGGGGGACTCTTCCCCTACGCCATATCGCTCGGACCACTGGATGGACTGCGAGATGAGGCTGTCTCCGAAAGAGGAGCTGCTGGAGGGTGTTCCTTGACTTCGTGTACTCAAGTCAGTGAGTGAGCAACTCGAGCATTCACTGTCTCATTCGAGTGCAACGGCCTCGGGTTCTGAATTCGCCGGCTCACATACTAGACTTTTCCCGTCCTCTTGGCGCGCGACTCTCTTAGGCGCACTGATGCAAGTAAGGTCGCCGGTGACATCTTGCGATCATCATTTTTCGAGAAAAACAGTTCTCCACTCGCTCGGCCTCCTTCAGCGGATTGCGGAGTGCTGATTTCCCAAGGAAGCATCCCGGAGCTTTTTGAGATACACAATGAGCAATCGAATCCGCCTGTTAAGGAGAAGATCTGGCACGGCAAAACGGGGGAGCTCGACAGTACACCATTGATGGCACAGAGCTCCCTACTTTTAAAGGATACGCAAAACATTTTCGGAATGTTAAAGTGTACAATTTTATTCGTTCCTCTCCCGCTTCTATCTTTCGATATTTCAGATATTTGTCAGCAAGACTATTGCACAGGTTTTCAATCCACTCGAGAAAATGGCGAGAATTCCCTTTCCCGACTGACGAGACTCGGAAAAATAAATAGGGTTTTAATCTACAAACGTGGCTAAAGACAATCCGCGGAACTGCTCAACCCCCTACAGTGTTCGCAGCTCGGGGAGCCTTCTCCCCCCGGGAAATGAGGGAAGGGAAATCTCAAACAAGACAAACCAGTCTCTGGAATGTTGCGCTCATATTTCAGGGTGCAAGAGGGGAAAGATCTAAGTTGCTCGTTTGAACGCTCGTATTGACTTGAATTCGCGCAAGCCTCCCAATGCGCGATCTCTGGACTTCTTCAGAAGTCCATTCCTCGTCTCCGGGCTGCTCTGGTACATCTCCGAGTAATCATTGAGGATTCCGAGGAATCTCCGCTTGAGGATTAAAAAGAAACTATTTGCAGTTTGCAGCTAATTTTGGTCCCGATAATCTGTGAGGCTCAATGACGCAGGAGCTTGAATGTTTCTCAAATTATCTAAGCTTCGATTGTCCGGGCGGTGAGAGCAGTCGAGTAAAAAATAAGCGCCCCATGAAGGATAGATAGAATTTCGACCCTGGACACATTCCTTCGGAAATATTCTTGTGAACACTCTCTCAACAGAGCCCGTCTCGTGGAAATTCATGCTCATCTCCGTAATTGCAGCGAATTCTCCCGACCCTTCAGCTGGCGATTGATTCAGGCGGAGATTCCGATATGAAGCAGGCTCTCCGCATGAGCGACCGAAACTGAGAAGCAACATATATTCACTTATTTGAGCAAAAATGTGAATTCCACGGCTGGAATTCTCTGTCTCAAGATCGAATCGGGCAGGACGCACTCACAGAATGAGAGCCAAGTTAAAATTTTCCCATCCGGCGGTGGGTGGTCCGCCGGGTCTTGTCCCGTCGCGAGGCGAGAAAACATTCCCCATGTCCCTGCGGTATTCTGGTGAGTCAAAAGGGTGGACTCTGCGGTAAACATGGCGATACAAGCCGGAAGCATACCGACTCAATGACCTTACTCGTAGGCTAGAAATTTCATTTGTGCTTTCTGTGATGAACACAGACTCCCGACAGGAAGTGAGAATGAGTTCACAGTCGGAAGTGAGAGTGTCTTTCCCCTCAGCCTCTCAGATGCGGAGGTTCAGCCATTCTCCCGCGACCGAATCCCGCGTCGTCCCGGTCAAATGCGGCTCGGGCATTCGATCGATCGCAGAATCGCTCCGAACTGCTACGCAAAATATATTCAAAAATGATCGTATCCCGTATCTCTCGCGAGAATATTTGCAGAAATATTTGATTCCGTCTCATGGTCAATATACAGAGCTCGTCGGTTTCGCCCACGATCAGCTGGGATATTTACAGATGCGTTATCGAGGTACGACTTGATGAATTGTATGGACACCATTAGAGCATCACGATCTCGGGGGTGTTGACTGTCTCATAGTCTGGCTCCTGGAGCATGTGCGAGTTCACAGTGACCAGGGTCCGTGTTGGCCTCCCATTCATGCGAACTTGTACATGTCCATTCGAGACAGCGTTATTGGGCTTCTTCACAGTCTCGTATCCCGGATCAGAGCTGAGACTGTCCTCCCGTCGGGGCTTGCCTCGCGCTCTGTCGTAATGAAGCTCCGAATCTTCTTTCGGACCGACACGTTCGTAGCACGGGTCTGCTTCGACGTCAGAGGAGTCGTCCCTCGGGAGACGAACCGTTTCGTACCGAGGCTCGTTGATTATGCTGTCACCGCGAGGTATCCTGTCACCGAGAGAAAATCAGTCGATCAGTCGGATCCAAGTTGGAACCACAATTAATTTGGGACAACTACTATCCGTCGTATTCCGTAACGATACCCCATTCATATTCGGGATCGATCAAATATCTCACCTTTCATAGTTTGGGTCTGTGACGTCAGACTCTCTCCGAGACACTCTCTCGTAGCCAGGATCGTTGTCGCTGCTATTGCTGAGGCCACCTAAAGCCTCATAGCAAGGATCCTCCTTGGAATTGAGCTGTTCGTAGTTGGGATCGATGTCGCTCGAAGCAGATCTGAGGAACGAATAATCCGGATCAGAGCGTTTTTGCACCATATCAATGGGGGCAAAGGACCCGACGAATAATCCCAGCTCGGCATCTCAAAAAAATCTGGACAGACTCGAGGTAGCGAACCGGCTGTAGCATGAAAATTATGGAGAATCCCATCGATTCGATCGGATTTCCATACCCTTTGAGCCTTTCGTATTTTGGTTCTTCATCAACTCCGTTGGCGCCTCCGACTATCTCATAGCAAGGATCGTCGTCGACATCCTCTCTGGATGCTCTCGAGCTTTTCCGCTTCAGCGACATCGGAGGCAACATCGAGCCGATGTGATTGTTGTTTTCGAATTTCGAGCTCATGTTCGCAGATTGTAGGTGATGAATGTTGTTCGGGGGCGGCGGAGGCGCCGGCAGTTGAGAGTGAGCGTGATTCGGAGGGGGCGAGGGTCTCTTAGACTTCTTGGCAACTTTCGCGTAAAGCTGATCTACGTCAGAAGCAACGCTATCACCACTGTGACCTGGAATTCCGGCGGAATGAGAGGAGCATCAGAAATGTGGGATGTCGGAGGTTGAGCTACATGTCAGATCGACACATCACAATCGAGTAGAAAGGTACTTAATCGAGCAGCTACTCTTTTGAAGTCCGACTCGAAGTCGGTTCTCTTACAAGAAGTTTCGTGCATTGAAATCGGTTTCCCATTACCTTCAGAGGATATTCTCCGCTGATGCTTCTGAGATAAATCAACCGTTGAATACAGGTTGTTCACGATGTTTATGTCCGAACCGATGGTGATGCTCGAGTTTTGCCCATTCGACACCATGCACAGCCCTCCATTGTTGGCGAAAATCGACGATGTGGACGCTAGAGAGGAGAGGAAACCAGTGAGACTTCATGGAATCAGGACTCTGTTCCGTGACTGCCGGGAGCGGAGTGCTTGACTCCCACTCGAAAAATAGTGGCTGCAGCTAATCTTTGGGAGTCGTCGAAAAGTTAAGATTATCTGCCATGAAAGTCCTCGTTGCCATGCGCTATCTTCTTCACAAGTGACCGCGATGGAGCGTGCGCTTTATTCACCTTGTCTGGAGTGAGCTTGTGCCACCGAGCGTAAGCTCTCGACCGTGGGGGGCGCTGGAGCTCCACCCATTGCACTTGTGCCGTCCACCACTGTCTGAACCGAAGCTGGACTTGGCGGGGAATCAACGGGCGGCGAGGTTATCCGTGAGGAAGCGTTCTGGAGAATTAAATAATTTACAGATCTCTTCGATGCTCGAACTCGTTGGTTCAGCTGGAGTTAGGTTCGGCAATAAGCTCCTGCTAATGACGTCGCTCTTCATCATCGAATGAGCGACATGAGCAGATACTCGAAGAATGGCAAAGGATCCATTTCTGGGAGGAGGTATTAATGCCCACTCGAGGAAGAACGTGATTGGCTACATCAGGACCGAAAACAGATCGAGCAGGCTCTACTGTCATTCCAAAGTGATGGGAAGGTCATAGAGAATGCAATTTGTACCTGGCGGGGTTCGATGCGTGCGTATGTAACGGACGAGTTGGCGCTCTCGATTTCGGCATACATCTCCTCGTCTTGTTGGACGACTGCGTAATATTGTTCGCCAGCCGAACGGGTCGAAGGACTTTGCACATTGTTTGTCGACGGCGGATTCTGTAAATGAGAGGGATTAGGGCTTCCGATTCAATGCCTGAGCATACGCTGCGGTAATTCTCTTTATCTCCAACCCGCGTCTCGCTGGGTCATGGCCTCCCAACGCCGCCGAACCCGGAGTAATTTCTCTGATGACTCCGCGTACCAAGAACGAGGACTTTCCGCAGCCGTCGAGATCGAATTCAGAGCTGTAGAAGCTTTTTCCAATTGAGAGGACTTGAGGACCCCGATCTGATAGAGTCGAAGCAACGTGATGCGTGACGGTGCGTGCCAGTCCATGAACTAATTGCTGAGCACGAATCGCTCCGCACGCGAGTGGAACGTGCAGTTCCAGACAAACACATCACGTATACGAATTCTCATCACAGAAGTTCGCGTCGTAGCGGGACCCGGGAATCCCGCTGAGCTCCTTTGCGCCTGAGTTCTCAACGATGGGGTCCGTATTCCACACATGCCTCCGTCTCGTCCGCGGATGTCGTATATTCGGGCTGTCGTATGTGACCATGGCCGTCCATTTTTTACGTGGGCTCGTGAAAAGGTACTCACCTGACTAGAGTTGTGCTGCTCCAAGAGCAGTCGTTGAGCTTCTTCCCGTAGATTGGCCAACGGCTCCCGTACGGAAATGACGGTATAAGGAATGTCGCCTTGAGTCGCTACGACCGTTTCTACGGTGCCCGCAACTGGTCCCCCGACTCCCCCATCAGAGTCGATATCGGGAATTCCTGAAACAGCATCAAAGAGACTTGTCAGACGAAACCTTTTTCTCTCTTGCACGCTGTCTCGGGAATAGGAATATATTCCGATATCAGACAGAGACGCACAACCAGTGCGTGATCCGATCAAGGAGCGAGTGAGCAACAAGTGCGTATTATATGATACGCAATACGCAGCACGAGCTGAAGATACTCGCTGTCGACAGTATCAGGATTTGCATCCACGAAGGGACTTTCCGCGTCGATACGGAGATTAGCGGAGCGGAAACTCATGAGCTTTTTCTATTGGTCTCTCAGAGATTCGACGTGGAATCGAGATGAGGATCGAGCAAGGTCTCAGAAAAATTTGATCGACTGAAGCTGCCATCAAGGAGAAAGTGATGGAATCTGCCTTGTGATCGATCGTGTTACCTTCATTCCTGGCAAATTCTTCCCCCAAGGCAGGCGGCTGCGGTGTTGGTCCATGAGCTATCGATGAAGATACACCCGCTGGAACAGGTGGAGTTGACGGAGTCTGACTCAATGTTGGTCGGTGTCTCCCTCGAACGGGACCGTTGACCGAGGTCGGCAAACCTGCGGGCATGCTCTGCGGTCTCCCCGGCGGCGTGGGCAAAGCTCTGCAATAACAATAAAGTCAGCAAAGAGCTCTTCGCAGATTTCAGCTGGATACGGGAAAGCTATAGCTCCGTTCCCGAACTGCTCGGAAAATAGAAACGGGTTGCCGATTTAATGAGGGAGAATCCGAGCTCCTGGGGAAAATCTGAGAATCTTCAAGTCACCTGTCTGAGACATGAGGATGAGGTGAGTTCGAGTGAATCGGAGTCCCTTGTCCTGGTGGTACGGGTGACGAGGACTCCGGTGCGAAATGGTTACCAGATGATGACACTACCTGAACCCCGGTCATTACTTCTCCGTTCAGGGTCGCTGCCGTCACCTGCTGCAAACGAAGAAAACGGAAATTATAGTATGGGAGATCAAGTATCTTGTGAACGGAAGCTCTCAGCTCGGCTTTGAGAACTAAGGACAGCGGAGGTCTATGATAAGGAAGCTGCGATCCTCATTCCCCTTCCGCAAATGTTCCCGTTCATCTAGCGTCATGACTCGTTTCGATCGCAGTTGGACGCGTTGATATTCGATGGACGTTCAGTGTCCACGGTGGCGGAAACGCTTATATATCCGCAATACATTATAATATAATTCGATAATTTGTCGATACATTCGTTCGTCTGCTGCTGCGATCATCATTTGATTCCAATCAAACGGTCACGAGTCACGACGCCCCTCGGCTCGTCCTTTCAAAGATTCGCGGCTACCAAGCGCGAGAAGATTTGACAGTCCCAATCGAGCGGATCGTGATCGTTGCTCGTGAAGGGATTCGTCTTCATCAATCCTGAGGCCTTGGGAAGTGGCTCGGATACTTCACGGAACTCGAAGGTACCAAGCAGATCCAGCAGCCAGTTCATTCCGCGTCGCTCAGGAAATCTCTCAGGTCTGTGAGAGCTCACCTATAGCCCCGATATGATCAACCTAACAGCCAGGAGCGAAGCTCTCCGATGAGCCATCGCCATCGTTCAGTCGTCAGTGTGAGGGTGAGTGAATGAATCATACGGACGGGTTTGGGATGGAGCAATGCGGTAGTTTGCGGTATGATTAATTGTCGAGCTTTTTAGTTCAGTCGAGGGGGAGCAAAAACTGTCCAATGAATGAAGGAAAAAGCACCGGGGTATCCGCTCTAAGTGAGCCGGGATTCAGGTTCGTTTGCGGTTCGCTCGTGATTGTTCTGCTACGTTTTGTTTTCCGTGGCGGTAATTATCAATCAGAACGCCTCAGTCTCCCGCGGATTCCCACAGACACTTTGATATCGCAACACTGTAAGCAAATCAGCGGGCGGAGTTGCGGGCGAACAATCAGTAGGGAAAAACTATCCACAAAAAGAGGAAAGAAAAGCAACCGAAGAACTCGCCGGGATAAAAAGTGAGTAGAGCAGTCACTCCGTTCAGGGGCCGAACAAATACTCGCAGATCCAAACAGACAGTGCAACGGACGGACCGACAAGTCTATCTCGTGGCTGCTCGGTTAAGCCAGGCGAGAACACAGACCCAGGGTTCGTTTTCCAAAATGACTCCGCAATAACGATCAGTCCATTAGTTTGTGTGAGCGCGTGGTTTTCCTCCCACTGCAAGACAGGCAGGGGACGATCGACGGGGGCAGAATTTTTTGAGGAAATTGCTTCACACCAGCACCGCTCGTAAGAGCGAAACTTTGACATTGGAACTTGGAACCTTTCGGCTTCCACTCACTGCACCAGACGCCTAACCCGCTGGGAATGAGGCGCTCAGGCGAATCAATTACAGCCCAAAAATTTATGGGATGGGTAAAGTATGGAAACACCGCCTAATAATTAGTCTCCAACTGATGTTGTTTTCTGGAGAATCGAAAACGATCCAATGGCGTGGCCGACACAATTAACGGCTCGAGTTCCGACTGGGATCTCAACGAATTCCTGTCGCGCATCCCTCCTTCTCTCATATTCCCGAAGATTCTTGTCGCTCGGCGCGTGGAATTCTGCTCTTGAGATCATGTCGTCCGCAGGCCCATGAGATTATGAAGAAGGAATTCATTTCCTTCGGAAGTGAAAATCGCACGAACGACATACATAGACGACGCATCGTGAGTGAGTACGACGTTGCGCTCCATAAAACGAGGCTTCGAGCCGGAGACTATCGATGAGTGGGCTCTCTTTCACAATTCCGCAAAGATCTATCGACGCCGCCGTAAATCGAAGTTCCCAGCTCAGAGGCGAGGGTCGTGGCTTCGACGGGAAGAAGCGGGTAGAAAGTTTGGGATGAAGCAACGAGTCTCTGCGTACCTGCAGGACGACCTCGACGTCGAGCAACGAGCAAGGAAGGCAGCTCGGAGCTGAGTAAGCGAGAAGATCATCGAGCGACGCATTTCTCTCGAAACGGAGCTTATTCATTTCGACTCCAGATCGCTCATGCCGAGCAAAATCTGACCCCGATAATAATGAATCCTCCGAGAACAGATGTACGCGATCGGTGCGCTTGTTCTCATTGGGAAATATAGCAGACTCTCCCACGATTTGTGTTCCGGGTCATTTCGAGAGTCCGATCTTCCCGAATCCGCGGCCGTAAAATCCGTGCGCGGTACACCACAACCGCGTTCCGCGTCGTATTGCGGGACCTCGGCGAAAACTACCAATGGAGCTTCTCCCGGGAGCTCCGAAGGTCGTCCAAACAATACTGTGTCCTGGAAGGTTCCCCCTCTCCCTCGATTCGAGGATCGCGCTCGGGTCATTCCCGGCCCGACCGAGAGCGCCAAAGATCGTCCTCCAAATCTCAATATTTCCCTGACCGAACAATTAATTTCACTTCCGACTTCCTCTCTCGCTGTCGCTCTGATCCGCTTGGGAAAGAACCGAGGAGATTCTGGCTGTCGATTTCGGAATTGGCTCATTCTTCTTCAACGTCCTTCGACTCCGGAGTGGGTGATCTACGTCCAATTTCACACTGGCTTTACTCCGTCTCCCGATGTCGGCGCTTCTCAATTGGCACCGAGGACAGCTGGCTGCAACCGCGGCCGGGAAATTCTCTTTCATAGCATCAATCGCATGCCTCGACCACGCCTTCTTTAGACTACGCCGCGTGGTTGGGATAACTCGTCCGAATCTGAGGCTCAGCGATACACATGGAGATCGGATGATTGTATTCACGCAGGAAAAAGGACGCTGCTTCGGAAACTCAGACTTCCGTCTTCATTCGGGGAACGATACGTATCAAACGTGTATCGTGCAATCAGAAATCACGAAAGAAGCGAAATGAGAAATGCGAGCCCTGCTCTTGAAGAGCTCGACCATCCTGTGGGTCATGTCATGAGCTTGCACCTAGGTCAGCGATAGGTATCATAGCCTCGCTCGATATCCATCCTTTGATCTCCAGGAAGCACTTCGTCAGGATTGTGAGACGAGCCGACCGGGATTCCGTATTGAGGAAGGCGACCGTCAGCGGGTGCTCAACTTCTCTTGAGAATTTTACGAGCGCCTGAGATCGCTGCTGAAGGACATTCAACCCGCGGTTCTCAAAGCAGTAAAGCGTCTCGAGTCTCCTAGGTCCTAGGGACGGAAATCCGTATAGTGCGAAATTCGCCGGCGAGACTGATGCTCCTTTTACGAGAATGATATAAACGGTGAGTTAAATCTGCGTCGACGGCCAAACATGCGAGTCGTGAACTCTTCCCTCCTGAACCTCCTCTTCCCTTGAAGAGCGATCAAGACGAATATGGAACTCATTTGCCTCGTAACAGGTAAGTCCAGGAGAGACTAGGCAGATACTTCATCTATGATACCCCATCGATTCAACTTGCACAACATGAGCTCGTATCGGACTTTGATGATGCATTCGAAGCACTATGGGAGCGCGTTTCGTGCTCGTCTACTCGGAACCCCACCATCCGGACTCGAGTTAACTTTACAGCCAGGATTTCCCTCACGGATACTTGGAAAACAAGTACACTGGAGATCCGGCCGACCGTCAGAAGATGCAGAACTCGATCCTGACGAATGTCCTCAGCGCTCATCTACTTATGATCCGGAAGGTCTCCGGGGATCCACTCTCTCAAAGAGAACTATCGAAGAAAAGAGGATAGA